AGGGTTCTGAGTCTGCTGTTGCGCGGTCTCCTTGGAGTAGCCGCCTTCGTCCACGTGTGCCTCTCACCCCACAGCAGCTGCAGGACTGGTACGGTCACCGTCAGCGTCGCGCTGCTGGAGCTAGGAGTGGTGCTGGACCTTTGTCTACTGGAGGTGCTGGAGTCGCTGGTTCTGGAGGTGCTCGTACTGGAGACACTGAGGCTGGAGACCCTGGGACTGGAGGTGCTGGCTCTAGGGGTGCTGCTGCTGGCGACACTGAGGCTGGAGACCCTGGGACTGGGGGTGCTGGTTCTGGGGGTGCTACTGCTGGAGACACAGAGGCTGGAGACCCTGGGACTGGAGGTGTCGGCTCTGGGACTGGAGCTTCTGGAGCTGCTGGAGGTACTGGAGCTGCTGGAGGCACTGGAGCTGCTGGAGCTGCCGGTACTGATGCAGCTGCGCTGACACGACTGTTCTTCGCTCCGCCGTCTCCGTCGTCTCTGCCGCCGTCTGACTCTGTTCTTCGTCAGGTTCTTACTCTCCCGTCGTCTACTGGTCTTCCGTTACAGCCTGGCTCACCGCTGCCTGCTCCTTCTCCTTACACTGAGCAGACTGGTAGTCCTGCTGAGCGTCGTGAGCCTGTGTCGCGTCCTGTCTCGCCTGCTCGTCCTGGTCGTACCGGTCGTCGTGTTCCTCGTTCGCGTCAGCAGGCTGTCCCCAGCGCACACCTCGTAGTTCGTCGTCCTTCCTCTGCTCTGCAGCCTGTTCCTCTGCCGTCTCCTCCTGCGTCCTCTCTACCTGACGTTCCAGACCCTGAGTCTGACCGGTTTCGTGCTGAGCACCCTACTGTCACGCGTCTGCTAGCCACTGTTGTCACTGACCCGTCGTTTGAGTCTACTGCTGCGTCTGCTCTTGTCGCTGAGCTTGTTGACTTTGCTGCTGCCTGTCGTCTAGACTACGCCGCCAGTCTTGTTGCTGAGTCTGAGTCTGTCTGTCCTCCGTCCGTCGGGGGTGAGTGTGCTCTTAGCACGGACGTCCTTGAGGACAGGCAGGAGGAGTTCCAGTGTCTTGCTGCTGCTTTACCTCATCTTGTGTCCTCGCTACTTGCCCCTGAGGGAGACCCGGATGCACCAGACATCCCGACTCCGCGCTCTTACGCAGAGGCGATAGAGAGTCCCTACTCCTCTCAGTGGCAGGCAGCCATGGACGCAGAGATGGCTTCCTGGAAGTCCACAGGCACCTATGTCGACGAGGTTCCCCCACCTGGGGCGAACATCGTCAGTGGCATGTGGATTTTCAGGGTGAAGCGGCCGCCGGGTTCTCCGCCTGTCTTCAAGGCGCGTTACGTGGCTCGAGGCTTCAGTCAGCGAGAGGGAGTTGACTTCTTCCAGACCTTCTCCCCCACCCCGAAGATGACCACTCTTCGGGTGCTGCTGCACGTTGCTGCTCACCGTGACTACGAGCTTCACTCACTTGACTTCAGCACTGCTTTCTTACAGGGCAGCCTGCACGAGGAGATCTGGCTGCGCCGCCCCCCGGGCTTCACTGGGTCGTTCCCTCCTGGCACCCAGTGGAGCCTCCGACGGCCGGTCTACGGTCTCCGCCAGGCGCCACGTGAGTGGCACGACACACTGAGGACTACGCTTGCGGCTCTTGGGTTTGCGCCTTCTACTGCTGACCCGTCGCTGTTTCTGCGCACCGACACTTCACTGCCGCCGTTCTACATCCTCGTGTACGTCGACGACTTGGTTTTTGCCACTGCTGACACTGAGGCTCTCGCCCACGTGAAGTCGGAGCTACAGAAGAGACACACGTGCACTGACTTGGGTGAGCTGCGCAGCTACCTTGGCTTGCAGATCACCCGGGACAGAGCACGCCGCACCATCACCGTGACTCAGTCACACATGGTGCAGCAGGTCCTTCAGCGCTTCGGCTTCACCTGGTCTTCAGCACAGGCCACTCCTCTGGCTACAGGTCACACGCTCTCAGCTCCACCTTCGAACGAGTCCGTAGAGCCGAGTGGTCCTTACCCAGAGCTAGTCGGCTGCCTCATGTACCTGATGACTTGCACTCGACCTGACCTCGCGTACCCTCTTGGTCTCCTCGCTCGCTACGTGGCTCCTGGTCGACACCGACCTGAGCACATGGCTGCTGCTAAGAGGGTACTGCGCTACTTGTGCAGCACATCAGGCATGGGGCTAGTGCTTGGAGGGACGAGCCCAGTTGTCCTCACTGGGCACTCAGACGCTTCTTGGGTTGACGACCTGGCTACTCAGCGGTCGTCACAGGGTTACACCTTCAGCCTTGGCTCTGGTTCAGTTTCGTGGCGTTCTACACGCTCGTCTTCAGTTCTCGGCTCCAGTTGTGAGGCTGAGATCTACGCCACCGCCATGGCTGCACAGGAGTTACGCTGGCTCACCTACCTGCTGACTGACTTGGGAGAGCAGCCTCGTTCTCCTCCAGTGCTGTACGTTGACAACAAGGCCGCCATTGTCTTGTGTGAGGAGCACAGACTGGAGCACAGAACAAAGCACATTGCTCTGCGTTACTTCCTGGCTCGAGAGTTGCAGCAGCGAGGCCAGCTTTGTCTTCGTTACGTGGCCACTCGGGCCAACACTGCTGATATATTCACCAAGGCACTTCCATCTGGTGATCATCAGCGCTTTTGTACTCTGTTAGGCCTTGTGCCTACGCTTCCACACTTGCTGTAGTCTTTGCTTGTACTGTGATCTATATACATATATACCTGCATGCTGGCTCTTGCTAGGTAGCCATCACTGTACTGTTATTGTTGCATATATATCTCTGCATGTGAACTGGCCTTGTGGCCATTTGCTTGTGCTCAGAATGTGTGGTGACGTTGTGATCCACCCTGAGCTTGTTTTGCTTCTCTTGACTGGTCTTGTGACCCGTTGCTCTCCCCCACTTTGCCTATGGGGGTGTGTCAAATGATATATATGTGTGATATATATTGGTAGGCTGTAGTGGGGTAGATGTTATAGGGGATAACACTTTAGGGTTGTGTTATTTGTACCAAACTCTCGATAGTGAACTCCACCTTGCCTGATTCTCTCGACATAGCACGTTGCGTAGTGGTTTGAGAACAAGCGTGAGATCGGAAGGTGTCCGTTTCGATTATTGCACGGGACGTTTTACAAATATGCATTTGAATGAGCAGCAATAAGTGTTACATGATTCTAAGTTTTATATAACGATACCACCCAAATGTACTTAAGTAAAGATGCTCCGCAACCCTAAGACGATTTCGTCGCCTCTTGTTTTTTTTTGTTTTAGTGTCGTTATTGATTGCTTTGGGATCTATTGACACTGTATCAGTGGGATTCTAGAAGCCCTTCTGATCCGATACAAACCTTTTCTAACCTGCCATTCCCGTCAGGTTTGCCGTCATTGATGCCCCCCACGTTGACGGAAAAGCGAAAGTGCTTTCAGACGGCCTTTACCCGTTTATCTGTCCGCAACTCCAAGATCGCGTTCGTATTGGTATGATTCTCGCGTGGTTGGGCAACGGCTGGGATTATTCCACCTCTGACATGCAAGGATATTATTTTTCTTGGGAACTCCGACTCGAAGGAGTATCTTGATTCTTGTGCTTGAATGCTGTTTGTCTCCTGGCTTCCTGAGGCAGCCCTAATCGTGCTTGTTCTCTTTGCGTGCTTATCACGTAACGGTACCTGATATTCTTAAGGTTCGCGTATTGTGGCTTTAGAAGTGTGGCTGCGCTCGACATGCGACGGTGCATCACCCTCCCTTGCCATATCCTTAATCCATTAACTCACTACAAAACCGCTTCTGACCTTGTAAACCTGTCTTATTGCGAACGACAAAGAATCAGTTGTCGCTTTTATATTAAAACGAGAAAGCCACAAACAATGGCGCATCGAGCTTCCTCCGCCTCTTCCGGCGCGGGAGAGCCGCGAGTCTGGGCGCCCAGGAGAAGCCAGCGATTAGATCAGCGGCCAGGATTCGCATCAGCCGCTGCTGCTGCTCCCTCTGCTGCCGGTCGTAGCTCCAACGTCCGTCCTGTTAGACCCAGCGGGTCTCCCGCCGCTGCTCCCGCAGAAGGACACAGCGTTACGAGCCGGACCCCGGCGCATTACCGCCGTTCGTTAGCGGAGTTCGCGGCGGCGTCGTCCTGCGGCAGCCGGCCCGCGCCCGGCGGAATGACGGCGGTTGTGGGCGAAGCTAGTCTCACGGCACAAGTCGCGGACAATCTTACACTGCCGCCTCACGGCGTCGCGTCCGCCGCTTCTTCCTTAAACGGCGGGGATGGCGGCGGCGGAAGCGCCGCTGCCGCAGCTAGGGAAGCGGGGGGCGGCGGAGGGGGGGGACCGTGGGGGATGCAGCACCACGCGGGGGTGGGCACCGCGGCTGCTGATTGGCCGGCTATCGCGAGCGCGTCGCACGAATTCGTAGATGGCGCGGCGGCGTCCGAGTCGTCTGAGGTGCCAGTGGCGAGAGATATGGAGTCGGGTAAAGAGGGAGGCGATCCCCATTGGTTGGAGGGTCACAGGCACCACCAACAGCAGCAGCAGCAGCAGCAGCAGCAGCAGCAGCAGCAGCAGCAGCAGCAGCAGCAGCAGCAAATAATGGAACACCAGCATCAGCAGCAGCAGGAGCAGCAGGCAACGCCAGCGCCGCCAACAGCGGCGGTTACATTGCAACATATGGAGCAGCACGAGCAGCAACAGCAGCAGCAGTTCCTGCAGCAGCGTCAGCACCAGCAAACTCTTCATGTGCAGCCGCTGCCAAAAGCGCCGCCACACCCGCAGCAGGCGCAGCAATTGCAGCAGCCGGCGCCGCCACAGCAGCAGCACCAACCGCAGCAGCAACAAGTTTCGCTGGGCGCTCGTCAGTCTAACGCAGACGATCACCACCACCATCATCATCACCATAATCATAGTCATGATTATAATCATCATCATCACCAGCAGCAGCAGATGCTGCCGTTGCAGCCACAGCAGGCGCAGCAGTCGCAGGAGGCGCAGCGGCAGCCAGTCGCGATGGCGGACGACCAAGCCTCGGTGGACAGCCACGAAGAGAGCTTCGCGCAGATTGCGCCGCCCGTCGCGCGCGCGCAGGTCTCGCAGTCCAACTCTGTCGTCAACGGGCGGCGCGGCGGGGGCTGGGGCGCGGGGGGGCGGGGAGTTGAGTTCCGCGGGCAGGTGCAGACGCGCTCGGCGCGCAGTGGGCGCGGACGCGGAAGCGCGGGCGGACAGGGCGGAGTTGCGCTCAGCGGCGTCGGCGCGGTGGGCGAAGGCGGCGCAGGGCCTGGCGGAGGGGGAGTATGGGGGGTTGCCGGGGAGGGGGACGGTAGCCGCGCGGGGTACTGGGCGGGGGCGCCTGGGGAGGGCGTAGCGGGAGCTGGGGAGAGAGGCGCGGGGGCGTTTTCCGCTATGGGTATCCCCATGCCTTCTGCGTCCGTGCAGAGCCAGGGTTCGTCTCTAGGCAGCGGGCATGACGCGGGGGGAGGCGCGAGCGCCGGTGCGCACAAGAGGCAGCGGGGGAGGCGATCCGCGCATGCGCCCGCGATGGCGGAGGTGCACATGGCGGCGGATCCGGGCGGGCGATTCGGGGATTCTGACGAGGTATCGATTGGGAGCATGAACGCGTGTAGCAGCGGCGCCAGAAGCGGGGGAGGCGGAGGCGCTAGAAGCGGGGGGGGCAGCGCGGGGGGAGCAGTGGGCGGAAGAGAAGGCGCGGGAGGAGTTGGGGGAAGGGATGAAGAGGAGATGGGGGGCGCAGCTGCGTCAGGGGCGGGGCGAGGGGGGCGTGGGGGGGGAAGTGGGCGGGGGAGGCGAGGGGGAGGGGGGAGCAGGCAGGCGCAGGGGTCACAGACAGGGGGAAGGGGGCAGGAGGATCGCGAGATAGATGCGTTGGGACGTTGCATGTAAGGCAGGAAGCGAGAGTGTATTGTTTTGGCATCACATCACATGCCTTGTTTCCGGAGCCACCTCACTCCCTCTCTCCTCCCTCCTCACTCCTCCTCCCCCTCACTCACCCCTCCTCCCTTCACTCCTTACTCTCTCCCACATCACTCCCTCCCTCCCCACCTCATTCCCTCCCTCACTGCCTCACTCCGTGCCTCCTCACTGCATCCCCTCCTTTCTCCGTGCCATCCTGTTTGTCGCTGTCTCTGTCTGTGTGTGCTTGCGGCACCAGGCGAGGTGGCTTTCAAGTCGGCTAGAAAATCCCCTCTTCTCTTCGTGCCATTCCGTGTGTGTGTGTGTGTGTGTGTGTGTGTGTGTGTGTGTGTGTGTCTGCCTGTGCGTTTGCCCCCAGGACCAAGATCCTGCGGCATCAGGCGAGCCAGCTGGGGTTACACGTGGCGCCAGATGGCTTCGTGCGAGTGGCGGATCTGCTGCTGCTGCCCGTCAACACCAACGCCCGCCGCCCCCTCGCCTCCCACACGCTTGAGGACGTGCGCCTGGTGCGTGGCTAAGTCGTTGTGTGTGCGCCAGGTATGGGGCTGACTCACTGGTGCGCCAGGTATGGGGCTGACTCACTGGTGCTCCAGGTATGGGGCTGACTCACTGGTGCGCCAGGTATGGGGCTGACTCACTGGTGCGCCAGGTATGGGGCTGACTCACTGGTGCGCCAGGTATGGGGCTGACTCACTGGTGCGCCAGGTATGGGGCTGACTCACTGGTGCGCCAGGTATGGGGCTGACTCACTGGTGCGCCAGGTATGGGGCTGACTCACTGGTGCGCCAGGTATGGGGCTGACTCACTGGTGCGCCAGGTATGGGGCTGACTCACTGGTGCGCCAGGTATGGGGCTGACTCACTGGTGCGCCAGGTATGGGGCTGACTCACTGGTGCGCCAGGTATGGGGCTGACTCACTGGTGCGCCAGGTATGGGGCTGACTCACTGGTGCGCCAGGTATGGGGCTGACTCACTGGTGCGCCAGGTCCTTTGAGCCCCCTCGCCTCCCACACGCTCGAGGACATGCGCCCTGGTACGTACGTGGTGGCTGATTGATTTGCTGGCTGTGCTGTAAGGCAATTATTGTCCGTATTTTTTTCTTCCCTGCCCGATTCTCATGATGTTCTCCCTCCCTGCCTGCTTCGTCCTGCAGGCTGTAGCGCGCGACAACAAGCAGCGCTTCACACTGAGGGAGGGGCCGGGCGGCGAGAATCACCGATCCTTGTCTTGAGACACCTATATTACCTCCCCCCCTCTCCCCCCCCCCCCCCCTGTTTGTCCGTCCCGCAGGCTGTAGCGCGCGACAACAAGCAGCGCTTCACACTGAGGGAGGGGCCGGGCGGCGAGGTGTACGTGCGGGCGAACCAGGGCCATTCATTGCACGTGGACGAGGAGCAGCTGCTGCAGAGGATCACCGACCCTGCCGCCCTGCCAGGTAGTTTATGCTCCTCGCTGACTTAGTATCCACAATCGCTGCATCTGGACAAGCAGCAGCTGCTGCAGCAAACTGCCGGCTATACAGGGTCCTGGTCTGGTCTTGTGCACCCATGTCCTCTTCCCCTCCCCCTTCCGCCCTCGCCCCTCCGCCCTCCGCCCTGTCCCCCCGCTTTGCGCCCACCAGACTGTGTACACGGCACGTATGAGCGCCACTTAACATCCATACTGGCGACGGGTCTGAGTCGCATGAACCGCCAGCACGTGCATCTCACCAAGGGGGTGCCCTCTCAGCACCACTCTGTCGTCAGCGGTACGCTGCCTTGGACTTTTCTCTCTTCTGTGGGTGCTCTCTCTCTCTCTCTCTCTCTCTCTCTCTCTCTCTCTCTCTCTCTCTCTCTCTCTCTCTCTCTCTCTCTCTCTCATTATTTTTCTCCCAATTTCCCGATGTCTTTCACAACCACTCAGCATCCCTCTTACGCATGCTGACTTGCCAGTGGGGTTAGATGTTTCACCCCCTCCCTCCCCGTTTCCCTACTCTTCACGCTTCCTTCCACACACCCTACACCTCTTACCTCCCACCCCTCATATCGCTCTCTCTTACAGGCTTTCGTTCAAACGCAGAGGTGCTAGTGGTGGTGGATATGGCTCGCGCCATGGCAGGTGGGTGAGGTGACACGTGGCAAGTGATGCGAGGTGGCATGTGGCAAGTGATGTGAGGTGGCACGTGGCAAGTGATGTGAGGTGGCACGTGGCAAGTGATGTGAGGTGGCACGTGGCAAGTGATGTGAGGTGGCACGTGGCAAGTGATGTGAGGTGGCACGTGGCAAGTGATGTGAGGTGGCACGTGGCAAGTGATGTGAGGTGGCACATGGCAAGTGATGTGAGGTGGCACGTGGCAAGTGATGTGAGGTGGCACGTGGCAAGTGATGTGAGGTGGCACGTGGCAAGTGATGTGAGGTGGCAAAGACTCCAGTAGAGATTTGTGGTATGGCATCCTTGACGGTTTGGGCTTTTATATGACATCATGGGCTTTAGAGTATGGACAAGTGAAGGAATCCCACTCTCTCAAGGAAGGAAGGATAGGAAAAATATCTCTTTGAAAAAATGTTTGTTCTCTGTGCCTGAAGATGATTCTTTCCCCCCTATCTCTCCGCTCCTCCCCACACAGATGAGGTGTATTTTGAGGCGCCTCAAAATACACCTCACTGTCGACATCTCTCTGAAGATGATTGTTTTGTTCTCTGTGCCTGAAGATGATTCTTTCTTTCCCCCCTATCTCTCTGCTCCCCTCCCACACAGACGGCATGCCATTCTTTGAGTCAGACAACGGGGTCATCCTCACATCTGGCTTCCACGGCCACATCCCCCCATCCTACTTCTCCTCCATCCTCAAATGGCCCTCGCTCCTCCCGCACCCCCTCTCCCCTCCTCCTCCTCCCCATCCCCCCCATCCCCCTCCACCTACCCTTGCTTCTGTTCCCCCCGCTGCCTCTGCTGCTGCCTGTGCTGGGGAAGCAGCTGGGCCGTGTTTAGACCCGAATTTAGGAGGGTTTGCTGCATTTGGAGCGAATGTTTCAGAGGAAGGGTTTACCCCCGTGCCTCCTGCTGCGTCGGCGGCTGTGTGTGTGGGGGAGGCGAGTGTGAGGAGTGATGTGGGGGGCATGGGGGATGAGGGGGTGGGTGGGACAGCGGAGTCGGGGAGAGGGGAGGTGGGCGGGTCGAACGAGGATGAGGAGATGGTGGGATGATGGAGGGAGGAGTTGGGGTGATGGTGGGTGATGGGTCAATGGTGGGATGTCATGATGGTCGGATGCAAGGGAGGGATGGACAGACTGGGACTAAAGAGTGGTGGATGTAGGAAAGGGAGTGACATATGGTACATTACTAGTGTGTACCTAAGACGAGCTTCGGTGGTTAACGCGGTCTGGTCCGGGCCTTACCTGAAGTGTAGGTTGGGATGGAAGGCGATGGGATGGGATGGATGATGAGATGGGAAGGATGAGCCAATAGGAGAGGACAACGCTTACCCTAGCTCATCTCCGCCAACCTCTAGCTCTGTTGAACACACAATGAATTCTGTATGATAACAAATAACTTTTGTTTCTATATGAATTGTGACGCTCTGTGCTGTCTTCTAATGCTTCAGTGTATTATTTAGCTCTTTTGGCAAGCATGTTGATATGCGTCTGATGTGAATAAGGGGTTTTGGTGCGAAATACATTGTACCTAAAGGATGGAAGAAGGTTAAGGAAGAGAAGAGTCGCACACTACCACAGAAATATATATTATATATAAATAAGCATGCAAGGTATTTTTAATTATATTACGTCTGCCGCCATCCTCCTCCGGATTTACCTTACTCATTCCCAACCATGTACGTGTATGCCAATACATGTCTCATTTGTTGTGATTATTTTAGAAAAGGGCATGGGCATTTGTGCTCTCTAATCCCCATACTGCTTGGAGGAACCCCATAGTGCCTCAAGAGAGTTCTGTAGCACAGTCCGTATACAACCGATTAGGGTTGACGAAGGCTGCTCGACCTCCGTTCGCCAATATCACCGCGTGTCTTATAATCCTACTCGCCACACGCACCTCCCTACTCGAGTGTGTTTCAGCGGTTCATGCTTGGACGTGAGGGCGATCCGCGAGTCTTCGCATCGCGTCGCATGATACAATTGTGGTGCTTATTGTGAACGGTTGCTGATGTGGCGAAAGTCGCAGCGTGCCCAACCGCGTAATCCCACGAACACCAGGACGGCTAATGCCTCGCTTCGGCTTGAGCGATGAGCCAGCCAGCTAACATCTGTCGCATTCACGGGAAACCTTACCTTCAAGCGAAACCTGCTGCGACTGTTCGATTGGCGCAAGACGACTCACTGTCGTCGATGTCAACCGCATCGCCTGCTGAAGTGGATGAGCGCTGCGACACACCATTTTTCGCCACACAATCACAGTGTCCTTTGGATCATCCGCGATGGATCGCACATGCGCCAGCGGCTAGTAGCCCATAACAAAAGAGGCGATCGCATGCTAACGAAGCTGACGGAACGACATCCACCATCCACCAAACCTCGAGGGGCTCATTCCGTTTCGAATTCTCTACCTTCCAAACCTGTCGCACAGACGTCAGATTCTAGTCATTCCCACCTCGAGATAATCGCAGGAGATTTGTGAATACCCAGAATCAATCGCTCGACAAGTGAGGAGCAACAAGGAGCTGACGGGAAAGCGGCAATCTCGAGGGGCCTGCGAGTCCCAGGAAAACAATCTCTAGGTTCAGCCAACCAAGCTCGCACAACTGGAGCGAAGTTCTCATCAGATCAAGGTAAAAGGTGTTACGGATATCACGGCCTGGGGTTCTCAGACAAACACCCTAAACATTAGTAGGACCCTAGACACCGAGTTCTCCGTGTTCTTTTCCCGCACGGCGGCCTCTCCGCTTACTCCGCTTTTAATTCAACTGTCGTGTGAAGGGCTGAGGGGAGTGCCTTTGATTTTCCTTGTCCGTGAAGATGGCTGCTGCCCCAGGTCTCCGGAACAGCGTGAGTGGCAGTTCAAGGCGGGTTTTGCGGACGACATTTCGGAGTTCTGCTTACTCAACATGCGTTTGGTTTCTCTATCTAAATCCCGCGAGTCTTTTTCTTTCGCTAGGTGGTAATTGCAGCGAAATCTGAATTCCATAATTCCAAATCCCATACCCCACTGTCCCACTCCCAACAGGCTCCACTGGCAACGCTAGTGAATCTCTCCGCGGGTCTTTCTGCGCCACGTGTCGTTTCCGTAACTGCCCTGAACAGCAGCGCACGTGTGGCGGCAGTGGCCCGCTCTTATGACGTGAAAGGCGGCGGTGACAGTCAGGAGGATAGCAGCAGCAACGGCAGCAGACGCAGCAGGAGAAAAAGCAGGAGTAGCAGAGCTAGCAGGAGAGGAACATCTGCCGACGGGGGTCGGGGAAACGCCATGGCGGTCGGGGAAGTGACCGTTGGTTTGTCGGGAAAGCTGCCTGCTTACGGGCTCGGGAACGGAGTGGACTACGGGTTGGAGCACGACACGTGGCAGTGGGGCCCGGTAAGACCGCAACAGCAGCTGCAGCACTATCAGCAGCAGCCGGCGTCGCCGCCGCAGCCTCCGCCACTCCAGCTGGGAGGTCTAGATCCCGAGGGTTGGCAGCCGTGGGGGGTTGATCGTCAGCAGCAGCAATCGGTCGTCCAGCAGTCGCCATCGCTGTCGCAGGCGTCGCAGCCGGCGTACGGCGTTTGGTCGTCGCGAAGCATGTACCCGCCTTCTCCATCGAACGCGCACCATCAGCAGCATCAGCAGCAGCGCCAGTTTCCGTTGTCAATGCGGCAGAATTACCAGCCCCATCCCGAGCCTCCTGCGTCGCCGTCTCTGTCCCCTTCGCTCGGCCCTTCCCTGTCGCACATACGATCGCCATCCCTGTCGCCATCGCTATCGCCTGCGCTTTCGTCGCGTTCGACGCCGCCGCCGTTCTATCGCACGCGTCTGTCAGAGGCAGCTCCGACAACACGTCAGCAGCAGCCCGACCTGATGTGGCATGACGTCATGGCGGAGCTGGTGCGCCGCGGGCAGCTGACGACAGCCGTTGATGTGTTGGAACAGGCCGTTGCTGACGGGACACTGTTCGAGGCGCTCTCACCGCTCTCTCTATCTGAACGACCGACCTCCACGGCCACGTCAGCAGATCCTCCCACCACGGCGGCTGTGCGCAGTCTGTTCGCGGCGCTTCAGAAGGCGGGCGGCCCGGCAGAGCAGGACAACTGGCAGCGCGAGGGGCGGCACCTGTTGGGGCTCGCCACGCGCGCGTTGGACGCAGTCGCGGCTGCCGGTTGGAGGTATGTTTCGGAGATCTCGAGGGATAGTGGACGGTGCGGGATGATAGTGGATAGTCGCGAGGCGTGGTAGATAATGGGGTGTGGTGGACTGGTGCTTCCGCCCTCTGTAACCCTTTCGCTGCTCTGCTCATTGCATGTAACCCTCCTTAAACCCTTTCGCCCGTCTCCATCCCTCCCCACCGCTTTCTATCCCAGGGATCCTCTGCCGTTCACGTGTCTGATCACCATGCTCCAGCGCGCGTGCCGCTCGCACGAGCTGCTCTCATTGGTGGAGCGCATGCGCGCGCTTGACGTGCCCTTGGACGCGTACACGCTCACCACCGCACTCGGCGCCGCCATGCGCGTTGCTGACGTAGTCGCCGCTGAGGCCATCTGGGCCGAAATGACCGCCGCGAGTCACGCTGGTGGTGCTGCTGCAAGTGTAGCAGCCGCCGCCGCCCCCTCTGCTGTCGCGTTCACGATGATGATGTCACTGTACGGCCGCGCCGGCCGCCTTGACGATGCGCTGCGGATGTTCCGCGAAATGAAGGCAGCGGGAGTCGCTCCGGACGGCAAGGCCTACTCCACCTTAATTGGCTCGCTCGCTCGCGCGTTAAGAGCTGATGACGTGGAGGAACTAGTCCGCGAGATGACGAAGGGGACGTCCGCCTCTCCCGCCACCAGCGGCGCCGCGGGATCCGGCGCGTCTCCCTCGCAGCGCGTGCCCCCTTCGGTATACACGAGCTTAGTCAGCATGTATGGGCGGCTGGGCCGGTTGGATGACATGGCGCGCGTGCTGCGCGACATGCGCGTGCGGAAGGCGCAGGCGGAGCAGAGCCTGTTCGTGGAGGCGGTGAAGGGGTGCACTGTGGCGCAGCGCAAGGCAACCGCCGCCGCCGTTGCTGCGCAACAGAGCGCGGGAGGCGCGAGCGGCGGAAAGCAGCAGGTTGGGAAGAGACTCGAGGAAGAGAAGTGCGGTGGTGGCAGCAATGGCGGTAGCAGCTGTGTCACGAGCAGCGGCAGCAGCCACATCAGCATAGGAGGTAGCAGCAGCGGGAGTGACGACGGGAGTGACACTAGCAGCAGTGCTAGTAGCGAGGATATCTGTGCGCGCTCCATTAGTAGCACCAGCAGCAGCGGCAGCAACAGTGGCACATTAGAGCCTTCTGTGCACGCGGGGGAGCCGAAGGCGGAAGCGAGAGGGGAACCGGATGGGACGACGGCGGCAGTAGCGCAAGCAGCATCGGCAACGGCGGCGGCTGTGGCGGCAGTGGTGGCGGAAATGCGCCTGCTGGGCTGGCGCGCCGATCCCGCCCTCCTCCGCAACCTCCTCTCGGCGCCTTCCGCCCACTCCGCCCTCCGCTCCTCGCCGCCTTCTCCCCAGTTGCAGTTCGCGCAGGCAGCGGACGCGTCGGGGGAAGAAGGCGCAGGGGCAAGGGCGGGTGTGGGGGCAGCAGGGCTCGATAGGGGCGGGGAGAAGTCAAGGGGAACGGGCGCATGGCAGGTGCAGGCTCCGCAAGGGGGCGCGGGGAACAGGGTGGGCGGAACGGGCGGAGGGGGAATGAAGGGGCGAGGAGGACAGCAATGGCGGGAAGGCAATGGCGGAAGAAACGGATGGGTGCAAGGGGGCGGAGGCGGAAACGGAAGCGGGGAAGGGGGAGGGGGAGAACGCGGAGGCTCGTCGGCGCCTGCCCAATCGGAATACTCGTGGTTCTCGCGCATTCTGCAGTGCAAGCGGCAGAGAAACTTCCAGGAGGCAGCGCGGGTGTACGAGCGCATGCGGGCGGCGGGCGTGAGGCCGCAGCAGCAGACGCTGAGCCTGGCGATGGAGGTGATGGGCGAGCTGGGCAACGTGCAGGGCGCGGAACGCGCGCTAGAAGAAGCTGAAGCTGCAGGCACGCCTGTTGATATTGTAAGTGGATGGTGTGGGTGGATGGGGGGGGGGGGGGGGGGGGGGGGGGGAAACATGGCCTGGCGATGGAGGTGATGGGCGAGCTGGGCAACGTGCAGGGCGCGGAACGCGCACTTGAGGAGGTGGAGGCGGCTGGTACGCCTGTGGATATTGTAAGTGGATGATATTGCGTCTGGGTGTGCGTGCGAGTGTGTGCATGTGAGCCTGGCGATGGAGGTGATGGGTGAGCTGAGCAACGTCCAGGGCGCTGAGCGTGCGCTGGAAGAGGCTGAAGCGGCCAGCACGCCTGTTGATATTGTGAGTGAATGGTGTGTGCTCCTATGCTTTGTAATGGGTCTGTGTTGACTGTGGCACCCGCAAGCCAGTTCAGCTGGGCTAACGAAACTGACAATGAGCTCACACATTTGCTCTCACTCACCCACACCTTTCTGCACCCTATCCCACCTGCCACCACTGCTCCCTACCCCACCAGGTGTGTTTCAACACGCTGCTGAACGTCTACGCCAAGGCGGGGCAGTCAAGCCGGGCGCAAGCAGTGTTCACGCGCATGCAGGCAGCAGGGGTGACGCCCAACACGCGCTCACACACGGTGCTGCTCAAAGCCCTCTCCAAGGACGGCCGGGGCAAGGAGGCCGTTGCTGCCTTCCGAGCCATGGAGCGTGGCGGCTGCCATCTGGACGAGGTGAGCGTGCCTCTCTCTGTGGTGACCCTAGTGGATCAGCATCTTTTGCTGGGCGAGGTGAGGTCTGCGCTGGAGTTGTTTCTGTTTCGCTCCCTTGACATCATCATTTGATCATATTCGGGCAGTGGATCCCACCACGAGTATGGCAACTCTAAGGCCTGCTGCAACATTTCCCCTGCAACAACTCCCTCCCCCCCCTGCCCACAGATTGCCTACAACACGGTAATCAACGCCTGTGGCAACGACCTCCCGGTCGACGAGACCCTCCGCCTGCTGCGCGCCATGCGCCGCAGCGGCTACCGCCCCAACCTCGTCACACGCAACCTGGTCCTCTCGCTCCTGGTCAAGGCCGGCCGCACGGCCGACGCGAGTGAGCTCTTCGAGGAGGCGAGGGCAGCTGGCGAGGAGGACGCATTCATGTACTGCACCATGGCCCATGCGTTTGGGCGGAGGAGAGAGTTAGAGCGCATGGAGGGCGTGCTGGGGGATGCTGCTGCGAGACGGATGGTGTCTCTGCCGCTGCTGAACGCGTGCATGGATGCGTATGGGAAAGCAGGGCTGCTGGCGAATATGGAGACTTGTCTGGCACGGATTCGCTCTTTCGACTTTGTGCCGAACCACACGAGGTATGTTGGGGTAAACTGGACAATGCACATGGATTCATTGTGTTCTATCCCCTGGTTCCACCTCTCCCTCTGGCTTGTGACACTCCCTGCCTGTCTCCTCCCCTCTGAGTTTCCTTCCCTTTCCCCCTACCCCACCTCCTGGTCTTCTCACGCCCTTCTTTTCCCATCACCCTCAGTTTCAACATTGTGATCCATGCCTATGGCATGGCGGGAATGATCCCCGAGATGGAAGACGCACTAGCCCGCATGCGCCGCAGCGGTCTCCGCCCCGACGTGTATTCGTACAATATCCTCATCGGCGCCTATGGGGACGCGGGCATGCCGTGGGCGTCGGTGAGCATGGTGCAGCACATGCATGCCGAGGGGCTGCTGCCAGATCAGGTCACCTACCAGAACCTCGTTGCGGCCTTCGAGCGCGCGGGGGACTTCCTGGAAGCTGCACGCTGGTCCCTCTGGATGAAGCAGGCTGGATTCTCCCCCTCTGGTGAGTCCTGTCCTCACTCTCTCATTCCCTCTATAGCTGGCATGCCGTGGGCGTCGGTGAGCATGGTGCAGCACATGCATGCTGAGGGCCTGATGCCGGACCAAGTCACCTACCAGAACCTGGTCTCTGCGTTTGAGAGAGCTGGGGATTTCCTGGAAGCTGCAAGATGGTCGCTCTGGATGAAGCAGGCTGGCTTTTCTCCCTCTGGTGAGTCCCACTTCTTGCCCTTGCTCTCACTCTCTCACTCTCTCAATCCCTCACTCCCTCATTCGCCCTGTGAGGTTCCTCTCTTTCCTTGCCTTGTGCCCCACCATCAGCAAAGCAGATGCTGCCTCAGCAGCAATCTCATGCCTGTTTCCCTTCCCTTTCCCTCTCCTCTCCCCTCCTCCCTGATCCCTCCCTGCAGCGCCCAGCAGCAGCAGTGCTGCAAGTAATGACGGGGCCAACGCTGCAGCGAATCGCAGCAACAGCAGCGGAGGCAGGGAGGGTAGTGGGCAGTGGGGAAGCGGAAGTGCTGCTGCTGGTGGTGGCAGCAGCGGGGCCAAGAGTGGAACCAACTCAAGCCTCTCAGAAGCCGGGCAGCTGCCATCCGACCTGCTGTGATTTGCGTGGTGGATAGGGATTGAGATGGGTGGTTGGGGGTGGTAAGGGCGGGCAGTAGTGGTGGAGTGGTGGAACCAACTCGAGCCTCTCAGAAGCCGGGCAGCTGCCATCTGATCTGCTGTGATTTGCACAGGCGTTTGGGCCAGTGATTCAGCATTTTCCCGATCGTGGTGGAAGCTGGAATGTGTCATCACAATGCGAGCATATCCGATGCTGGACGATCAGCTAAGTGAATGCAAGAGCAAGGGCATGCTAGGTGTGCGTGCGACTCCTCGTCGTGCAACCTGTAGGGCGGACATACCCCAGTTCTAGGTTTAGGTGAAATAAGAGCGGCCAAAGTGCCGCAATCACTAGGTCAGAGTTGAGAGAATGTTGACAGAGGGGGTTCTGCAACTGTGAGCCCTCTGCTCTGCTGTGTTTCCCCTCTGTAGGCCTCGCGGGCCTAAACCCTGGCGGGCCTGCTTGCATTGCCTATCATTGTTGTTTCTCTTGTTTTGTCAGTTGCCTCCCTGCTGTTTTGCCCCCTTGGTTCCTGTTGGGCTGAAATTTAGCTGCCCAACAGGTTCCCCTCCTTCCCTAAGTGCTTTGCTCCCCTCCTGCTTTGGCACTAGCTGTACCCCTGTTGCCCTTGACGTGCTTTTACTCTACCTGCCTCTCCCCTTCCATGCCATACTGTAGGAAACAGTAGTGGTAAGGTGATGTACTTGCTTGTTGCTAGTGGAAAAGAACTTTTCAGTGTCACACATCAAGCCATGGGCTTCCAAACCAAACCAAACTAGTATCACTAATCACTAAACCTGTACATACAATCCAAGTTGTGACCTACAGTGTCAATACACTATTTGTAAGTATATTCCCTATCCTACTTCCACCAAAAACCACCCACTTACCCACCTCCGCAGGTGTGGCATGGCACATGCCCAGAGTCATCACAATGCGAGCATATCCGCATGCCATAACTCGTCACCACCTTGTGGTTACCACCACACTGTCGGCACGTAACCATCTTGCTACCACCACACGTCCCACACCCTGTCTTCCCTGCATCATCATCCGTGGTCGGCAACCCTTGGATTAACTCAGCAAGAAAGTAATCATCATACATCTGAAGCACAGTATCGGCATCGCCGATGTAGCGCCCGCAGATGAAGAGCCGGGGAACGGAGCCGGCGGCTGCTGCTGCTGCTGAGGACGCGGCGCCGGGTGCCATGAGCGTTTTGAGCTCTTGCCGGTACGAGACACGCATGGAGATGTCCCGCTCCTCGTACACCACTCGCAGAGCCTGCAGGGGAAGGTATGGAGAGAAGGCATATGAATCAGTTGAGAAAAATCTCAGAAGCGACGCGTATGGAGATGTCCCTCTCCTCGTACACCACTCGCAGAGCCTGCAGGGGAAGGTATGGAGAGAAGGCATATGAATCAGTTGAGAAAAATCTCAGAAGCGACGCGTATGGAGATGTCCCTCTCCTCGTACACCACTCGCAGAGCCTGCAGGGGAAGGTATGGAGAGAAGGCATATGAATCAGTTGAGAAAAATCTCAGAAGCGACGCGTATGGAGATGTCCCTCTCCTCGTACACCACTCGCAGAGCCTGCAAGGGGTGAGTATGGAGAGTGTGTTTGAGGCACATGGCACAGGCTGCATGGCTCATGGCGCAGGCTGCTGAGCGTTTTGAGCTCCTAGTGGTACGAGACGCGTATGGAGATGTCCCTCTCCTCGTACACCACTCGCAGAGCCTGCAGGGGGGAGGGAGGGGAGGGTGTGTTTGACGGCCTCGTTTAATGACATAAGGTTGGCACATGGCACAGCGTGCATACCCCGTGGCGCATGGCACAGCGTGCATGCCCCGTGGCGCATGCATGGCACATGGGAACGGATCAAGAATATGCCATCCAAAAACAAGCCAGCCATCCATCGTACCTGCAGCACGTTCTTCACTTTGACGCAGTCCTCAAAAGTTTTCCTCACTGCCCGAAGTGTGGTGGTATACACCACCACTGAATCCCGCCCGCCCGGCGGGCAGCGCTTGTCGAAACTTTCTAGCAGCTGGGACCGGGGAGGAGGAGGTGGGGGTCCAGGGGGAGCAACGAGCTTTGCTTCAATCACTGGTTCCTTCATCTCTACTGCCTCCTCCCCTTGTGTTGCTGCACCCGCCTCTTTCCCTGCATCTCCTGCTGCTGCTCCAGCTGCCGCCTCTCCTTCTGCAGCGCTTGCTCCCTGCTCAGCGTCAGCTGCATTGGCAGAGGCCACAACTGCAGCCACCCACTTCCCACGCACCCCGCCGGCACCACTGGCAGCAGCAGCAGCAGCGTCAGCAGCGGCGGCTGCTTCCAGTTGAGCCGCCAGTCTCGCCACCAGCCCTCCCTTGACGACCTTCCTCTCTTCCTCAACTGTCTTCTTCCTTGCCGCCTCTGCTTCTGCTGCTGCTGCTGCTGCTGCTGCTGCTGCTGCTGCTGCTGCTGCTTCTGCTTCTGTTGCTGCTGCAGCCGTGGCAGCAGATTTTTGAGGCGCCTCAAAAACCAGCCCTCCCTTGGCGACCTTCCTCTCTTCCTCAACTGCCTTCTTCCTTGCCGCCTCTGCTTCGGCTGCTGCTGCAGCCATGGCAGCAGCAGGCAGAGGGGCGGCAGCAGCAGGGGCAGTAGCGGGAAGAGTAGTAGGAGGTGGAGCAGATGGAGGGGCAGAAGAAGCGATGACAGCAGCAGAAGGAGGGGCAGTTTCGAGACGAGCAGAGGCAGTAACTCTACCAGCAGCTCCTGATTTGAGAGGTTCGGGTGAGCTGTTTTCCCCACGACCTGCTGCTATGTCTGCTGCTATATCTGCTGCGACTCCTGTTCTCGGTTGTGCTGCGACTGGTGCTGCTTGCACTGAAGATGCTGCCTGTGATGCATGTGCTTGCACAAGCTGTGCTGCTGCTGGTGGATCTGCTTTTGGCACTGCTGCTACTGCTGCTGCTTGTGCTACTCGTGGCGCTGGTGCTGCCTCTGGTTTCGCCGCTGGTGCTGCTGCAGTTGGTGCCACTGCTGATGCTGGTGCTAATGATGGTGCACTTGCAGCATCAACCCTCCCATTGCCACTCCTGCCACTGCCAGCCCTCCCACTGTCAGCCATGCCACTGCCGCTCCTACCAGCATCAACCCAGCCACCATCAAAGCTGCGTCTCACAGCACTGGGGTCCGTCACCTGTCGCAGAGTGGGGCTGCTCGCCCCACCGCGCAAGCTGCCTTGCCTGGGACTCGGCACCCTGCCCGGCCCCCCTGGCAGCTGCACACTGCCCCTGCCTGGCAGTGGAACACTGACCCCGCGTGGACTAGCTTGTCCTATTCCCATGCCCCTGCGCATGGGGCTCACTCTGCCGCCCATCAGAGCAGCGTGCATGGGACTAACCCTGCCGCCCACTAGAGAAGCATGCATGGGACTAACTCTGCCGCCCACCATCGCAGCCTGCATAGGACTGACTCTGCTGCCCGCCGCAGCAGCATGCATGGGGCTGGCGAGGGGGGTGATTCGCTGCCAGTCCGCCGCACTGTGCTGCTCCAACGCCGCCTCCATAGCCTCCAGCAAATCCGGGTCAAACAGAAAATCGCCCACATCCCCTCCCACTCCCTCTTCTGCTCCCTCTCCCTCTCCCTCTTCATCATCCTCCTCCTCCTCTCCCTCTTCTTCCTCCTCTCCCTCCTTCCCCTTCCCCTCCTCAGCTTCATTGTCTTCCCTGTTTGACCCCTGCTCTCGCGTTCCCTCCTTCCAGGCAGCTTCCTTTCCTGCCCCCGGATCTGGAGCAGCACCTGTAATAGCAGCATGGGTGCCTGCACTCGCATGCACTCTAGAGCCTGCACTCGCATGCACTCTAGTGCCTGCACCTTCTGCTCTGCCTTCTGCTCTACCTTCCGCTCTGCCTTCCGCTCTGCCTTCTGGAGGCTCGTCTGTGCGACCTGAATGCCCGCCCGTGCCTCCTGATTGCTCGTATGTACCTGCCACAATGGCGGCAATGGCTGCGGCATCGGCGACAGAGGTTGCTGTTGCGTCATTTGCTGCTGTTACTCTCTTTGCGCCCGCTCCCACAGCATCAGAGCGAGTGGCAGTGCCAGCACCAGCTTCAGCGCCCACACCAGCAGCGCTGCCGGCATCACCAGCAGTAGAACCGTCCACAGGTGCTGCAACAGCCGAACTAGCAACATGGATCAACCCTACACCAGCAGCACCACCACCCACAGCTGCTGCCCCCCCCTGCCCTCCACTCCCACTCTCATCAGCCCCTGCAGCAACCTTCGCCCCTTTCTTCTTCTTTGTCTTCTTCGGAATCTTCTCCTCTCCTTCCTTCGTCCCCCTCACCCCCTTCTTCTTTTTCTTCTTCTTCTTACCAGTCCCCCCGCCCGGCCCTGCTATTCCTGTACCCTCTTCCCCTCTTCCTCCCTCTCCTCCTCCTCCACCTTCCCTGCCCTCCTCGTTCCCATCCAGCCCAGTCCCTTGCTCAGGGAGAAGGTTCAGCAGCAGCTGCTCTAGCGTCTGCTGATACTCCCTCTCTCTGCGAAGGTCCTCCTCAAAGCTCGCCAGAACATCCGGATCGAAAATGAACTCCTCTGCACCGTCTTGCAAACCGTCCATCGGGTCAGCCCACACACCTGTGTCCAATCCGCCACCACCCAACAACTCTCCATTTTCCGCGTCCACGTCAGCACCGTCCCGCTGGTTCTCCAACCCGTCTTCCCTCGCTGCCCCCTGCGTCGTTGCTTCTCCACCCTGTAACGCCTTTGCTGCCAAAGCGTCTCTTACACTAGCCGCGGCTGCTCCTTCAGCTGCTCCGTCAGCTGCTCCGTCAACTGCTCCGTCAACTTTTCTGTCAACTGCTCCCTCCGCTGATTCATGATCTTGCAGTAGATCACCTGCCGCGGGTTGCTTCAAATCCGCAGCTCCATCTGTTATAGCACTTGCTCCTTCCTGCTCCTCCTTCCCCTCCGCCTCCGCCGCTGTTGCAGACGCGCCCGGGTCCCGCTTCTTTGGTTTCCCATGCATACTCACAGTCTTGGCTCGACCCTTTCCTCTGGACTGTCCACGCCGCTCTTTCGTCGAAGCAGCAGCACCAGCGCCATCGCCGTCGTCGCCGTTGCGTCCGTCGACGCGACTGTGGAGGTCGGGCTTTGACTGGATGCATCCCATTTGGCGCGAATCGAGTGATTTCACGTACTGCGCGCGAGACGCGTCAGCTTACAGATCATTTGAGACGTGGCAAGGATTGCGGAATTTTGACGTGTACGGAACGCATCCCATACGGCAGGGTAAGTGCGTAGGGCCAGCTAACTATTTTGCGTCTAGCGGGACAGTTACTGACATTCTGACGAATGCATTTCGTAGGGCCGGGAAACGAACGGTTGCGAGCACGCGTGTAAAGCGTCAAGACACAGATCGTAGAGAGTATGTACGGTGGATACTGGAAGTGGTATGCGCGAACGTGTGGGAAACAATTTCTGTAAGAGAAATGGCTACGGAACCGCGCGAGTAAGTAGTTTCCCTTAGCAGACCTCTGGGCTTATGTATGAAGCAACAGGCAGCCTGGCCTGGCACCACGAAAATCAGAAGAACCGTTGATTTGAAAATGTGACTTGGTTGGGAAAGAAGCTGTCTACGCTTCTGATTGGCGGGCAGCGCGTCAGGAAAATCTCGAGCCCCGTTTTTCAGAGGTTCATACGGGCGTGAACAGTGAAACGCGGGCGAACGCGGGACCGCTTCCGCGCGCTCGCGGAAGCGAACTGCCCTCGGGCAGGAAAAAAACTAAACCCCAACGCGACCGGCATGCGGCTCGGGAGCCTCAACCCTAAAATTTTAGGGTTGACGCTCCCGAAGGGCATGCCGGTCGCCTTGGGGTTTTTTTTTTGCCCCGGGCAGAAAGCTTCCGCCGGCTCCGCGTCCTGGTGGAAACGAGTTTCCACCAGGGGGGGAAACTCGTGACAATTTCGAGGGAGGAAAGCTGACAGCCCCAAAGTGAACCAGGTCTGTAATCGTAACTCAGCGACTCAAACTAGATAAGGATTTTCGCGACCGCTGTTACGTTACTAAGAAACTGGCAAAAGCAAGGTTCTGCTTCAACTCGTCACGAACACGTCTCGTCAGAACCTTCGACCTGGAGAACGTACCGGACCATCTTGTTACTGCCAGAACCGTTCTGTAACTTAACTGAACGTATTGAAATCGTTTGAGCCAGAGATTCTGAAGAAACATCATGCGAACACTGCCCTCGAGAATGCATCAACGGCTGAAGCGCCATGGACAGGATATGAAACATTTTTTGCCTAGAGAGTTTCGTGAAGATTGTTGATCCATGAAGTTATGAATAAAGCGCGACGACTGGGTCGGTTCTCTTCTCGGTTCTCTGTCAAAAAGCATCAGTGGGTCCCATCTTTTCAGCAATCTCGTGCTAGCATGGGCCTCGAGAGCGACTGCGTGCACGCACTGCTTCCGTGAAACATCTCCGCAGAGAGACGAGCTGCGCAAATGCTGTCCAGGCACGTTTGAAGCGAGATGGCACTTCACGCTGCTGACGACTTCGCACTGCTGCAGCGAACTAGGAAGTCTTCGTCAGTCAGACGCGTCACGGATCGCAGTGAAACTAAACAGAACGCGGCTGGTCGAGACATGCCTCCTAGCAAGTCGAACCGTAAGCGAGTCAGGACATCTGACAAGCCAAACGGCAACGGCAACGAGCCCCATTGCGAGGCCACGCCAAGCAGACGGAGAGGAAAAGGACGATCAGCGGAAAATGGATCTCAGGATGCTAGCAACGGTAACGATTCGCGAAGGGATTCTCCACCTCTGGCGGCGACGGGGAGTACGATGGCGACAACACCAATTGCAACAGCCAGATCGGTTTCACCACAGCAGCTTCTGACAGACGCTCAGCGCGCTGCTGCTTTTCACGATCCCGACGTCCCACTGCTTGTCGTCGCTGCTGCTGTGAGTGGGATACAGGTGCCATGACTGATGACCTCTGCTAGTGCTGCAAGTTTACTTCAAACCGACATGCCTTTGAACCTCCTGTACGCTGTCACTCTGTCCATTATTTCTCCGTCACATGAGTATAATTAACCAACAATGATAAGTCCATGGTGGAAGTCCTATCACCTGACAACTCCTGGTCATCTTGTGTTTATGTCTTCTATCATGCTTGTGTCTCGTCGTGCTTCTGCTTACACGCGTTCGTGTGCTTTCAGGGCTCGGGAAAGACGTCTGTCATCTGCCACCGCATCATACACCTCATTTCCCAGGTAACACCCTTTTTCACCTTCTCCTTTCCTATCACAACGAAGAAAACAATTGTGGATCTTTACCGCCTAGTCTGATGCTCCAATATGCTGCTGTTCATATTTCAACACATCAGAATTCGTGACTGTCTACCTGGTTTTCTCGGAACGTTGCACTGCACTGCATTGCTGATTACGTGTGTCCTTTCCCCTCTCCCTTGTCTTCCCCTTGCTCCTTTCCATCCCTCTCCATCTCTTTCCAATGTTCCAGGGTGTCCCTCCCAATGAGATCCTCGCAGTCACAGTGAGTCACTGCGTCACAAAATTAGTCAAATACATTCCCCCAGTGTTGCAGCCTCTGATTCCTGCCTAGGAGATTTCGCTACGCCATCTTGTCCTGTTTGAGTCCGTTTCCAATCGTTCACTTCCTGCGTCTCTGTCATTTCTTCTACAACGGTGGTGCAGTATGCGCACTTCCTACTGGTCTCCCGTTTCCCTTTCTCCTCCTCCGCCCCGCCTCTTTCACCGCTGCCCCTTCCTCCATTACCTGCTCCCCCTGATCGTTCTCTGCTGACCCTATCTGTCCAATCTACGCTCACTCCCATCGCCTGTTCCCTCTCTGGCAGTTCACGAGGCGAGCAGGTCAGAGCTTAAGGCACCGACTGCACCAGCTGGCAGCTGCAATGGAAGCACACCGATGCAACAGCACATCTCTCTGCACTGATCCTCCCACCGGAGCTGCATCTAGATCTGCAAGTGCAAGTGACCCTGCAGCAACGGAGCGTGGAGAAGCAGCAGCGCCAGCTGCACTAGCTGTGCCGGCGGCATCACCGGGGATGCCAGCAGTGAGTGCAGCAGCAGTGGCAGCAGTGAGTGCAGCAGCGGTGGCAGCAGTGAGTGCAGCAGCGGTGGCAGCAGTGCGCATCTCCACCTTCCACTCCTTCTGCCTGCAGACCCTCAGGCAGTTCGCACACCTGGCCGGCCTGCCTAAGGACTTCACCGTTTTCCCTCCCAAGATGCAGGTCAGGGCCGATGTTCTACATAATTATCCACTGCAGTTTCTCTTTCGCAGCTAGTAGACTTCCTCCCCAAGACTCAGAACTGTGCCTAAGCCTGAACTTTCCAATCTCCATGAAACAGCCTTGTTCCACCTTCCTGTGTGCACGTGGGGCGTGCAGGCAGAGACGTTGATGGAGCTGCTGCAGGAGTGGGCGGAGAGGAAGGCTGCAGAGGCAGGGGAAAGGGAAGGCCAGCATGGGGCCAGTCGAATAGGCGTCCCCACTGGCAAGAAGGTAAGCAAGCACTCTTGCTCTCGTCTCTGGTCTCGCTGCATGATGATGGGGAACCTCCTGACTTGCTTTTGTCTGTCGACATTCGGCCGAATAACCGTTGTCGTTTCTTGACTCAATATCTTTCACTCACTAGCACAAGCCTCTCCGTCCCACCGCACTTCACCTCTGTACTGCACTTTCCACCAGCTGCACTTCATCATCCGTCGCTTTCTGCATGAGTTTGGCCGCCTGGAAGCCGAGAACGCGGCAATGCAAGTGATGCAGGGCTCTCGGCCTCTGCACCAACCAGCAGCAGCACGAGCGCCAGACCCATCTGCTGCTGCTGCCGCTGCTGCTGCTGGTGGTGCAACGAATCGTGGTGGCGTGCACAGAAGGAGGCGAATCTCGTTTGGAGGAGATGGGGAGGGCGAGGAGGATGGCGGGCTGTTTGCATGGCTGTGGGAGCAGTACCGGCGCCGCCTCGTGCTCAACAAAGCCGTCGACTTCTCACAGTTCGCCCCGTGAGTAATTTTGATGGTTCACAAGTTGAGATTTAGCTCGAATCTCGTCTTTCACGCCGACCATTGGCCACGCTTGTCTATCAGCAACAGATGGGTCTCTCCACAATTGCTGCCATCCCTGCGCTGTGTGCCTGTGACTTTTGAGTTGACTCAAAAGTCTCCACAATTACTGCCATCCCTGCGCTGTGTGCCTGTGGTGCACGGCAGCAAGGCGGTGAAGCTGCTGCACGCACATCCAGAGATACTCGCGTCGAGCAGCACGCGCAGCAGCGGGGAGAACGTGCCTAGCAGGGCGCGCACTGCTGCAGTCGCAGCCTCATCCAGGAGCCACCTTCTTGTGTCGCATGTGCTTGGTACAGCTCTCGCCACCTCTTTGTCCTCCATTGCACCTCAGCTTCCGATTCCTGATTATCAACGCCCGTCCCATACTCAATACCCAGTCCTGCTCTCTGTCTCCTCTGTTCCTCGCCCCTGTGTGTGGTACCCATCCCCCCTTCCCCATCGACTTCTTTCCTACCTATCCTTTCTTTCCCCCTGACGCCCTTCACCCCTCCCTCCTTCCCCGCACCCCCACAAACGCCAGTGGACGAGTTTCAAGACACCGACAGCTGTCAGATGGAGCTGCTTCTGCTGCTCTGCCGCCCGCTGCCGTCCGCACCGACCCTGACCCTCGTGGCTGACGACGACCAGCAGATCTACTCGTTCCGCGGCGCCATGGGCCTGCCGAACCTGCGCCGCTTCCTCCGAACCTACCCGCAGGCTCGGACGGTCTGCCTCGACCAGAACTTCCGAAGCTGCGGCTCGGTGGTGGAGGCCGCCCGCCATGTCATCGCGCACAACCAATGGCGGCACGCCAAGTGGATGGTCACAGCAGCACCAGTGGGGCCGCTTGTCTCTTTGTGCGAGTGCAGGACGGAACGATGCGAGGCGGCAGCCGTGGTCGGCAAGATTTGTCATCTTGTGGGGTCGTGCGGGGTGCCCGCGAATCAAATCGCGATTTTGTACCGTGTTCAGGCCGTGGGAAAGGTGATGCGGCAGTATCTGATGAGTCACGGGATAAAGGTGTCCACAGCAGCAACAGGAGGAGGGGGAGCAGGGCTTGGGAGTGCAGGAGGAGGGGGAGGAGCAGGAGGAGGGGGGGAGTGGGGAGCAGCAGAGGAGGATGGGGTTGCAGTAGCTGCAAATGGCTTTATAGCAGATGGGGGTAACGGTGCCATGGCTGGTGCTAGGGGAGGAAGGGGGACGGGGACAGTAGGAGCGGTTTTCCATGATATCCTAGCTCTCATGCGATTGGCTGCCAATGAGTCGGATGACGTGGCGTGCAGGCAGGTCCTGCGCTTTGTGTGTCCACCGCCCACCCGCCAGGTGGCGATCTGTCTGCGTACGCTACAGTGCTCCCCGCACCGCATATCCCTCCTTCCTGCCGCCCGTATGACTCGTCTGCACCTCCTCGGGATCTCCCGCTGTGCCGCCCTCTCCAACGTGTCTTCCACCAATTCTGGTGCTTGTAACGGATCGGCAGGCAACAGCAGTGCTTATAACGGATCACACTCTACCCATGCACACAGCGCAGCCGACCCTGCATGGCCCCACACGCTCTCACCAGACGACATGGAGGTCCTAGAGGGGATAAGGAAGGTGGCAGCAGCAGTATCGGAGCTGCAAGGCCTCCTGGGCATCCCCCCTCCTGGTTGGTCTTCTACCCCTGCTCCTGCCTCCTCTACTCCTGCCGCTGCTCCTTCCTCGTTTGCTTCTGCCGCTGCGTCGCGCCCCCCTGCCAGCAGGAGGAGAGGCAGTTCTGCTGGAATTATGGGTCTGGGTGGTGGGCCCTCGCCCTTCCCTGCGCTTTTCCAAGGAGAAGGAGGAGGGGAGGAGGAGGAGGATCGGGTGTCCTGTGAGGCGTTGGTGAGATGTGCACTTCGGTTTGTAAGAGTAGTGAGGGGTGGGGAGGGGCGGAGTGGGGCGGGGGTGGGGGCGGAGGTGGTGGTACAGGGGGTGTTAGGGGGCGGGGAGGGAGGGGGAGTGGCCGGAGCGGTTGGGGGAGGGAGGGGGGGTGGTGGGACGGGTGGTGGTGGGTGGGTAAGTGGGCGTGGGTCGGGAAGTGGGCGTGGGGGACAGGGGGGAGGGGCAGGTGCGTTGGATCCGGCGATGTTTGCGGGGGTGAGAGCTCTTCTTGTGGAGGCTGCAGCTTTTGACAAGGAGAGGAGGCAGACACGACAGGCTATGCAAGCTAGAGCAACGAGTGCTGCAGCAGCAGCGGCGCTAGCAGGAGCATCAGCAGCACGAGCATCTGCATTGAGGAAAGCAGGTGGAGGAGCAGAAGGAGCAGAAGCAGTGGGGGGAATGCAGTTGGGAGATGTGCCAGGAAGGGTGGTGTCAGGGTGTGATACGGGGAGCGAAAGAAACAACAGCGGCAACGGTAACAGCAGCAGTGGGATTAGCAGCAGCAGGTACATGGTTAATCCAAGCGGTTACTTCTCCCCAGCTTCCACCCCTGTGAAAGACCGTTACAGTCCGGGCGGCAGCAGTGAGAGCAAGCAGGGCGGCAAGAGGCCAAGCTACGCCGACCTACTGCTGCAGCGTGAAGGAGTGGTGGGAATGATGGGCGGCGCGGCACAGGGAATGAGGCTCGCCCGGTGGTCCAATGCTGCAGGGACTAGCACCGCAAGGCAAGCTGAGTTTGAGAGACGGATGGGGAGGCAAGGTGAAGTGGCCTCACACTATCCTGGTGGTTATATTCGTGGTGATGGTAATGATGGTGAGAAGGGCAGTGAAGAGAGGGAGGCAGAGAGGGAGGAGGAGGATGGGGAGGGGGAGGAGGGAGAGGTGGTGGTTCAGTTTGTAGACAGAGTGATGGAGAGAGTGCACGAAAGGGAGCTCGGCGTGGGTGTGGAGGAGGGATTGGGAGTGGTGGGGGACGGTGCTGGTGAGAGAGAGGGTGGTGGGGGACACGGAAAGAGGCGAGCAGGGAGAGAGGGTGAAGGGAAGGGGCGGGGGAGTGGGGGGAGTGGGGGGAGGGAGAGTGAGCAGGACAACGGGGGAGTGGTGCTGAGCACGATTCATCAGGCCAAGGGGCTGGAGTGGCAGGCTGTGATTGTAGTGAGGGCAAACGAGGGTGTGCTGCCACTGGTGGACTTCAGTAGAGTCATACAGGCCCCTGCCACTGCCACCACCACCAACTACTCACCCACACCCCAAACCCTACCACCGACAACAACGGCAACGACAGCAGAAGCAGCGGCAGGAGCAGCAGCTGCCGCACGGGGGGGGGTATCGCGACTAGGTGCCTATGCAGCAGGAGGGGCAGAGGCAGGAAGAGAGGGGTGTGAGCGTGAGAGTGGAGTGCGGCCCCTTCCTCCACTGCCTGCCATGCCCCCTGACTATGACGCTCAGCTGGAGGAGGAGGTGAGCTCCGATTTCTGAGCGAAGTTTACTGATCGTCACGTCTCAAAAAATGTGACATCTCAAAGCTCGAAACGTCCCAGACTAGGACAAGCTTGAGTCGGAGGTATACGGAGCATACACGTGTGTTTTCTGGGAATGTATGTTTGCATGGAGAATTTCTTCTGTGCATGTGCCTGTTCCTTCCTCAATGCATGTGCATCTCCCCTGAATCTGCAACTTCCCTGCATGTGCATCTTCCCTGCATGTGCCATTCCTCTCCTCATTGCAACAGAGGAGGCTTATGTACGTGGCACTCACCAGGGCGCAGCAGCATCTCATGGTGCGTCTGCGTGCATGCACTCCACCTCGCCTCCACCCATGTGTCACTCACAGAGCTTACTGAAGGCTGAGTTGACTGTCCAACTAGACACTCAAATGTCTTTCCCCTGTTCTTTTCGCCTGGTGTCGTACTGCCCATTTCTCCTTTCCCCTTTCTCTCAACATGCTCCACTTGTGCTGTATTTAATCGACTCAGGTCACTCATGTGATGTCTGCTGCGGGTCAACCAATGCTGCCATCCAGATTCCTCGCAGAGCTCCCTTCGGGTAAGCGATTAATTGCCTCACCAGCCTTAGTTGTTTTCCACGCTTGTACACAATTTTTGTGTTGTGAATCCCCTTCAGTCGATCCTCGTAGACATAACATGCCCCTCCTCTACTCAACATCTTTTGATAACATCTGGTAAAATGTATACCCTGTCATCGTTTATGCAGCTGCAGTGCAACGCACAACTCAGTACGACGAAAGGCCGACCAATCATGTGTAGCAATTCGTGTCACAACAGTCACAATCTTCCTAGATTATCATGTATTGGATATCACGATTACAGAATGCATTGTCTTACATCATGATCTTGTTCTCAAATCCATCTCTCTGGACGACATACGGACGTTTGCTCCTAGAGTGCTAAGGATGGACAATGGAATGAAGGAATGAATGTTTCACTTTTCAGTAAACAAATTGTCCACTGCTTTCCGGATTCCTGAATGACCGAACGCAAAAGCGAGGATTTTTTTAACGGGTTCGGCAGTTTGCCCCTTCCAATGCTCCCCCGCGACTGAAATGCATAGCCAAAACGTCTTCGAGATCCAAGCCTAGTTTCTGTTCTGCTTGTGAGCAGGGAGTCCTACCATGCCATCTGTTCAATGCCGTTTCTGCACATTAACGTTTTCTTCCGATGACGCTGCTTATGATCACGAGGAGTCGGCTCATTATCCCCAATATACATGTCCCTTGTGCGACAGGGGCTTCGACTCAGTCGCAGGGCTTAGACATCACCAGACAGTCAAACACCCGATAGGAGTTTCATGTAGATTTTGTAATTCTCGCTTCGATTCTGTCCAGTCCGCCATTGCTCATGAGCTGGACCAACACACATTCTACGTTTCCTGCAGGTTGTGCTCTCAGCGCTTCCAGTCGATAGAGGAGGCCATGGCTCATGAGCTACGCTCGCACGGCTTCTTAGCGACTTGCCGGTTCTGTAATCAGTCATTCGGTTCGGAGGAAGCTGTACGCCAGCACGAGTCGAGCGTTCATCAGCCAAGTGTTAAGTGCGAATTATGTGGGTTGTTTTTTAATGACCAGGAAGCAGCATGGGATCACGCCGACGACTCACACTTCAGGGATTATCGCTGTGTGCTTTGCGAGAGAGTTTTCGGGAGCGAGCATGCTTTGTCTCAGCACGAGGACGCCAAGCATCCCAGTGGGCAGATAGTGTTCACAGGAAGATACTACTAAAACATAGCCATTATGGATGCAATGCCATGTAATGATTTTGTTGCCTCATTACCAGGACCAAAGCGATTTCTCTACAGTCACGATGCTTATGAAAGTGCAGCCAAAACAAACAGCACGCATTCTGTGAATGGATACGCTGTCTAACAGAACCAGTGGGCTTATTACTTTCACATATTTTTCGCGGTAAGTCTCAAGGACAGGTTTTTGCGAGTGTACTCTGTTAACGAGGCCGTTGTTATGTACCATTGGTTTTCCCTTCCAACAACCCCCGTTCCCCTTGATATTGCATTCTCGGCGTCGCGCTCAAATTTCCGCGAGTTTGTCACTCATCCATTGTCGTCCCAATGGTACTGACGGGGGATATAGCACGAGAGGTCGGCACACACATCTTCCACGCCACGCCCTTATTCAGAAAAACCAAGAACCTGAGGAGTGCGTGGTGTTAGCAACATCCAGATTTTTACCTCTTCAATTCCTTGGATCTCTAACAAGATGCCAGTTGTTGGATGTCGATACTGCACTGACTCCTTTGATTCGGAGGACCAAGCGCGGGAGCATAAAGAAGAGGAGCACTGGCCCACGTATCCTTGCCTGATATGCGACCGTGGATTTGACTCTGTTCAGGGCCTTCGAGACCATCGGAATAAGAAGCATCCTCATCTTTATTGCTGTCGGATATGCAGCAAGTCGTTCGCATCAACTCGAGCAGTGATGGATCATGAACGGATGGTCCACACTCGCATGGTTCCTTGTCGGATCTGCGACGAGTTGTTTGATTCCGTCGAGGACGCTGCGACGCACGAGCATGACTCTCACCCGATCTATGTGAAGTGCAGGTTGTGTGACCAGGAATTTGCTACTCCAAAAGCTGCTGGACAGCACGAGCAAGACAAGCACACTCCTCTCTTGTCGTGTGAAATCTGCGGAGATCGTTTCTACAACACGGGTCAACTCTTCGAACATGAAACCAACGTACATCCGTTCACCTTCAGCTGCAATATGTGTGACCGTACATTTAAAACTAACCACTCTTGCTTGCAGCACAAGGAAGCGAAACATTATTGGGAGAGCGAGTACTGAGTCTGGAGTTCCGACTGCAGCAGCATGACAGGCGTGAGATGCCCTCTTATGCTCCACTTGTTAATGTTTTTCAGAGATCCGACATTTCCAACACAGATGGTGTTGATTACATCATCCGTACTGGTTACAATAGGATGACACGTTCTGTATGAGAGCCGCCTGCTGTGCTGTAGGGAAAGACATTCCCCAATGATCAAAAGTCGAACCTGTTGGTGCAGGCCACACATCATCACTTGCGGCACTGGCCAGCACATTCTCGAAAACAGGTGTAAGCGGTCGGTTGGGATCCTGTGGTTGGATGTTGACCTGGTGGAGGTTAATGCCAGTGCAAGGCACAGTTTCACTGCAGCGCATGAAGATACCAAACTTATCGCGGACGAGTGCGGAAATGTTCCGGTACCAGATGTTATGCAGAGCAACGTTGTTCTCACTGCCACCACACGTCCAATTCTGATGCCTGTCACAGTAGAACTGCACAAGAGAATTTTTTTTGGGAAAAGTCTTAACCATTCCAAGAAAGGGTTGACAGACATGATGCTTTCATCAATTTCAGCTGAACCTCACGCACCTGATTCAGCATGATGGCCTTGCTGGTGTTCTTCATGTGGATGTTCTCGTACATGACATTTTGGACAACCCCAAGACCCCCTTGCCATGTCTTGATGCGGATGCCGTTGGTCAGGTTGATGAGCGTCACGTTCACCACCCGCACCTTTGATACACACCCCACATTGCCATCCCATCCAACACTCCCAATGCTGCAGAAAGTGCAAAGAAAGGCTTAAGAGTCAACTCAAGTTCTCATAGAAGGCTTGACATCATTCTAGAGGGTGGAGGAAGAGACAACAAAACTGGAACAATGCAAGAAAAGGTGTGTTGATCTGGTGATGTTATTCCAGGTGTACCAGAGACTGACCTTATTCCGTGCCCTGCTGTTGCTTCCAGGTTCCTCACAGTGATGTTATACGCCACCAGCTCCCCCACTGCTACAACTGACACATCGTCATCACCTGTATGCACGCCCATCGGACAGCATTGACAACATCAGCTACCATGGCTCAAGAAACAGCTGCTATCAGTGGCAAGAAGCATCATGTGTCATCGTGCATACGAATGTTGCTGACCTCCATGCAGAAAGCACTCTTCAATGAGAGCGTTCTTGATGCCGACGAGCTTGAGGCTGTCCGTGTTGGGACTCCTGCTGGGCGAGTTGGTCTTGTACCGCCGTATGTGCAGCCCATCGCATGTGTAGGCAAAGAGATGATACATGGGAGAGTTCCTGCAATCACGCAAAAGGGAGAGAAACCCGTTGGTTCCAATCCAGCACACTAAACTCCGTCCTGTTCCCGCTGATCAGGCAGACTCAGCTACACCAAGAACAGTAACCCAGCATCACCCAATGAAGAACCCCAGACGCACCAGATGGAGATCCCTTCCACCATCGTGTTCTTGCAGTGCATCAGCCGGATTGCAAACGGTCTGATCGGAATGGTCTTCTGCAGGGTGTAGTTCCTGAATGCTTTCCAGAACTCCCACCCTTGCCCGTCGATTCTGCCTCCGCCCGAGATCACGAGGCCAAAGAAGTTCTTAAAGGAGAGGAAGCCGCTGGTGTAGGGGAAGTAGGTGCTGGTGTATTCGGGAAAAGGGTAGGCTGCAGGGTCCGAAGGACCTACCAGAACCCCATCGATCTGAAAAGGCATTTTAAGGTTGAGGGCGAGCGGAAGGTTGGAAGGGAGGTTCGTTAAAATGGGGAGAAAGAGAGGACAGCGCCGGTGGAGCAGTGCATTGAGGTGAAGTGTGACGGGAAATGGAGGAGCCATGAGGATAACATGGTAAGGGCGGCTGTAAAATCTCTCACCTTCCCACCTTCCCTGACACTTCTGGACTCAAAAACACTCCACCTGCAGTCGCATGCCAGGCCCACATGGCCCCTGCATGGTGATGGGCTGTATGGCATAGCAGCCACCCCATGGCACCAGCACTGTCGCCACCACTCCCTTCTCCACCACATGCCTTTTGAGACATCTCAAAAGTCAAAACACTTCACCTGCAATCGCATGCCAGGCCCACACGGGCCCTGCATGGTGATGGGCTGCACGGCATAGCAGCCACCCCACGGCACTAGCACCGTTGCCGCCACTCCCTTCTCCACTGCATGCGTGCATGCCGCATGCATGGCCGTGGTCAGCGCATGTGTATCGTCCGTCACTGCATCCCCCACCGCCCCATACGCCACCACGTCAAAGACGCCTGCGAGAGGCTGGGATCTCCACCGCCGCTGCTGCTGCTGCTGCTGCTGGTTGTGCACCTGCCGCTGCTGCTGAGCGGTGACTGGGCGCGAGCGCCAGTGGGGCTTCTGGAAGGAGGAGGAGAAGGCGGAGAGGAAGGGGAAGGGCGCGTCTGTGGACTGGCTGCTGTCAAGCACGAGGACGGTGAGAGCTGGGATGTGGAGGGTGGGGGGGGGAGATGGGTGGTGCAATGGGTGGTGGGGGTTGATATTCTTAATCGACTCAGGAGCGGAAGGGGGCGTCTGTGGACTGGCTGCTGTCGAGGACGAGGACGGCTGTCGACGTGGGGGGGGGGGGGACGGTGAGAGCGAGGGTAGGGCGGGGGGGGGGGGGAGAGGGTAGTCGACTCAATCAGCCTCTGTGGACTGGCTGATGTTAAGCACGAGGATTGTGAGAGCTGGGACGTGTTGGGGGGATGGTGGGGTGACGAGTGGTGAGGGATGGGGAAGGGCGACGGATGATGGGTGACAGGCGATGGGTGATGGACGATGAGTGTGGAGGTCAGCGATAGTGGGGTGATGGGTATGCAGAGGGATGGAAATCGAGCGGGCGAAGCGGGTATGGGGGGTGGAGACGAGAGTTGGAAAAGAGTAGCGGATGACTTAGAAAGGGAAAGCGAAAGGACGGCAGTACGGGAGATGCGGGAGGAGAGACCGCAATGGCAGCGCGAAGAGCCCGTGGCGCGTACGTTGGACTGTGTTGCGGGAGTCGGAGCGGAATAGCCTCTCCACGTACACGCCCTGCCACGGGGACGCGGGGCACGCGGGTGAGGCGGGAAAAATGCGGGGGAGACGGGGATGCGCGAGAGAAGAGGGGGAAGCGGGGGAGGCAAGGAAAAGGCGGGGGACGCGAGGGAGGCGGGGGACGGGGGAGACGCAGGGGGAGCGGGAGAAGCGGGGGAGGCGGGGGTGGGTAGGTGGGGAAGGTGGGGACAGGCACGTCCATACCAGGAGGACGACAGCAGAGAGGATACACAACGAGAGGACGTGCGACGGTAGGTACGGCTGAAGTCGCACGGAGATGCGAGGGGAGGTACTGTGGAGGTAGTACGACGATGGCATGGATGGGCGCAGTACGAGCATACGGAGACAGGCGTTATCCAGATGTCTAAAAAGGCACACGGCAAAAGGTTTCGATCGGAAAGACCAAATGAAGGGAGAAAGCTGATGGCAAAGAGACCTCGTCGATTTGAAGGAGTGGCACCTGCAGGAGGAATGTGAGCGACACGGCGACGACTATCAGCGATACTGCGAGCAACCTTAACCGTCGCATGGAAAGAACCGTGCGAGAGTGGTGATGTGACATCGTGCGATCAGCGCTCTCCTGCTGCCGTCAGTCCATGTCAGAGCTATGGTGGCAGCAACGAGTGGTCGGCTCGAATTACCTCCAAGTTCTGACAGTGAGATTCAAAATCTACCGGTTACCACGTGTTAGGGTGTGGAGAGTAAGAGATGAAAATCGGGCTTAACATTACGAAATGGATAGTCACGATTCGTGTGCGAGTTGAATGCGAGAGTCGGCGAAGAGATTCGAAGAACCACTGACATTTAGATCTGGCTGCCCTGTTTTTGGCTGAGAGATCCTTCTTTCTGGTTCTACATCTACAACATATATTCATGTTCATTTTCAGGGCTCACTCAATTCAATATCTTGACGGAGAGCACAGCATCGAGGATATCGTAGTTGTCCATTTCGAAGCTTCTTTCGCACGCTTCCGCTTCCGCATTCCTGTTCGTCCGATCATCTGATAGGCCACCTGAATCCCAGCAAACGAAGAAGCTGTGTACTCTGGTAACCCGTTCTGGCTTCACTTCACAACCACCAACCGCCCTTTGATGGCAGCGTTTCTCTGGTGGGCCCTAGACTCATTTTCTGGGACAAAACAGCCTCCTAGAGGTGCTGCTGTGCATCCTATTGCGGTGAAAGCCACGCCAGGTTAATGACGATGAGGATATTAGACGGGCTTCTGGCTGTCGCTGCTCTTTCTTTGGGCCTCCACGCGCTGATCGCTTCTGCTCGCGATGTGATCGACCTGACTCCGGATAACTGGAACCTAGACGTGGGTCAGGATATCTACACCTTCGTCAAGTTTTACACTCCATGGTGGGGATATTTCGTTGGCTCGTTCAATGTCCTTCCCTCAAAGCAGTATCCTGTTTTTAGTTTATCGTGCTGGTGCGACCGTTGGCTTATTAGTCGCCTCATGTCGTCTCAAGCTTTTCCAGCCCTTCTAAAGCCGTGATGGTCCGTTCTTTTCTAATGTAGGTGCGGTCACTGCAAGCGACTTGCACCCGAGTGGGAGAGACTCGCCGCTGCCTTCAGGTCCTCCGTATACGTTCACATCGCACAGGTATGCGCACAGTTACACATCAACATATCATCATCCCCCATATCAATGCACACTAAATGCCTGAAATCACTCTTATTATCCTGTTTAGAATCATGCATGGATGCGATGCGAATGTGGTTCATGTTCAGGCTCTCCAATGTTTCTCCCTCCTCCTCTCCACTGTCTACCGCAGGTGGATTGCGACGCGCACAAGGAGCTCTGCTCGCAGTTCGGCGTCACCGGCTATCCCACGCTCAAATGGTTCCCTCGCAACTCGCTCACGCCCGAAACGTAAGCGACACTTGCTTCCTCTCCAGCATTCTTCTGTTTAATTAGTATATCCTGGTTTAATTAGTTTAATTGATCTGTTTCCCAGCCGTGCGGTCCTGGTTGCTTCCGTGTGCGTTCGCTCATCAGTTTCTCCCATTCACCTCCTTCACCGGCAGGTACACTGGCGATCGCGAGGTTGAGAAGCTTCTGGAGTTTGTCAACCAGAAATCAGGTCAGCCTGCTCGATGCTCATGCCATCGAACCACTTTGTCGTATGAAAAAGCCATCCATGCTGACATGGCAGTACCGGCTGATAAGGAGGTCATACTGTCAAACCAAATATTGGTACCAGGCAACCGAAATCTGCAAAAGAACTCGTTTTCCACATCCTCCATCCATCCAAACCGATTCAGTGCCTGACCGACCCCAGCAGTCCACCTTCCTATACATTGTTTTTCCTGCTTCCGTCAACTGTCTGCGTTGATGCAGGAAGCAGAGCGACGCTGCCGGCAGGGAAGCCGTCATTGGTGGTGGAACTGACGCCTGATAACTTCACAGAGATTGTCAAGGACAAGACCAAGCACGTTCTGCTTGAATTCTACGCCCCATGGTACTTCCCTTCCCTCGCTATTCCCCTCTGTCCTCCCTTTCCCTGGCTTCTTTCTCCCCTCCCCATCGACCTCCCTTCCGCCCTACAACTCTCTTCCTCTTACACACACCTGGGCAGGCACACACATTGCAATGCATCCACAAGCTAAAAGACCCAGTCTCCCTCTTCCCCCCCCCCTCTCTATCTTTCTTTTCCCCTCCCTCTCTCTGCTGTCGAGTTCCCTCTTGGTTCTCAACTCTTGTCCGAGTCCTCCTGTTGTAACCGTCGTTCTCTTCCTTTCTCCCCTTCCCGCTGTTCTCCTTCACGTCAGGTGTGGAATGTGCAAATCCCTTGCTCCTGTAAGCCCTCATCACCTTCACCTCCTCGTGTTGCAATGCTAACTCACCACAGATGTATCATGCTACCTGTCCTATCCCCACCCTTCCTCTAAGAAGCTCACTTGCTAACGCTCCTCAACTTCCATCCTCGTTTGCACACTTTCTTCCACCTTGTTGACTTTTGAGGCGACTCAGAAGTCACAAGTCAACTATTGAGTTGACTCAAAAATGCTAACGCTCCTCAACAGCCATCCTCATTTGCACACCTTCTTCCGCCTTGCTTCTCCGATCCACCTGTTTCCTTCACCAGTCCTTCCCACCTGCACCTCCCAAAAGCCACCAGTTCCTTAGTGGCTTCATCAGATCAGACCATGCCCCTTCTGATTTCCCTCGTCACTCTCTTTTTCCTTGTGCGCAGGACTACGAGGTACTGGCAGAGACGTTTCAGTACGAGCCGGACATTGTGATTGCCAAGTTTGATGCGGACAAGTATAAGGGCACCGTGGAAAAGTAAGTGCGTGTGAGGGTAGGCAGGTAGGTAGGTGTGTTTTGAGTTGACTCAAACACGCCACGACTAGGTACGAGGTACTGGCAGAGACGTTACAGTACGAGCCGGACATTGTGATTGCCAAGTTCGCTGCGGACAAGTACAAGGGCACCGTGGAGAAGTGGGTTACAAAATGGAGCACCATGGAATACGAGAAAGACCGACCGACTCGCCCTGTATCACTTTTGATTGAAAAGCCTCACAAGTACAATGGCCACTGTAGAGATTCAAGCACAGAACTCCATCCATGGCATCGCTCAACCCGCTCTGCCAAACTCTTGTTCATCCATCCATCTATTCATTCATCCATTCATCCATTCATCCATTCATTCATTTATTCGTTCCCCTTCCTGACCCATGCCCGCCAGGTACAAGATCTAGGGGTACCCTGAGCTGCGGTGGTTTGCTTTAGTCAGCGCATTGACGCATTCGCCTCATTTGTGTGCTTCCACGCCATTCCCGCCAGGTACAAGATTAAGGGGTACCCCGAGCTGCGGTGGTATCCCAAGGACAACAAGAAGGGCTGCTTTAGTCAGCGCATTGACGCATTCGCCTCATTTGTGTGCTTCCATGCCATTCCCTCCAGGTACAAGATCAAGGGGTATCCGGAGCTGCGGTGGTACCCCAAGGACAATAAGAAGGGCGTGCCGTACAAGACGTCGCGCAACCTGCAGCCCATGATTGACTTTGTCAACGCCATGACCAACAGCATGCGCAAGAAGGGCGGGCTCCTGGATGACGATGTATGTATGAAATGCAGCATGCTCGCTGTGTGGGACTGTTAGAGGCGCGTCAGAACCAACCTGCAGCCCCTCATCGACTTTATCAACAGCATGCGCAAGAAGGGCGGGCTCCTCGATGACGATGTATGTATGCTCGGCTCACTGTGCTGTTTGACGGGCAAAAAGTTATGCCTCAACCCAAAGAAGTTAAGGTTTATCCCCTTCTCTCCTCGGTTGCTCTGCATTGAGTGCTCCATGCATGCAGGTGGGGCGAATCAAGGATCTAAACACAATAGCAGTGAGCTACGCCCTGTCATCTTTTGAGGGGCTCAATAGCAGTGAAGTACGCCCTGCCATCACGGGAGCAGAGGAAAGGACCTATGCCGTATTGCTCACTCTGCTTGGTCGCTCTGCCCTGCTGATTTCGTGCTGCCTGCTTGCGGCGTGCATGCAGGTGGGGCGAATCAAGGATCTGGACAAGATAGCAGTGAAGTACGCGCTGGCATCACAGGAGCAGAGGAAGGAGCTGCGTACGCAGATGAGCAACACCATCGACTTCCTCGACGCCAAGAAAGACCCGTGCGTGCCCACTGTGGCTGTGGCCCCCGATTGTTTTGTGTCGACTTAAATCGCGTGACATTGTATCCAGGTGTGTTCTGAGTCGACTCAAAGCACAGCAGAGGGAGGAGCAGAGGAAGGGGCTGAGGGCACAGATGAGTGAGCAGCACCATTGACTTTTTTGATGCCAAGAGAGACCCGTGCGTGCCCCTCGTGGCCCCCTGAGACGTCCCATAGCATAGCATGCCTTGTGCCCCCTTGAGACTTACCAACTTCTTTTTCAGAATCACCGCCTTAATTTCGTGCTTGCCACCCCGTTAATCTCGTGCCTTTCACTCCCTTCCCCACCCACGCCCACAGCTATGTGCAGATATACAAGACCACATTTACAGCAACGGGAGTCAAAAGGATGCTTTGGGGTCGACTCTCATGTCAGCTTGTCACTCCTCTCCCCACTTGTCCACAGCAATGCACAGACAAACATGAAGATCATCAACCACATTGACAGTACGGAAAGATGCCTTTTGTGATGTCTCAAGTCCACAGCAATGCACAGACATACATGAAGATCATCGACCACATTGACAGCACGGAAAGATGCCTTTTGTGACGTCTCAAAAGTCGACCACATTGACAGCAACGAGAGATACCTTTTGTGACGTCTCAAAAGTCGACCACATTGACAGCAACGAGAGATGCCTGGCAGACGAATGCGCCTTGTGCCTCCTCAAGACGTCCCAGCCTCTTCAGAAGCACCCACCTGATTTCATGCTAGTGACCCCCCTCCCCACCCGCCCACAGCTATGCACAGATATACATGAAGATCATCGACCACATTGACAGCAACGAGAGATACCTGGCAGACGAGTATGCCAGAGTCGAAAGGATGCTCAAAACGGTAAGCATTTCTTCTTTTTGTTCTTCTTTTGCGAAAGGGTGGAAAAGGGGGAGGTGTGGGGTAGAGGGGTGGTGGTTACAAGTAGCCTTTCTGTGACTTTGGCTGATCCTTGTGTGACCTACAACTGCTGACATCCGCCAGTGGTACCCGCACTTGTGCCTGCCATGCTGTCTGCAGTAGTTCCCCTTGCGCCAGCCAAGACAGAGCAGTTCATGGTGCAAATCACATCCTCACAGCCTGACACCGTAATTTGTTGTCCCTCCCTCTTCTTTCCCGCCATCCTCACCCCTCGCACCTGCAGCCCCTCGCCCCGGCCAGGATAGACCAGTTCAGTGTGCATGCACATCCTCACTGCCTGAAGATGTAAAACGGTGTTCCTTCTTGTCGCTCCCTCTCCCTTCTTCCCTATGCCCACAGCCACTCTCCCCAGCCAAGACAGACCAGTTCACGGTGCGCAAGCACATCCTCACTCCCCGACTCTGAGATCTGCTGTTCATGCTTCCTTGCTCCTCCTTCCTTGTTTCTCCCTCTTCCCCAATGCTCACCCACTATGTCCACAGCCACTCTCCCCAGCCAAGATAGACCAGTTCACGGTGCGCAAGCACATTCTCACAGCCTTCCTAGAGTTTGACGAGGAGGAGGTCGCCATCTCCTGAGCCTGTTTTTGAGTCGATTCGAAAAGAGGAGGTGGCCATCTCCCGCGGGGGGGCAGGGGCTCAGCGAGTTGGGGTCGGGTACGGGACATGGTGCGCGGAAGCACAGCATTCTTGTGCTGTGCTTGTGGGCATGGGAGAGGGGGAAGGGGGGCTCAAATGGCAAGCAGAAAAGACCTGCCCTGTTGGTCTGACGGCCAGGTGGTAGGGGATTCGCCATCATTGGCTGGTGGTCATTTTACGGCACTGTTGTTATTTAGCCCCCGTGATCCTGCGTGGGATTGGAAGCCATGGCTTTGCAAGAATGCTGACATTTTTTTTGCATGGTGCAGATGGCAGTATGGTAACCCGATGATTGTAGCCAATGGGGTGGGCTTGCTGGATTTTAACGGCAACCAACCCGCCCTTCACTGCAAAAATCTCCAAAGAACCAACTTACACTCAAAATGACACACCAAGACAAACTTTGTACATCAAATCAAGTCAACTCAAGTGACGGGTATGGCGAGGTTCTTGTGGCCAGAGCCAATGCAGGAGAGGAAGACAGTGCCGGTGGTCTCATCAGGGCGGATATCAAACTGCACGCCCAGCAGGGCCCTCATGTCCCTCAGTGCGTCCACTGTGTGTGGCGTCAACGGCCCCACCCGCACCCGGCACAGCTCTTCTGGGCACAGCGCACACAGCAGCAACACAAAGGCCTGCGGAAGGAGGGGAAAGAGGGGGAGAAGGGTGAGAAAGGGAACGAGGGAAGGGGGGTTGGGGGGGGGTGATGTGAGGGTTGGAAAAGGTGTGAGGACGGATGTCAAACTGCACCCCCAGCAGGGCCCTCATGTCCCTCAGTGCGTCCACTGTGTGTGGCGTCAACGGCCCCACCCGCGCCCGACACAGCTCTTCTGGGCACAGCGCACACAGCAGCAACACTAAGGCCTGCGGAAGGAGGGGAAAGAGGGGGAGAAGGGTGAGAAAGGGAACGAGGGAAGGGGGGGGGTGGGGGGGGGTGATGTGAGGGTTGGGAAAGGTGTGAGGACGGATGTCAAACTGCACCCCCAGAAGGGCCCTCATGTCCCTCAGTGCGTCCACTGTGTGTGGCGTCAACGGCCCCACCCGCACCCGACACAGCTCCTCGGGGCACAGCGCACACAGCAGCAACACAAAGGCCTGCGGAAGGAGGGAGTAGAGGAGTTGAAAAGTAGGAGAGGGGGGAAGGGACCTAGGCAACCGGGCGATGAGGACTGGAAAGGCGTGAAGGACACGCACCAGACACAGCTGCTTGAGGCACAACACACACAGCTGCTTGAGGCACAACACACACAGCTGCTTGAGGCACAACACACACAGCTGCTTGAGGCACAACACACACAGCTGCTTGAGGCACAACACACACAGCTGCTTGCGGCACAACACACACAGCTGCTTGAGGCCCAACACACACAGCTGCTTGCGGCACAACACACACAGCTGCTTGAGGCACAACACACACAGCTGCTTGAGGCACAACACACACAGCCGCAGGAAAAGGTGCGTTAGTGTGTGGCTGGTGAGTGTGGGCCATGTGAGTGTAAAACTTGTGATTGTATGGCACGAGTAGAGGCACATCAGCCATGGGTCAGGCTGATGGCCGGAATACACAGCCAGCATCCCACCATGGACTGCGCTCCTCGCAACCAATTAAAAGGCTCAGTCACAAGTAGGGAGCAGGGACCGTGGATGGGGATGTTGATGTGGGGCGTGCGACCATGCTGCCATGCACCATGCAATGATGCATGTGCATGCAGCCTTTCGAGACAGACATGCAGGCATGCATGCATGTCTCGGCGTGCCCGAATCGGCAGCAGCAGGCCTGTCCCCATCGCCACAAGCAGATCCGTCTGCCTTCTGCCAAGCTGCCCTGCCAGCCTCAAACCTCACCTGTTGACTGCCGTCCACCACGCCTCCCTGCTTCACTTCATGCAGCAGCAGCTGCGCCGCCAGCAGCCTTTAGGGGCGCCTCAAAGGTCCTCCCCTACCCACCTCCTCCCATCCTCCCTATCGCTCAACTGTTGACTCCCCCCCCCCCCCCCCCTTTCTACTCACCTGTTGACTGCCGTCCACCACGCCTCCCTGCTTCACTTCATGCAGCAGCAGCTGCGCCGCCAGCAGCCTTTAGAGGCGCCTCAAAGGTCCTCCCCTACCCACCTCCTCCCATCCTCCCTATCGCTCAACTGTTGACTCCCCCCCCCCCCCCCCTTTCTACTCACCTGTTGACTGCCGTCCACCACGCCTCCTTGCTTCACTTCATGCAGCAGCAGCTGCGCCGCTTGCAACCCTAAATCCTCCGGCACCTCCTCCCCCTGCCCCCCTGCTCCTCCTCTCCCCCCTCTCCCCGCGCCTCCCCCCACCCCCTCATGCTCGCCCCAGCAACTGGAAATGGCCCTTTCGGCGCTCAGCAGGCACCCTGACGTGGTTTCGGCGACCAAGGAAATGCCAAACCCGGGTGACCTGAGGCGTTGAGGGGCAGAAAAAGGTGATGGGGAAGTGTGTTTTAAGTCGACTCAATATACCCCCTCATGCTCCCCCCGGCGACTGGAAATGGCCCTCTCAGCGCTCAGCAGGCACCCCGACGTGGTTTCGGCGACCAAGGAAATGCCAAACCCGGGCGACCTGAGGCGTTTAGGGGCAGAAAAAGGTGACGGGGAAGGTGTGTTTTAAGTCAACTCAATATATCCCCTCATGCTCCCCCCGGCGACTGGAAATGGCCCTCTCAGCGCTCAGCAGGCACCCCGACGTGGTTTCGGCGACCAAGGAAATGCCAAACCCGGGCGACCTGAGGCATTGAAGAGAAGAGGGAGGAGATGGGGGCGGAGCGCGTGGGATGGTGGTTTGAGAGAGGGTCACCATTTAAACAGCAATGAGGGCAGGACAGAGGTAACGTGCATTTCAAAGCATGCCTTTTCAAGACCACCATGCTCACCATGTTCAGGCTCAACCTGAATCAGCCTTGTCACCGCCGCAGCACAAAAAAAAAGCATCCAACCACTTAATTCACCTGTCCGAGTCGGACCCCGAGAAGTGATCAGTGAAGATGAAGACGCCAGGCAGCAGGCGGTTGAGCACCCCTCTAGCCTTTCCTCCTCCCCCCCCACTGAAAGAAAGGGAGAGGAAAGAGCAAGCAACCATCGGGCGAGAGGAGAGGCAACCAACCTGCCAGAGTCTGCCCCCGAGAAGTGGTCAGTGAAGATAAAGACATCAGGCAGCAGGCGGTTGAGCACCCCTCTGGCCGCGTCCACCATGCGATTCGCCACCTGCGGCGCCACCCTCGCTGTGAACGCCACCCCCCTCACCCTCTTCACCAGCCCCTCGTCCTCCCACACCACTGGCTGGCACGTTTGGAGGGGGAATGGGGGAAGGGGAGGGTGGAAACGGGGAAATAGAGTGAGGAGGGTGTTCGGACCATCCACACAAGCAAATCCCTCAACCCTTCCCCCACCACAGGTTTCCCCCTCTCCATCTCTCCCCCCCCTTACGCCCACCCCTATCCTTCCCCCCCGCACCTCCAGCTGCTTCACGACTGGCAGGCGCAGCATCACCTCCCCTCCACCTAGCGGCGGTGCACCACGGCGGACGAGCTTGAGCTCCACGTCAGCCATGTCCACGCCGAACCGCTTCAGGATAGGCAGCGAGAGAAGGGTGTTAGGACCACACACACACGACCGTATCCACTCTAAAGCATCCATCCCCAAAGATTCCCCACCTCAGAAATGCCTTGCTTTTTCCCAGTCCCCTGCCCCTTTAACCCTCGCCCCTGTCCCCTCCCCCCGCACCTCCAGCTGCTTCACGATGGGCAGGCGCAGCATCACCTCTCCGCTGCCCAGGGGAGGCGCGCCGCGGCGAACGAGCTTGAGCTCGACGTCCGCCATGTCCACGCCGAACCGCTTCAGGATGGGCAGCGTCGCCGTGCGGAGGGTGTCTATGCTCGGATCGCGGTCGTCGTTCGTGACTCCTGCGAGTGGACGCGCGTGGGAGCGGGAAGGTATGGATGGAGGTTGTGGGATGGGGAAGGGAAAGTGGGGGAAGGGAAAGTGGGGGAAGGGAAAGTGGGGAAAGGGAAAGTGGGGGAAGGGAAAGTGGGGGAAGGGGAAAGTGGGGGAAGGGAAAGTGGGGGAAGGGAAAGTGGGGGAAGGGAAAGTGGGGGAAGGGAAAGTGGGGGAAGGGAAAGTGGGGGAAGGGAAAGTGGGGGAAGGGAAAGGGGGGAAGGGAAAGTGGGGGAAGGGAAAGTGGGGGAAGGGAAAGTGGGGGAAGGGAAAGTGGGGGAAGGGAAAGTGGGGGAAGGGAAAGTGGGGGAGGGGGGAAAGTGGGGGAAGGGAAAGTGGGGGAGGGGGGAAAGTGGGGGAAGGGAAAGTGGGGGAAGGGGAAGTGGGGGAAGGGGAAGTGGGGGAAGGGAAAGTGGGGGAAGGGAAAGTGGGGGGAGGGGAAAGTGGGGGGGGGAAAGTGGGGGAAGGGAAAGTGGGGGAAGGGAAAGTGGGGGAAGGGGAAAGTGGGGGAAGGGAAAGTGGGGGAGGGGAAAGTGGGGGAGGGGGAAAGTGGGGGAAGGGAAAGTGGGGGAGGGAAAGTGGGGGAAGGGGAAAGTGCGGGAAGGGAAGTGGGGGAAGGGAAAGTGGGGGAGGGAAAGTGGGGGAGGGGAAAGTGGGGGAGGGGGAAAGTGGGGGGGGGAAAGTGGGGGAAGGGAAAGTGGGGGAAGGGAAAGTGGGGGAGGGGGGAAAGTGGGGGAGGGGAAAGTGGGGGAAGGGAAAGTGGGGGGAAGGGAAAGTGGGGGAAGGGAAAGTGGGGAAGGGAAAGTGGGGGAAGGGAAAGTGGGGGAAGGGAAAGTGGGGGAGGGGGAAAGTGGGGGAGGGGAAAGTGGGGGGGAGGGAAAGTGGGGGAAGGGAAAGTGGGGGAAGGGAAAGTGGGGGAAGGGAAAGTGGGGGAAGGGAAAGTGGGGGAAGGGAAAGTGGGGGAGGGGAAAGTGGGGGGAAGGGAAAGTGGGGGAAGGGGAAAGTGGGGGAAGGGAAAGTGGGGGAAGGGAAAGTGGGGGAAGGGAAAGTGGGGGAGGGGAAAGTGGGGGGGGAAAGTGGGGGAGGGGAAAGTGGGGGAGGGAAAGTGGGGGAAGGGAAAGTGGGGGAAGGGAAAGTGGGGGAAGGGAAAGTGGGGGAGGGAAAGTGGGGGAAGGGAAAGTGGGGGAAGGGAAAGTGGGGAAGGGGGGAAGTGGGGGAAGGGAAAGTGGGGGAAGGGAAAGTGGGGGAAGGGAAAGTGGGGGAAGGGAAAGTGGGGGGGGGAAGGGAAAGTGGGGGAAGGGGAAAGTGGGGGAAGGGAAAGTGGGGGAAGGGAAAGTGGGGGAAGGGGAAAGTGGGGGAGGGGAAAGTGGGGGAAGGGAAAGTGGGGGAAGGGGAAAGTGGGGGAGGGAAAGTGGGGGAAGGGAAAGTGGGGGAAGGGAAAGTGGGGGAAGGGAAAGTGGGGAAGGGAAAGTGGGGGGAGGGGAAAGTGGGGGAGGGGAAAGTGGGGGAGGGGAAAGTGGGGGAAGGGGAAAGTGGGGGAAGGGAAAGTGGGGGAAGGGAAAGTGGGGGAAGGGAAAGTGGGGGAAGGGAAAGTGGGGGAGGGGAAAGTGGGGGAAGGGAAAGTGGGGGAAGGGAAAGTGGGGGAAGGGAAAGTGGGGGAAGGGAAAGTGGGGGAAGGGAAAGTGGGGGAAGGGAAAGTGGGGGGGGAAAGTGGGGGAGGGGAAAGTGGGGGAAGGGAAGTGGGGGAAGGGAAAGTGGGGGAAGGGAAAGTGGGGAAGGGAAAGTGGGGGAGGGAAAGTGGGGGAGGGAAAGTGGGGGAAGGGGAAAGTGGGGGAAGGGAAAGTGGGGGAAGGGAAAGTGGGGGAAGGGAAAGTGGGGGAAGGGAAAGTGGGGGAGGGGAAAGTGGGGGAAGGGAAAGTGGGGGAGGGGAAAGTGGGGGAGGGAAAGTGGGGGGGAGGGGAAGTGGGGGAAGGGAAAGGGGGAAGGGAAGGGGGAAGGGAAAGTGGGGGGGGAAAGTGGGGGAGGGAAGTGGGGGAGGGGAAAGTGGGGGAAGGGAAAGTGCGGGAAGGGGAAGTGGGGGAAGGGAAAGTGGGGGAAGGGAAAGTGGGGGGGGAAGGGGAGGAAGTGGGGGGAGGGGAAAGTGGGGGGGGAAAGTGGGGGAAGGGGAAAGTGGGGGAAGGGAAAGTGGGGGAAGGGAAAGTGGGGGAGGGGAAAGTGGGGGGGGGAAAGTGGGGGAAGGGGAAAGTGGGGGAAGGGAAAGTGGGGAAGGGAAAGTGGGGGAAGGGAAAGTGGGGAAGGGAAAGTGGGGAGGGAAAGTGGGGGAAGGGAAAGTGGGGGAGGGGAAAGTGGGGGGGGGAAAGTGGGGGAAGGGAAAGTGGGGGAAGGGAAAGTGGGGGAAGGGAAAGTGGGGGAAGGGAAAGGGGAAGGGAAAGTGGGGGAAGGGAAAGTGGGGGAGGGGAAAGTGGGGGAAGGGAAAGTGGGGGAAGGGGAAGTGGGGGAAGGGAAAGTGGGGGAAGGGAAAGTGGGGGAAGGGAAAGTGGGGGAGGGGAAAGTGGGGGAGGGGAAAGTGGGGGAGGGGAAAGTGGGGGAAGGGAAAGTGGGGGAAGGGAAAGTGGGGGAAGGGAAATTGGGGGAGGGGAAAGTGGGGGAAGGGAAAGTGGGGGAGGGGAAAGTGGGGGAAGGGAAAGTGGGGGGGGAAGGGGAAGTGGGGGAAGGAAAAGTGGGGGAAGGGAAAGTGGGGGAAGGGAAAGTGGGGGAAGGGAAAGTGGGGGAGGGGAAAGTGGGGGAGGGGAAAGTGGGGGAAGGGAAAGTGGGGGAGGGGAAAGTGGGGGAAGGGAAAGTGGGGGAGGGGAAAGTGGGGGAAGGGAAAGGGGAGAAGGGGAAGTGGGGGAAGGGAAAGTGGGGGAAGGGAAAGTGGGGGAAGGGAAAGTGGGGGAAGGGAAAGTGGGGGAGGGGAAAGTGGGGGAAGGGAAAGTGGGGGAGGGGAAAGTGGGGGAAGGGAAAGTGGGGGAGGGGAAAGTGGGGGAAGGGAAAGTGGGGGAAGGGAAAGTGGGGGAAGGGAAAGTGGGGGAAGGGAAAGTGGGGGAAGGGAAAGTGGGGGAAGGGAAAGTGGGGGAAGGGAAAGTGGGGGAAGGGAAATTGGGGGAGGGGAAAGTGGGGGAAGGGAAAGTGGGGGAAGGGAAAGTGGGGGAAGGGAAAGTGGGGGAAGGGAAAGCGGGTGAATGTGGCGGGTGCAGGTTGAGCTTGGGAAAGGGCAAGGGAAAGAGTAAGCGAGGGGGAGGGTATGGTGGCCTTTGACAGGCAGGGGAGAGAGGGATGCTGTAAGGGACCGACATGACGATGTGGAAAACAAATCTGGTCTGCTGACAGACACTGCACTGCACCGCGTCACACCGCAGTGGGCAGTGGGCATCTTTACAGGAGCGCGGGCATACTGTCGGTGTCTCACCTTTTAGTGTGATGTGGAGGGTTTTTTTTCCAAATAACCCGAGCACGAAGAGGGGTTGCAAGAAGTATCCTATGGCGCGCGACGTGCCGCAGTCATGCGTCAGGTTCCGCCCGCCGGAGAGCACGCCAGGCCGATATCTCAGCTTCGTTCCTGTAACGAGCGGGGGACGCAACACGCGAGGTTGGGTGGATCACCTGGGAACGCGATTCGGTCCTACGAGAGTAGAAAAAGGAGCGCGAAACCCGCGGGGAAATCCCTAACATCCACCAGCCATTAAAACCTTCCAAGCAAACCCTAGACCCTGAAACCAGAGTCTCGCGACCGCTGCGAGCTGACCTGTTTCGTTGATTTCCACGACGCAGCCGTTCGAGATCTTTTCGAGCAGTCTCAGCAGCGACGCCTCGTACTCCGTTAAGCCGGGGCTCTCTGCCTCTGCGCGGATGTCGTCTATTCTGATAGCGCGCCCTGATAATGTCGCGTACACCAGACGCTGCCGGAGATTACGCGACCCTCTAAGACGTATCACCATTTCGTCACAACGAATGAACGGCTTTGTAACGGTCGGCTTGCCGGCTTTGCTTCGGGGTGGTCTAAGTTGGGGGTGTCAACGAAAATTAGTACAGAAGGGAGTCACATAGAATGAACATAAGAGTGACAGTTTCCTTTTGTCGCAAAATGCTACAATTTTTGCACACGGGTACACTCATAACAGCCCCAATTTAAATCCGCAGCTCACGAAGCGTTATAGCGCGGATGTCCGGTGCTGGAATTTGAATTCCCAAATTGTGCACCCCCTCCTCTCTCGAAGGTAATCGCGTCTCTGGAGGGCCCATTTTTCGCCGCCTCACCTGCTTCCGCTGCTTTACCCCCTTGGTTCTCGTTTCTACTCTCTACTCCCAAGCCCGTTTTCACGGGGCAATCTCGATGGTGCTGCTCGCTTACTCCCATCCCAAGTTCCAAACCTCCACTCGTTTCCCGCGCTTTTCTCGATCTCCTCGACCAGCTCTCCCGCTGCCTGTTAGTTCTGACGCGCGTAGAGTGCAGTGCAAGCCCACGTTCAGCTTGCCTCCACGGACATTCAACCACCCTGCCACCCTTGATTCTGCCGCTGCTCCCGCGTAGTGTAGGTTGTCGACAGCCTTCGTTCTCACAATCACGTTCACACCAGATCATCAGGTGGCTACCCCTACTAGGCATCAAGTGCTGTGCGAGCGTCCACATCTTGCCGCTCCAATTCAGCTGTTCTTCTTCAGAACTAGACACCAGGGCATGGGCGGTAGGGCAGTGAGCGTCCACGTGGTTTGATTCGCTGACCGCCGTCCCTTTCCTGATGACATGAGCAACTATTATGATTTAGACGACATACTGGCCGAGGATGAGGTGGGTTAGGCTTCTTCTACGCTATTATACGCCATAACGCGTATTATTCTTCTCCATAGTTCCTTTCACTTTCACTTTAGTGTATGGCCTTCTCATCGTCGTGTCCGCGCGTGCCGTTCGCAGAAGCTTCCCGTTACGTTTCGGACCGGCGCGACGGGAGTGGGACGAGCTCTAGACCCGAGCACAGACGCCGATGACGTAAGCATAGACACCTATGGCATCAGCGTAGAACGCTAACGACATTCAAGAAGCTGCTGAGAATGCATACCTTTCAGACGCGAACCTATCTTGCAATACGTTTCGGCGAAAGTGATTTCGAAGCTCTATCCGCGGGAATTTAGTTACAGTGCTCACGCACTCTCCTCTTTGTTCGCTTTCCTGCCATGTGACCTCGTTTTCTGCCACATCTCGTCCGTGTGTGTTCCGCCAGCTGGCAATGGGCGCCAAGGTGGACTTGCCAGTGTGGATGGTGCCGGCGCTAGCAAAGCGAAACATGGTGTCAGCCTTGGAACCCAGGATGTTCGGCGAGAGGTGAGCAAGAAGCGAAACATGTTGGTGGCCTTGGAGCCCAAAATGTTCGGCGAGAGGTGAGCGTGAACCACCCAACGGTATAGCATTTGCTTCGGCGACGTGCGAGCAGCAGCTTTTGCGTCGGCAGTGGGTGAGTATGAAGCAGACATAGCCTTTGCTTTGAGGGAATGAATCAGTTAGCATCGTAGCCTGTGCGTCAGTGACAGGTGAGGCAGCAGCCGACGCTACAGCCGTGGTATCAGCTTTAGAGAGGCAGCAGCAAGCTTTGTGACCTAAGTTTAGTCGACAGCAGCAGCAGGGAGAGCAGCAAATGCTGTGTTCCTAATTTTTGGTTCACAAAAGGCGCGACACAGTTGAGAAAGGGCACGCACTGGCAGCAATAAGGGGAGTGTGTTCCAGTCCGCTTGTGAGCTTGTGATGGACATACGTTGATAGGCGTTTTTGTGCGACAGCTGTAAGCCTTTTTCTTTCCTGCCCATTTTCAATTTTTGGATTTTTACAGCTTTTCTATTTGAGGGTACAAGTTGTTCTCCATTGTATTTTGCCTAACTTTTGGTTCACAATCCATGGCCTCTCTTCTTCTGATATGTTTCCTCGTGTCATCTCTTGGTTTCCAACAGGATTCGGAAGGAGGTGCAAGCAGACGCTGCGTGTGTCAATCTCCGTGCCTGCTCGCCCTACTACTACTCCTTGGGCACCAAAATTGCTCCTTGGTACCTTGTTTCTGTCCGCATGGATCCTGATTGTTGCCTCCAGGGCTCATAGTCGCGCCATGAGCACTTCATAGATAGCTTACTTAGCTCCCCGAGCTCTCTTCTCGTTAGCTCACTTGTCAGCTCTATTCTCACTTTTGGTAGGGAAGCCTATGGTACCTGTTGATTGGATCCATGACCTAGTGTTCTTCCCACACCCCACTCCTCTGACTCTTGTGCATTTCTATGCACTGCGTATCATCAGGGTGCGGGACAAGACGCTGACGCGCTTCCTGTTTACCACCTTTGTGGAGCGTTATGCTGACCTGCTCACACGCGCCTTCGTGCTCCCGGAGAAGGAGGTGCCTCGTGTGCGCCGCCTGCTGCCCAAGGAAGAGCAGCAATGTGCGTGTGCGGTACAGGGGAAGGGAATGAGCAGGGGAAAAGGGATGAAAGGGGAAGGTTGATGAGCAGGGGAAGAGGTTATTGGGACTCTGAGTGGTCTGTGTCCATCAGTGTGTTCGCCATCCCATGTTTTGGACAATGGGAGGTGCAGGGAGTAAATGGGCTGGTATTTGTGTTGGCGTGATTAATGCAGATTGGGTGGAAGGTATGTTGTCAAACAACGCTTCTATTCCTGTGTGTCCCACATTCTTTCCTTGGGTGTTTGCAGTGCTGTCTGCAGGGTATGCAGCCATGCGCAGGTACACAGCATGGCAGGAGCAGAGCTGTAACCGTCTGTTGGTCTCTCCCATTCTTGGGCGCAGCCTTTCTCGCAAGCGTGCCAGGTTGCCTTTTGCTGATGTGAGCAACAATAATGGCAACACAACAAGCGCCAGCACTGATGGTGAAAGAGGGAAGGGTGGAGGTGGATGGGGAGGTGGAAGCACATCCAGCAGTGGCTGGGGTGCTGGTTCTGTTGGAGACGGTTATGATGGGAGACCTGGTGGAAACCAGAGACAACGGAGGTGATGACAAGGGATCAAATACTTGCGTATTAGATATTGTTAATACAGTTTTGCTTTTCCTGTTTATGTTTTCTTATTTGTTATTCATGTTTATTATAGGCACATCCTCAGTTATCGCTGTACAGTTCTTGCTACTTGATGTTTCGGTGCGATGATCTGAAGCGGATTCAAAAGCTTGAAGTTATGGCGAAGCTGTGCTAGGAACACGCCCATTCGCCTGCCACTGCCTGCTACGAACATGAGTTTCGTAGCTGAAGCCGCGTTTGGGGTTCCATCATTGATGACGACGGCCAAGAGATTGCAACCATCGGTTGTGTAAACCTCGCAAGCCAATCAGCACACAGATCCACTTCGCAACCTATAACCGCGTGCACATGATTTCGCTGAAACCACAACCCAAACGCGGCTGCCCCCTTGCGAAATTTCCGCATCGCCAGCCGTCGGACGAGTCTGCCAAGCTCAAGGACTGCTGTGCCCTCTATAATCAATCCATTCCTCGGGAACCCCGCATGCTTGAATTCGATGAAGCTCACGACCGCCTCCCTCCCTAAGGGCGCGTGTCTTTTGGTGTAGATTGTCAAAGTTCGAGCCTAGTACCGCTTTGTAACGTGGCGACACGTCTCTCAACTGTATCCTACCGCGTACAACCTTTCTAAAAGTTCAACTTTTGGCCTAAGTTCAACCTCAAAGGACACGCGCCCCAAACTCGATCCCCCTCCCTCCCACTCCACTCTGCACTTGGGAATGTCTCTGGCTGCCCATCTGCGATACTTTTCACACCCAGTCCGACACTACCATTCATCAGTCTGCTTCTAGATGCCGTCTGTAGTGCTGCTGCCTTCGCCTCGCTGTCTTGCCCTGTCTAGTACTTCGAGATGTGCTCCTTTCTGGCGGGAAACGTCTGGTGTTGACAATGGATCCGTTTCTCCCAGCTCCGTCCCTCCATCTATCCGTGGGATGCCGGGACCATATCCCGAACCTGGTCAAATCAGCCACTAGGTCATGTGACTCAACTCATGCAATAGCTGATGAAATATTTCCTAGAATAAATCTCGCGTATCGGCGCTCCCGTACCACATTCTGACATTCTTAGAGGACACTCCAAAAATCTGCTGACATCGACTGACCAAACTGACTGAGACCTGCGTTTTACTCGGTACGATAGTCTCGTTCTGCGTCGTCAATAAGTCCTCGTTACAGTGCTTGCTGTCCGAAACTCAACGAGTTCGGGACTGTTCAGTAGTATGTTTAGATTCCAAGTTCAGGGCATCCCATTTCTGGCGCTTTGTAAGCTAGAGGCACTGTGCAGCTTAATCATTGTGTGTCTAATTCTGTCGACGCCACACACCACTGTCACGCGACTTCTTGGTTGCTACTGCTAGCCTGTCGATACTGTCGCACGTCGTAGTCCAACCAGTGTGCGACAAAGCGATGGCGGTCGTCCGCAGAATCGCGGGCTCTCGCAGAAGCACCGCTGCGACGCTCGGATCAACGCCGCTCATCAGCATGCGACTAACCATCCGATGTCATCATTACTACCACCACAACCATCAACACCACCGCCACCATCACCACCAACACTGCTGTCTCCTCCTCCTATTATTTCTCATCCACGCTCTCTTTTCCGCTTCTTCCGCCGCATTTGCCGCGACTCTAGCCTCGGATGTCACGGCGCTACAGGGTTTCCTGCAGGAGCCGACCAATCAGGCGAAGCTGATTGACTGGAAGTCGGGGACGGACCCGTGCGCCACGGGCTGGCTCGGCGTGAAGTGCGCCTCAGCCGTTGGATCAAATCCTGCAGCCGTCGGATCAGTCCCAAGTAGAAGCAGTAGCAACGGAAACGGTAGCAACGGCAACGGCAGCAGCAAAATGAATGGAACTGGAAAAGGACAGGCCACCACAGGGGCATTTCAGTATGTAGTGAGAATAGACCTGACAGGGGTTGGGTTAACTGGTTCTTTGCCCACCACGTTAGGATCACTGTACCAACCTACTGCTATTGTGCTCAGCCGCAACAGCTTCTCAGGCTCGTCCATTCCGAGCCAACTCGTCCAGTTAACGAGCCTACAGGCGCTTCTGCTCACCGACTGCCAGCTGGTTGGGTCCATACCTGACAGCCTGGGCAGCATGACGAGCCTGACGTACCTCAGCCTCGGGCAGAACCTGCTGGAAGGTCCGGTACCTCCGTTCCTCTTCACATCTCTACAATCCCTGGCATTTCTCAGCCTGAATAACAATAACCTAGGCGGGGAGATTCCCCCAGAGATCGCCTCAGCGCCTCAGCTGCTGAATCTGTCACTTCATGTGAACAACCTGACTGGAAGCATACCAAGCACGTTGGGCAGCGGAGGTGGAGGGTTGCAGCTGAGACAATTGCAGCTGCACCAGAATCGGCTCACAGGGACGATTCCCAGGTCTGTTGGGAACCTGCTGGCGCTTGAAACGTTCACAGTGTACAGAAACGCGCTGTTGGGACCTCTTCCGATTTTCATGGGTAAATTCCCCTCCAGCTCGTACCGGGAGAATGGATTCTGCAGCAGCCAGCCAGGGGGGAGTTGCCCTGTTGATGTGAATGCCCTGCTCGGGTTTCTGCAAGGGGTAAAATACCCTTTGACTCTGTCGAATTCTTGGGTAGGAGCTGTTCCATGTGGGTCTCCTAACTGGCTCGGCGTTACCTGCTCTCCAGGGGACCAAGCCTTGGTCGTAGGCCTGGTGCTGCCGAACCTGGACCTGGAAGGCTCCGTGGCGTCATCATTGGCGAACCTGACGTCACTAGCAGCCATAGTTTTGAAAAATAACAACCTAAGCGGCTCCATTCCGGATTCCCTAACGTCCTTAACCAAGCTCACCCTGCTAGACGTCAGCAACAACCGCCTGTCCGGCCCCTTGCCTGCATTCTCCTCCCAAGTCGAGCTGGTTACCACCGGTAACAGTTTTGGACCAGCGCCAACACCAGCTCCTTCCTCCGCTCCTTCCCCACCATCCGCCCCCTCCCCTGCCCCTCCTTCCTCCTCCCCGCCTTCTTCCCCCTCCCCTGGCCCACCCTTCCCCCCAGCACCACCATCCTCCCCCTCCCCTGCCCCATCCTCCTCCCCTGCTCCCCCGTCCACCTCCCCCCCATCCTCCCCCGCGCCCCCATCTTCCCCTTCCCCTGGAGTCCCTTCCCCCCCTTCCGCCCCCTCCCCATCCGCATCAGAGGCGCCTGGGGGGGCAGGTGGAGGGACGGGAGCAGGGGCAGGGTTGGTGGCGGGGGTGGTGGTGGCGGCAGCAGTGGTGGCGCTGGTGGCGGGGCTGGCTGTGGGATGGTGGTGCTGCGTCCGGCCAGGCAAGGGCAAGAAGCCTCCCCAAACGCACCCCGACCTTGCCGCCTCCTCTGCAAACGCTTTGACAGCAGCTAGACTCGCAGCAGCAGGAGCAGGAGAAGTAGAAGCAGGAGGAGAAGGAGCAGCAGCAGGAGCAGGAGGAGCAGGGCAGGGGGCAGGAGCAGTGATAGCGAGTGCTCGGTTGGCACTGGGGGGCGGGCTGACGATGAGCATAGAGGTGATTCGTGAGGCAACGGCAAGGTTCTCCCCCAGCCACGTGGTGGGGAGGGGCGGGTTCGGCACGGTGTACCGTGGGGACATGCCCGATGGGAGCACAGTGGCCGTGAAGAGAATGGAGGCTGGAGCGGTCACTGAAGCAGGCACACGCGAGTTTCTGGTGAGTACCGCGGTGGGTTGTTGTGGAGGGGCGGGTTCGGCACGCGTGGGGGGGTGGGGAGGGGCGGGTTCGGCACGGTGTACCATGGTGACTGCCTGATGGAAGCACAGTGGCCGTCACTAGAGCCAGGACACGCGACTTCCTGGTGAGTGAGTAGGCTGACTCATATATTCTCTTATTTGACACAGCCTACACCACAGGACTCCTGGTATGTTCCTTCCACGCGTCTTTTTCCTCCTGTTTCTCATCCCGTGACAATGCTGTGAAAGAGTGGACGTGTCGTTGACTCGACTCAACCCAATAAGCTCCCTCTCCTGCTCCTCTCTGCCCTTGCACCCTCTTATCCCTATTCGTGCACCCTCCCATCCCCATCCGTGTCCCCTCCCATCCCCATCCGTGTCCCCTCCCATCCCCATCCGTGCCCCTCCCCATCCGTGCCCCTGCCACCCCTCTCCCTTCACCCTGCCACCCCATCAGGCGGAGGTGGCAGTGCTGTGCAAGGTGCGCCATCGCAACCTGGTGGCACTGCTGGGCCATGTCATGGACCACCACGAGCGCCTGCTCGTGTTTGAATTCATGGAACTGGTGAGTCATTGTTGGTTGCTACTGGATGTGCATTCCTGGAAAGTCATTATGGCTTGCATCTGTGGTTGACGGCTGTGGTGGGAGCAAGGTACTGGTGCTGCTGGGGCATGTCATGGACCACCACGAGCGCCTGCTCGTGTTTGAGTTCATGGAGCTGGTGAGTCGTCATTGCTTGATCTGAGGTTGATGGCTGCGGTGGGAGATCAAGGGACTGGTGCTGCTAGGCTGCACGCCATGGATCACCACGACTCCTGCAGGCGTTTGAGTTTACAGGAATGATGAGCTCATCTCTTTGGCTACCAACTTCAATGCAGGGAGGTACCTGGGTCATCTACTGTCATGCCTGTCGCTGTCGGGATTATTTGAAGTTGGAGGGTATCAAGTAACGCTCGTCCGTATCACCCCCCTTACCTGTCCACCCCATCCTCCCGCAATCAGGGGCCGCTGAGTCAGCACCTCTTTGACCCCACCCGCCACGGCCACCGCCCACTGACGTGGACGGAGCGGCTTGTAGTAGCCGTGGACGTGGCGAGGGGCGTGGAATATCTGCACAGCCTGGCAGGTGGCAGAGACTCCATCGTGCACCGCGACTTAAAGCCCGCCAACGTGCTTCTGGATGGGAGGCGGCGTGCCAAGGTGGCTGATTTTGGCCTGGCGAAGCTGCTGCTGCGACCGATGCTGCCGCCCGGGGGAGGATCGGGGAGGGAGGGGGGGTGTGGCGTTGGGATGGATTCTGAAATTGCTCCGTCGGTTGAGACGAGACTGGCTGGCACGTTTGGGTATCTGGCGCCTGAATATGCAGGTGCGGTGGGATGGGTGGAGATGGTCAAGTGGGATGAGTAGAGGAAGAAGTGAATCAATTAATCATATCCTATCCCGTTTTCATTCTTATCCGATCCCATCCAACCCCTCTCATCCTATTCAAAGGCATTCCACCCCACTCCATACCCCATGCCCTCCCCTCACTCCCCAATCTCATCCTATCTGCCCTCCAGCCATGGGTCGTGTGACAACACGCTCGGACGTATACAGCTTTGGCGTTATCCTCATGGAACTGTTCACTGGGCGGCGAGCCGTGGACACATCCCGGCCTGATCTCTCAGCGCATCTGGCCGCGTTCCTGCTGCCCATCATTCCGGACCGCTCCAAGCTTGTCCAGGTGAGCGGTGGAAGGAAGCTGGGGAGGAGAGGGGGAGAGGAAGTGAATGGTTGGAATGTGTGAGAAGATAGAGATGTTCTTAACGTTGTCAGAGGCAACAGGGTTAGATCAACCATGCCTGCATCGGCATAGCTCCATCCGTAACGAAATCTTTTGACTATCTCTGTTCTGCATCTCTACATTTCCTGTCCCTCTTTCCAGGTGGTGGACCCTGCCATAGCAGCAGGCATGGCGGATCAGACCAGTCAGGCGTTTGCCTCGCTGTGCACGGTGGCAGATCTGGCGCTGCACTGTGTGGCTGCAGACCCGCGCCAGCGACCCTCGATGACAGACGTGGTCACTGTGCTCGCTCCACTCGTCAGAACCTGGGCCCCTTCGGTACGTTGTGCTCTTGCGCTTCCCTGCGTCCATCATCGTGCTCCATTCTTCACCCTGCTCCCGTTCCTCCTGCCGCCCACCCAGTTTGTCATGTTCTAACAAGCTGACGTGGCTGGTCCCTTTTCCTGATGCAGGAGGCCGTTCATACACAGCAGCAGGGGGAGAGTGAAACAATGGGGATGACCCTGGATGTTGCAGTGCAGTACTGGAAGAGCCTTGATGAACAGGGATCATCAGGCAGCTATGGTTACACATACGGAAGGAGCCAGGATCACAAGCACAGTCAGGCCCTTGCAGACAGTAGCAGCTCAGGGTTTCATGGACGGGTTGGCATATACGGCAGCAGCAGTGATGAAGCATGTGGCATACAGAGTGACTTCTCGCCAGTCTTCCAGTCGAATGAGCGGAGTGCTTCGAGGTATCATGACAATCATGAGTCAGGTGTTGATGTGGAATCGCCCGTGGCATCTGTTACTTGTGGCGGTTTATTCTCTTCTGGAGGCCGCGAGCAGCAACAAGTGGTGAAACAAGAGGAGCATTTGCTGTTGCTGTCATCACGGGATGGAGGGGAAGTGAATGGACAGCTTGCCTCAAGAACAGCTGAAGTGGAAGCCACTCAGGGCAAAGTCACTGAGCTTCCCATCAGGTCAGGGAGTACCGGTAACAGTCTTCCGACATTTGCTGATCCATCAAGAAGTCTGGTTGGCAGGTAGTGTTGTGATTGTTCTGCTGAGATAGTACTGTTATGTTCATATGATAAATAGTGCGCCAATATGCATTCCTCCACTAAAAGATGTTCATACAATAAGGTTAGACTGCAGCACGCCTCTGATGGAAACTGGGAAATATTAAATGGTTTCAGACTTCAATATCAACATTGCTCGAAGCATCATGTCTCTGCAACTGCTTGTAGAACTCCACAACCTTTACATTTACCTGCAAAGGACATCATACTGTCAGTCCAACTCGTGCAAGATACTAGGATGAACCATTCAGAAAGGTAGGCATACCTTGACTTTGCCCGCATCAAAACCCAGAAGTCGAAGACCTTCAAGGGACCGGACTCGAGAGAGAGCGACATAGACCATCCCATAGTCGAACGCCCTCTTCAGGTCAGTTTCCACCCTGTCCAGCGTCATTCCCTGGCACTTGTGCACACTGAGGGCCCATGCTAGAGTCAATGGAACTTGCCAGCGCTTGGCAATCTCTGCACCATATTCCTCCACAGCCCAACTTTCAGGACCAATAATTCTCTCAGACTGGTCACATGCAAAGCGAACCACGGGCCACATTCCCGAGGGGTTGATGACGGGAGCCAGATGCCTAAACTGTGCAGCAGAGGGGTGAGCGGGGTCGCAAAAGCCAACCACAACACCTCTGGCACCATTGACAAGCCCTTGGGGAGTGTCCAGGTTCTGCAGGGTTTGAACGCACACATGTCATCACAAAATGCATGTCTGGATGAAAAAAAGTGGAAAAAAATTGGAAGTGTTGGCACCTTGATAAGCATGACTTGTGCACCACGGCGCAGAGTCAGTCTCTTTTCCGCTCGTGTGAATTCGAGCTGCTTCTTGGCATATTCGCTTTTCCCCTCATCCTTGGCATTGTACATCATTTCCATCTCTTGGAGTTCCCGGAGCCGCTGAAAGTTCTCTCCAGCTACATCTGCCTGAAACATGATGCAGTGTCAGATGGTTGGCAAAGGATTAAAACATCCAACAAGCGGACAAACTCACTTGACAATATGATATCGTGCTCACCTTGTACGGGTACAGCTTTGTCAACATGATGCCATCGTTTCCGATTGGAGCACAGTGAATACGCTTCCTCAGCCTCTCCTGAGTTGCAGGTGTGACAATGCCTTCCCTGATTTCGTTCAACATGCTCACAAACGAGAGGTCTGACTGCCTGAACACATGCTTCAACTCCATCTGTAGATCGAAGCAATCATTCCAGCAATTCGCCTCGAAAGCGTAAGCGACGTTGCTCTGAGGATTCACTGGAGGGAGTTGGAAAAAATCGCCAGTTACGAGAAGCTGAATGCCTCCAAAAGGCTTGGACGACTTGCGGATTTTTCTTGCGATGAATTCAAGGTTATCCTGAGTGCCAGCATCAGATAAGGGAGAATAAGAGCGAGTAATATGAACAATGGAGACGAGTTGTCAACGTTGCAAAGGCCAACTCACAAAAAGCTGGGCATCGATCATGCTGATTTCGTCAATGACCAGAGCTCGTGCACCTTGCCACCTCTGCCTTGCTTCCCTCCGAGTCTGGACCTTATGCAGCAACTCTTCTTTAGAACCGCTTCCTATACCAACTCCAGCAAACGAATGGAGCGTAATTCCTGAAAGAGCACAGGCAGCAAGGCCTGTCGATGCTGTCACGTAAACAGCATCGCTCCCATGCATAGCCCTGAAAGTTTAGAATAAAAGTTTTAGTCGTCTACGGAGGAGACAGCGTGGATATTTTGGATAACGGCATCCCTACCTCAGGGAGCGGATAGCGAACTCGAGCACAAAGCTCTTACCGGTCCCTGCACATCCTGTCACAAAGACAGACTTGCGCATAGAGACGGCAGACAATGCCTTCATTTGCTCTCCAGAAAGCTTAACGTCTGAACGCTTTTTCGAGTCTTGCTGCTTAGGCTCGTTGACTTGGTCGGACTGAGTAACAGCAGGGGTGTATGGTGGAGGAAGATTCTCCGGCGGAATGGCATTTTCGATTCTCCTCTTTTTAAACGGCATGTCGGCATTAACGGAAGCTCGCAGATTGGCAGCTACTGCAGGCACGCGTTCGAGCGCATTTCGTCGGATGGCTGCTTCTCGCCTCTTAATTGCTTCCAGCCTATTTCTCTCAATTCTTTCAAGCTGATCTGGTGACAGCTGACTTAACCGAGGGTAATCCTGGCTTGACATGGCGCTCTCGACACCTGTTGTCAGAGTCATCACTCTAGATTGAGCAGTGGTGGAAGCGCGCACTTCGAAGCTAGGAAATCACAAGTTTGAGAATGCTTGAAAGAAAGGGGGTGTTGGAGTTTGAATTGAAAGGGGTGCGGGCTGGGTGGCTGAAACCGAAAGGCGAAAAACCAACGTGACGCTTCTGCAAAAAGGCGGGAACTCTCTCTGAGGGATGCTGTGGCTTGAGCGAGAAGCACTGTTCACGGATCAGCATCGATTGCTTTCCAATGCTGGATTACTAAAAAGGACAATGGTGATTGGGGGTCAACCTAAGCTGCACAGCCAAGGTGTAGTAGACCAGACTAACGTATCAGCACCAGGTTGTAGTTGCCATTTTCGCAAGCTAGTGCTGGGCTGTTGGTCAGTTTCTGGTCGCATAGCTGCATCTAGTCTAAACACATCACCGTACAATTAGCCAGGTAGCAGGCCCTGATACTACCAGTTCGGCACCAAGGTCAGGCTAACCGTGTGGACAATGCTCCAGCTTGGTATGGTAATTCCAAACCTTGCTCCTGATCCACTAACCATCCTCTGCAACATCTGCCACCACCACACTTCCTCAAGGAGCTTCTCATCAGCGCATCTCCTTGTTCCAGACGCTTCTTGATCCTGCACTGAAACTCAGTCCATCACTGATGTCAACGCAACCACCAGGACCTGTTTGTGTCCACAACTGCTACATGGCTACTCCTTGGGCCCACGAGAGGTGCTTCCTAGACGACCCCCAGCAAACATGTCACGCCCCTGTGAAGGGAGGGGACGACATTGATGACAAATTGCCATAAGCATTAAAAAACAGGGAAACCCAAACAGAAACGTTAAAGAGCTGTTCATATCAAGTTTGAAGGGAGAACAGAAATAGGGAAACGGGGAGGCAATGATACAAGGGAGAAACTTCAACCTGTCAAAGAAGGACAGATAACCAACATGAAGAGAGGATAACCTACCCGTGCCCCTGAACGGATGCCAGACAGAGCGTTCGAAATGCCGAGCCCTCCTGACCGTTTCCCTTCCACCTGCTCAGCTGCCCCTCCAGCCCTCGTTCCTGGGACCCCCATGCCCATCCCACCACCAGATGCTGCAGCCGCTGCTCTCCTGGCAGCAGAGCCACTGCCTGTGCGCGTGTAGCCACCCTGATGCATCTGACGGTCAGCATCAACTCCCTGCACAGTGGCAGGACCGCACAGAAAGGAAGATAAACATCTGATGGTGAAAGGATCAGGGAACACATGAGGCATGGTTAAAATAAGAAGCAAAGCTGGCAAGCAAACCATACAGCGAAAGAGGAAGAGGAAGAGTAGGAGAAAGTAGGAGCAAGAGGAAGAGTCAGAAAAACGGCAGGGGATCTTTGACAGGCCTCACATCATCATCACGCAGTGGGCTCCTGTGCCTTGGGCTCTCGATCAGTGGTGATCGACGCCGCGCCATGTCATCTGATAGAAACGAGGCATTGCAGACAAGTGGAGTAAGCGCTCGAGTGGTGCGAAAGAGGTGGAACCAGACCATGGTAGCCTGCACGAAGGAATGCACACCTGGCCATATGAAGCACAATCTAAAAGTTCATCCCTTACCCATGCCGGCATTGGCTGCTTGATTTGCAGCCACAGGAGCAGGCGCCACTGCTGCGTTTGCCTGGAATCACCCAGCAGTAAGACACAAAGCAAGACGTCAGTCGGGGACATGGAAAAGAGAGCCATCCTCATAACACCAGCAGCATTTCCGCTGCAATGCCTAAGTACATACATGTTGACAAGAGAAGGCGGGAACCATGGAGACGTACAAGGAGGCGCTGGGGAGCCACGGATGCCTGGGATTGCTGATATTTGAGAATGGTCCAATCAAAGACATAGTCAAACTGGAATCCTGCCAGCCACTCACACCAGAAGAGCATAAGCGTTATGGTGGATGGTTCGTCCATGAAAATGAGCAACACAACAATGACGAAAGAAACACTGCAAAACTGCAGGCAGCGAAGCGAGGTACCTTCTCGTATGAACAGGTCACGGAAAAGTCGCTTGAGGTAAGCATAATCTGGCTTGTCGTCAAAACGAAGGGAGCGGCAATAGTGGAAGTATGAGGCGAGCTCGGTTGGGTAGCCCTTACAAAGAACCTGGTAAATAGGTGCAACAAGAGGAAGATCAAGAGCAGCAGGATGAGCAAAAGATCTCGGCACAGCACACAGTAAAGTTCCTCGACAGCCTCTGAAGAAGAAAAATATTTCACGAGAGTACCTCGATGGGAGTGGACATCTTCTTCTCGCTAATCTTCTCATACTTCTGCTTCTTCGTCCCAGCCTTCAGACCCTGCCATGGAAGGCTGGAATCAGAAAGGCAAGGAGGGATGGCAAAGGAAACAAATGGTCAGGTCAAAAACAACAAAAATACTAGAACCATTTCCCTACTGCACACTGCGCCATTTCGGGCACTGCACACTGCACCATTTCAGTTGCCACAGCCCAAAGAGCAAAGGGGCACGTGCATGACATACCTTCCTCGCAGAAAGTACATCAGCACATAGCCAAGCGACTCCAGATCGTCCCTCCGGCTTTGCTCTGCAATGTAGAGGTTGAGAAACAAAAAGCGCATTCAGTATTACAATTATTGGGGCCCAAATAAGTGATGTGGGTGATTGCTCTCACGAGATCTACGTGTGACATACCAATGCCAAGATGTGTGTTGATGCTGGCATAACGAGCTGTTCCTGTCAAATTCTTGTTCTCTCTGCCCGAACAGTAAACACATGGAAAACGCTTCTGTCAGCGCTTGAAATGTTTAGACGACAAAACTATCAGATTAGAAAGGCAACGCAACCACCACAAACCTGTAAGGAATATGCTGATGGGTGGTGGGATCGCGGTACTTCTTGGCCAGACCAAAATCAATGACGTAAGCCTGGTTCGCCCGTCGTCCTAGGCCCATAAGGAAATTATCAGGCTTGATGTCTCGATGCAGGAAGCTCTTGGAGTGGACATACTCCACGCGATTCAGCTGCCAGGGTGGACGGCATCGGGCGAAGACGTTAGATGACAAAGCATGTCTTACGAGGTGAAGGGAAAACAATGGCACTCAGACAATCTAGACCTATTCTCATCGCACCCCCTTGCTGTTATCCCGTCGCTATTACTCGCCTCCTGTTAGCCGCGGCTGCTACTTCGCTAAACTTAAATCCACTGTTACGTTGTGACGGATAATGATGACGATCCGCCGTTAACTATCTCCCATCTAGTCGCATTAATCACCTCGTGTACGCGACCGTCACGGATATGAGAAGAGCTAGGAAGCTTCGCAAACAACGGTTAACTGTTTCTTCCCAAGCGTCAAGAAGCCGATGGCTGTCCAACAGCCGTAGACAAGGGGGAAGAGACCAGAATGAATTAGGAGCGGTGAAAAACCGAGAGTCTACATATCCGTCTGCGAACCCACCAGCTGGTCGGCAAGCATGAGCACGGTCTTGAGCGAGAACTTTCTGGCGCAAAAGTTGAAAAGGTCTTCTAGGCTGGGACCGAGCAGGTCAATGACCATCACATTGTAGTCGCCTTCCACGCCGAACCACCTAATGTTCGGAATGCCGGCTGGGAGCATTCAATACGCGAGGATATAGAAGGGACATGCGGTAAGACTCTCTCTAGCAGAAGCGACGCAACAGGAGCATCGATCGGGAATGAAAACTTCGCAGCAAGCCCCGTACAACGGGAACAACGATCGAAACGTTCAATTAAATTCCGACAGGTTCTGATTTCTAAAGAAGCTGTGGGCCTACTTACTTCCACCCTGCAGAATCCTGTATAGCTTCGACTCATACAGCAGCTGAGGGTGCTTGGTCTTAGTAGATTCCTGCACGCCAGCGATCGGGCAGTTTATTGTAAAGTCTGTAATTAGAAGGAATGGATGACACGACACTTGATGCGGTCGCCTACCAGCTTAATACCGACTTCCTCGTTTGTCTGAATGTTCGTGCCTGTACATCACGGAGACGACGAACGTTAGTCGTTAAATTAAACTCTTAAAACTCCTCGTGTTCCAAAAAACGTTGCGAACATACCCAGATAGATCTCTCCAAACGACCCGCTACCAATCTTCCTCCCAAGCCTATACTTGTTGGCTATCCGAGGCTCCATCCCCGACATGGTTCCTGCTGGTGTAATCTATTAGCGTAATAGGTCTGCGAATCGTTGACAGCTCACCCGCCGCTACAATCAGCACGCATAGTTCCCAGAACCTTATCTGCTGAAACCCTAAACTACCTATATACAAGTAATTTCTGACAAGGGGCTGTGAAAATAAATTGACAAGTCCAAGTTACGCTACAATAGATCCCAAGTTCCCAACGATCCTACTTAACCTAACGATCAAAGTTATGAGACACTAGGGGATCTGGATGGACAGCCATGCCCCAAGGCTGGTGTACTATTATTCAAGCATGAAAGTTAGATGGCGTCTCGAAGCCAGGACACCATCCGAAGTTGGGTGTTCGTGGTGTCAAGAGGGGTGAGGAGAGAAGGGTAGAACCTGGGTGGGTGGTTTGGGACAAAGCGGGGACGAGCTTGTTTCCAAGGAGGCAAGCTCACCCCCTTTTCGCCTAAGCCAAACACGAGCCATCTGCTCCACCGCAGTCCACCCAAGCCAAGCCACACTCCCCAACCAAGCCAGAAAAAGCTGGGACTTTTGTCAAAGTGCTAGGTTCGGTTAACGAACCAGCATTTTTTTTTTTTTTGGAAGATGATATATACTGAAACAAAAGCATACACCATCGAACGGTCGTAACCGTGCGTGAGGCAACAGTAGAGCGTACTACTGTTCCAGGAAAGTTATCTAAGGCGAGTTGTTGCCAACCTTTTTCTTGGACCAGAGCGCGGCGAAGGCACTTGTCCACGTCCACCCTTTGCCATCCATCTTGATTCTGCTCAGCATTCGCTTCTCTTCCGCGAAATTTTCTTGCTCCCTTTTCTTCCGAGCTGCCCCCATCTTACGCATGTAGATCCTTGCGTGTAATCTGAAGGCAGACTCCGCCCTCCACAAAACTCTTTGCAACCGAAACTTCTGCCCCCGAAAAACAGCTTCGCATCTTTCCAACCAGATCTGATGTAGGACCACCGACGTAAGAGTCAGCTCCGGAAAAGCTGATCTGGTGCCCGTTTTCCGGAACAGCATGTCGCCCAGCGAGGCTGTAGGCCGGTTGGGGTTCAGCATGCGCAGGGCACGTCGGAGGGCCGAGGACACCACTTGTATCCTGGGGCAAAGAATGAGGCAATGCTCCAGGGTTTCTTGCTCCCCACAGTGCGGACAGGATGGCTTGCTGCTGAGGAAAGCCAACCTCTCCCCCACCTGTAAATTAAGACCGTGGATTCGTATCAACACATCACGCGGACGGCTGGGAACAGCCAGAGAGTCTCTGGATGACACCACCCTCTTCCAGTCAATGTGGTTCCCCCAGCGTACGCCCCACTTCTGCTACTTGTATGACTGGCTGTAAGTCCCCTTCCAGCCCTCCTTCATCCGCCTCATGGTAATCACCCGCTCCCCCTCTAGAATTGGTATCCGCGTGGAAGAGCCAGCCGAGCACGGGGGAACCGTTGGGAAGCCGAGCAGTCTTTGCCAGTGGGACGGGATGGCAAGCAGCGCCCTCATCGCCAGCTTCGCAGGCCCGCTCCCTCCCAGTTCTTGCTTCAGCAGCTCCATGGATTTAACTACCGCTACGCCGTCTTCCTCCCCTTCCAACGAACCAGCATTTTAACCAAGGCGAGCTGTAACCCCAGGCGGCAACATGACGGTGGCGAAAGTCGCTTACCGTCACCCGTCTCCATGTTGAAACCCGCTGTCAGTGAATCGACGTCAGCTTGCTGAATGAGCTCTGTGTAACCATCCGCGGGGCGGAGCCACTGGGGTGTGATTGCTTGTAACGAACATTTTAACTTGGCGAGTATGCGGTGTATGTGATGCAATCTCTCTCAAACATTACCGTACAATATGGTTAAAATGGTTAATTCCAGCTTCATTTCACCTCACACCAGACGCCCCCAAGCATACCGTACCCTTGAAGCTACTCGTGAAAGTGCACATAGGAGGACTCATGCATCATTTCAAACCCAAAAAACCAGTATGCGCCTAACAATACTCAACTATTACGTCCGTTCAAATGAATTGAACCATTTAGATTGAATCCACAAACCATTACACACACCACTGTGACTAAATGCATAACATTGCCATGGTATGGTGTACAGCAGCCACCAGTCTGCAGGCCATGATAACTAGTTGAATGAAGCAAATGAACAACTACTGCCAATCGACACAGGGAGTAATGCTCAGTGAGGTCATCAATTGAACCATATCTTATCCACAGGTTCGGCATCGAGCGTCAAATGGTATGCTGTGGGAAAACGCCTTTACAGGACCAGGCGAAGAATACCTAGCCCAATAGCACTGACTGAAACTAGGGTACCTGCACCCACAGATCACATGCTGGTGTAAGACAAGACAATGTGCCTGGAGAGAGAGAGGCAGCAGTGCAGCATAAAGAATAGATGCTGAAACCAATCCCTGTAACAACTTGCCTATGCAGTATCTGATAATCTCAAACTTGGCGCCTTCTAACTCTGCCTTCAATGTGTTCACCTCCTGAAATTATAGACAAGATCATACCAGTATCAGCATAAGAATAAGATTGTGCTGACATAAACCACGGTCACATACCCTATCCATCTTGTTGGACAAGCTGCTGAGCTCCTGAGTCTGAGCTGTGATCTCTTCTTTTATTCTCCTGTCAAGTTGTAGAGTACAAGGGGTGTTATGTGGGCTTGCGAGAAAGAGAGTTTGTAAAACTTCGGCAATAACAATGTTCCACATACCCTCTTTCCAAGTTCAGATCAAGACGTTGTCCTGCTGTCACCTTATCCACCTCGTACCTGCAAGTTGACAGCCGCAAGCAAATGAGCGATTGTTCTAACACCATGCATATTGTGCTGAAGGTGCTACAAAGGTGATACACCTACCGTATTTCATTCTTTACTTTGTCCAAATCCGTCTTGAGCCCTTCAACCTCCCGGGTCAATCCAGCAAACTTCAAATCCTGTAGACCACAACTCCCACTAATGAGTACCCCTTCAAAGCGGACTCCGACAATATTTCTCGACCTTACCTTCACCCACAATTTAGCCTCCTGGGTTTCGAAATTTAGAGTTCCTTGTTCAACTCGGTACCTACAATGTACTTAATCAGTAATCCCCTCATACCTGGAGGCTTTGAATTTCTGTCTTGACCTTCGCCATGGCTGCCTCTGCCACCATCTCCGACTGCATTTAGTGAAGAATTGACAGAGGCATGAAGCGCAGTACTCGAATTCAGGGCTAGGTTGGATAAGGTTGAGGAAAAAACTGACGTCAGACGTACCTTTTGCATTTCTGACTTTGAGACGAAAGTGTGCGCGGCTGTATCGAGGCTCTCATGGAGAACTTCTGTGATGAGATGCGTGATAGCCTCGGACTGCTTTGCCGTCAACCCTTCTGCCTCTAATCTTCTCACCTGTTTTACAGAAGCGGTTCTCAGCACTAGAATAGGAGGAGCGAGGGACGCTGCACGATGTTCATCGCGAAAAGGCGAAACAATTGATATGGAACTTACAAGTGCGAGCGTGTCAACGAGAAACGCTTTTCTGCCGTTAGCGCTAGCTGTGACCATAGTCAGTGTTCGCCTTCCAGTGTGGAAACCTCGTCGGGGCATCGTAGGGTGGTTCGCCTGATCTTCTGGAACTGTAAATACTTGGTCACTGCTTGGCAGACGCAACCCATACGGCATCACAAGCTCGCTTTGCTCGACGGGAGATCGTTGGCTTGCTGATTTGGCTGCCTCGTGGGTTATATGTCTGGAAAATAGGGCTATCGAAAGTGGCCGCAATACGACAATCGCCACACGTCTTCCAATCTGTTGTAACGTGCCATGGCTACCACTTAGTGCCATATGGAGCAGTTTTTTTCCGCGGGTCTAGAAACCTCCACAAAAAAAGTTGCTGCCGAAGATTCGCAGCTCCCTCAGGAAACTCGCCTAGCTACGGGTATCTATCCACTAGTCTCCAGAAGAGAGGACACAGAACTACAGCTTGGTACCGTCATCGTGAACCATGCGAGTCAAGCCAGGGAACACTGAAGTTATCACCTGGTGTGCTGGTACAGCCGAATAACTTTACCAGAACGAGAGCCGATCGCTCGGATATTAAACTATAGTCTTCGACGAGGTGAAAGCACTAAGTCTTGCACACTAGGCATAGCTTTCAAATACATGGAAACTCCTGGCTGCGCAAACTGGAGGGAGGCTGGCACATTTGAACCAGCTTCCTTTCTCACCAACTGACCAACTTGTTGTAGGAGAGGAGATACACAGAACCAAAACGGGACCACCTCCCAAGGGAATGTCAGACACCTGATTGTCAGTGGTGCCCAGAATCGCGGACGCGCGGCTCGTTGCGGGGGTTCCCAAGGCACGCGGGAGACCCCCGAACCACCCCTAGCATCTGTGTTTCCAGACCTTGGGCTGATCGGGGACGACCTGACGACCAATGAAACGGCTAGACGTCTAGATGCCGCAAAGCAACTGCGAGCGATCGTCAATAATGTACCCAAAACTGTCCCGAGATTACGCCCGTTGATCGCGAGCACACGTCGAAAATGGTCAGCTGCATTGCTGGAATAATGTGGCGGCAGCCTCCGCATTGATTGGACGATCGCATCCAACGTGGAGTCACAACAAACCTATTTGCAACATCACTGTTATAAACAATTTTTCAGCGAACAAGTTGCCTCTCCAAAGCAGTATATTACCAATACAACAATAAGTATGTATATGAGCAGGGTACAAGGAGCCTTATTGTGTATGGACTGCAACATCAGAGGTGGTCTGCTACAGGAGAGGGGTACATGGACGTTGGCCCTGTGAAAAAGCGTTGAGCCATGGGAGGTGAGATGAGGGGGGGTGACTCCTTTCATCTCTCCAAAAAGTATCAAGAAGGTTGGCTAGGGCTAGAGCTTATGTGTTAACTGAAACCTTGTATGGAGACTTGGGCTTTTTATCTTTTATCTTATATTGTATGCTACATTGGCATGCACGGTCCAAGCACCATGGTAATCTGCAAACAAACATTTAGCTCAATCATCATCGCCGTCATCGTCCCCCGCACCACTTGAGACAGGGGCCACTTTGCAAGAGAAGTCGATGGTTGCCCGCCCACTGCGAAGGAACAGCAGAGGACCACACAGTTGGGTCATGTACACATACGGTACTTTGGGCGCACTCTATTTGTACACTCCCCAAACACAGGTCAACACGGAGTCAGCATGAAGCAAAAACACCACTAGCAAGGGTAAGTGTGCAACCTGTTGCAATCCTTGCACTACCATCCCCCCTCACTACGCTCACAAGGAGTGGAAGTGACTTACACGCTGCTACCATGGAAAGCCAGCGTCTTGCTGTTGGAGGGGGAGTGCGCCCAGATGAGGTTGTTCAGACCACTCGGCTTCACAGGAATAGTGCCGCCGCTGGCGCCGCGCCGGAACCTGTGCAAGCAGGAAAGGGGAAGGAAGAATGGGGTCGAGAATGGGACATCGATCGGAGGATAAGGGGATCAAGAGACAAGAGGAAGGATACATCCAGGTCAGTGGGGCTGTCAAACAGGAAACTGCACAGCCTCACCACCGTATCATCATCATTGATGCCAGCACTGCCATCATCCACAGCATTCACAACACGAGCACTCCCCACTTTCCCCACTCCCCACTTTCCAAACGCACTCGCATCATCACAGTGGACCCGGTGGCCCTCTTGAACACGGTAGCGCATGACCCCAAGGGGTTACTGAATGCTATGCTGGACGGCACAGCCTCCCAGTAGAATTGCAGGGTGTCCAAGCCACACACACTCACATAACGACAGTGGACCTGGTGGCCCTCTTGAACATGGTAGCGTATGCTCCCAAGGAGAACCTGTTTTAGAGGCGCCTCAAAAACAGCAACCCACACTCCCTCCCGCCACGTGCACTCACATCATAACAGTGGACCCGGTTGCCCTCTTGAACACGGTAGGGTATAACCCCAGGGAGAACCCGGCGGGCTTCAGCGACTGCATGGTGTAGCCCGTGATGAGGTAGCTGCCGAGCGTGCCGCCCATGCGGTTACCGATGACCGCGTCAGCAGGCGCCATCCTTCCGTTTCTGGTCCAGGCGAGGGACAGCCAGCCGTTGTTGGCGCCGCTGCCGGGCTTGGCCTCCATGGCTATCTCGATCACGTTCGGGTTCACCTGCCGCCAGTGCACCAGCAGGCTGGTTGTGGGGAGAGGGAGAGAGGGAGAGATGGAGGAAGAGGCGTGGTGAGTTGGCTCACGTGGAGCTCATGCAATGTGCGTTGCGAGTGAGTTTAGAAGCCATACTTCTGTGTTGGTATGACGCATCGCATCGCTCATCACTCATCTCCTCACTCATGACTCACACGCACAACGTGGCGACTCACAGGGGTTTGAGCTGGAGCATGTAGGTGAAGCCCGGGAGCGTCGACCAGGGGCAGAGCTTGGAGCGCTTGGACGGCGGCACCACGGGCACGGGCGGCGGCTTCTTGACTGGCGGGCTAGGCGTCGGCTTGACGGGTGACGAGCCGTCGCAGGAGAAATCCACCTGCGTGCTTCCGCTGATGGCGGGGAGAAGGGGAGGGATGAGAGGAAAAGGATTCCGGAGGGAGAGTGTGAGAAGAAGAGGCGAGAGGCGCGGGTGGAGCAGGAATGGTAGAGAGCCGAAGCGATCAACGTGGGGGTAGGGATTCCGGAAAGGATATTTTGGCGATGCAATGGTGTCCACTGTGGTGAACGCAGCTTACTCGTGTAAAAAGAGCATTCATGCGAGCAGAGGCTCCGGAATTGCTAATACGCAATGGGAATGCGGCGCGGGCTGAGAGCAGAGGCGAGTTTGTCGGAAGGTCGCGGTGAACGGAATAAAGTCAGAACGTCAGAGGCGTGAAACTCACATGTTGGCTCCGTGGTAGGCTACAGATTTGCCGCCATTGTTCGAGTATCCCCATATGATCTTATTCACGCCCTTCACGCGCACCGGAACCGACCCTCCGTCGCCCACGCCTCGCGTAAATTTCATCACGGTTTTCCCGCCGCTCGTCGCGCAGCTCTTGGCGCCGAGGTTGATCCCGCGCGCGGGCGCGACGGAAGAGTAGCTCGCGACGTGGTACGCGGAGACGGCGTTTCCCGGGTTCCCGACGACCGCGTCGGACGGCGCCATGAGCCCGCTGAAGGAGAACGCGACGGAGAACCACCCGCGCGCCGCGGGGCCCGAGGCTTCCACGGCGAGCGGGATGGACTTGCCATTGTTCTTGGCGTTCCAGTGCATCACAATGCTGAAAACAGGGGAGGAGACGGGGGTTGGTGGTAGGGGGGAAGGAAGCGGGAATAATGTTGAGGGTAGGACTGGGACACTGGGCAAGTCAATGTGGGAAAGAAGTGTGGTTTACCGCTCGCGGCATACCACGAACCCTCGTTTTCCGACGCGGCATACCGCGAACTCTCGTTTTTCGCTGTCATTCCTACGTACACTTCACGAAATTCCTTTACGTACGACACGCAACGCCGCGGTTATAAGCGACGCTCGCATACGCCTACTACAGAAAGCTCGCATGTTTCATCCATCATCGCGTCATACCCGGGGGCGAGCTGGAGGGCGGAGGTGAATCCGGGCATGGCGGACTTGCTGCACGACGATAGCGCGCCCGCCACAGCCCTAGCGATGGGCGTCGCCGCTGTCGCGGCCGTGGTGGTGGTGGTGGTGGTGGTGGTGGTGGTGGTGGTGGTAGCGGCGGTGGCGGTGGAAGCGGAAGAGTTAGCTGCGGCTTGTTGGGCGGCTGCGGTGGCGGCGAAGGATGCCGTCGAGAGGAGTAGTAGAAACGCCACGGACTGGCGCACCGTCGCGTGACTTCTGACATTGCCTGCCAGAATGCTCTGCTCCCGTCTTCCAGCCATGATGGGATTTCGGCGCGACACTCTGGCTGACGCGAGATGCAGGGTGTTTGCTGCTCGAGAGCCGAACTATCTCGCCCCACACAGCCGAATGCCTCTAACTCCGCTACTTGAAACTGCTTCAATTCAGCTCGATTGAAGAGACGCACTGAATCGAATGGCTTGCTTGTGTTGGAAGCGCGGAGATAAATGTGCGGCGGGCGGGAGAGAGGGGGAGAGAGAGGGCAGGGAGGGAGCCTCGGTGGCGGCAGCGAGGGCCGAAACCGAACCGAGTCGAGCCAAGCCGAGGCCTGAGCCTTCGTGTTTCCACAGCCGAACGAACTTGGGTCAGACACGAGCAGTGGTCGGTGGTGTTGTCCAAAGATCCACCCTGGCAGCAATTCCCTCCTTTCATTGGCCGAACTTTACAAGAAATAGCTGGAACAATAAGGCGATGCGCTACCGCTGGGGCGCTACCACACCAAGGCGGAAGGTGGATTCTCGAACCACCAATGAGGCAGGTGTCTCAATTATGCCGAGCCTAAGACTGATCAGCCGTGGTCTTCATAACCTCCCTCCAGACCTACAACACGAGCTTGCGGCACAAGCTCAGCAGAAGCCCCTGGCCACAACTTGCAAATCGACCTTTGTTGTGAAGGGCCATTCTTGCCGCGTGGGGAAGCGTGACGAGCAAACCAGCAGCAAAGCACAACCCTAGCACGAGAACCTCGCAGCAGAGTTGACGTGGCCTCTTCTGTTTGGCGAGTTCTCTCTCTTCTTGTCGGTGAGCTGCGAACCAACACTGGCCTCTCGGACTAGCAGCTGCCGACGTGGAAAAGCGCAGCTCCCCAGGGGTTTGGGGGAACTTTGACCTACACCATCAATACAACTGCACAAAATCATCAATTCTTAGGCATGGTCAATCAATCGCTCTCTCCGTAACTGACTGTCATTATTACAATATATAAATCACACAATATCTCGTGGTAATTATTATGTTATTTACTAGATAGTCTACTGAACCAATATAAAATTCGAATTTGTGAAGAAGTCATATAACAACAGCCTATTCTTAGCTTGTATAACTTATTGTACGTGCTGAGCTACATAGTTTCTTCATGTAACCTCGAAATGTCTGGTTTGAAAGTCTTCGCCATGCTGATCAGATATTCGCGAAATACACAACGACGAATGAGGTCCGCAGACCTTTACGATGGCTGCGAACGGTGCGAATGAGAGGTTCCATCTCTACGTGGACTGATTTTGCCTTACGTGGCAATCGAAATGGTTCCTGGGGTGACCGCAAGCCTATGTCAGAGGTCTGGCACGTTGACAGATCAGTTTTCATAACAATCAAGGTTCCACATTTGTGGTGCTCCACTAGTGGTCACTTCGTTCGAGAAGTGCCTTGTAGGCTCGGGCCACGTCATTCAGTCGAGGGATTGGTAGCCTTCCATCAATGGATCAGGCTTGCGCTGACCACAGCTTCTTTGACATCCCCTCTGGCCCATCTGTGTTCGGTTTGCCATTTCCTCCATAGACTGGCAGCCCTTTCTGTCAGTGGAACAATCTCCAAGGTAGCTCAGTCAATTGCCAACCATGGCTGCCGCTCTCCCCAGCTCCGTGTCTGCTGGCATTCAGACGAAGGCACTCGGCCTCAAGGCCGCTGCTCCCAAGAAGAGCGTTGGTGCATTCGGCAGTGAGATGCACAGCGCCTCCCTGAGCAGCACCTTCTCAGGCAAGCAGATTGCCGCTAAGGCCTCCAGCAGGTCCCAAGCCGCAGCCAAGAGGACCGTCCTTGTTGTGTGCAAGGCCGGTTTCTGGTGAGAAGACTGTTGTGGTTGGACTTGCCGCTGACTCAGGATGCGGAAAGTCTACCTTCATGAGGCGCATGACTGGTGTGTTCGGTGGCTCTGCTGCTCCTCCCAAGGGCGGCAACCCCGACTCCAACACACTTCTTAGCGACATGACCACCGTCATCTGCCTTGATGACTACCACTCCCTTGACCGTAATGGCCGTAAGGTCGCCAATGTTACCGCCCTTGACCCCAAGGCCAACAACTTTGACCTGATGTACGAGCAGGTCAAGGCCCTCAAGGAGGGGAAGTCCGTAATGAAGCCCATCTACAACCACGTGTCTGGTCTCCTGGACCCCCCGGAACTGATCGAGTCCCCCAAGATTCTGGTCATTGAGGGTCTCCACCCCATGTATGTAATCTTCACATTGATACTTCAGACTTGCAGAATGCTTGCGAATGAACAGACTGACGTAGCATGTCTTTTTATCTTTCAGGTATGATGAGCGCGTGCGTGACCTGATTGACTTCAGCATCTACCTTGACATCAGCGATGAGGTCAAGTTTGCCTGGAAGATTCAGAGGGATATGGCTGAGCGTGGCCACAGCCTGGAGAGCATCAAGGCATCCATCGAAGCGAGAAAGCCCGACTTCGATGCTTACATTGGTAAGCAATTGTCCTGTTTCGTTCCCCCTTCGGACCTGCAGGCCAAACTCGCTGACCTGTAAATTCTCTTCGTTCCCCTTTTCCAGATCCCCAGAAGCAGCACGCGGATGTTGTTATCCAGGTGCTCCCCACCCAGCTCATTCCTGACGACAACGAGGGCAAGATCCTGCGCGTGCGCATGATCCAGAAGGAGGGCCTCGAGAACTTCGACCCCGTGTACCTGTTCGACGAGGGCTCCAGCATTTCATGGATTCCTTGCGGAAGGAAGTTGACATGCTCGTACCCTGGCATCAAGTTCTACTACGGCCCTGACACCTACTACGGCCATGAGGTACGTTCACTCTCAGCTCCTCGTGCAATCATGAACAATGTAGTGCACTGGATAAGAAAATATACTTCACGTACATCTTGACCATAATTAACCTTGCCTAACTTCCACACTTCTGCTTCTTCAGGTGTCTGTGCTGGAGATGGACGGCCAGTTCGACAAGCTTGACGAGCTGATCTACGTGGAGAGCCACTTGAGCAACACATCCACGAAGTTCTACGGTGAGGTGACCCAGCAAATGCTGAAGAACGCCACCTTCCCCGGCAGCACCAATGGCACTGGCCTCTTCCAGACAATGGTTGGCCTGAAGCTCCGTGAAGCATATGAGCGTATCATCTCTAAATCTGCAGTTGCTGTGTAAACCTGTAATGATTTACTTATATGAACCTTGTTATCAGACAGACTCTGCTAGCCAAATAACATCCAAAACTGGAAGAACCTGACTTGAATATGGAAATGGGTGATATGGTCCTCTGCCCAGAAGAGAAGAGTATCTGTACGGGTTCCTCAACGATGGCAACATGCTACAAAGGTATCTACAATGAGGGCAGACCGAGGGAGGTATCAATCCTAAACATCATTCTACTACTGAGTATGGTAAGGATGTAGCATGCTTTTCGCTATGTACCGTATATATATATTTTTTTTGCCCCACGCAGCATGCGTCCTTGAAGGAGTCCGAAACTTCAGGTAGTGTTCAACACATGAAGTGAGCACTGTGGGTAGTGCGGAAAATGGTTGAAATGAAAGTGTACGTTTTCCTTTTAATTGGCATGAGTACATTCATGGAGCAGGGATGGGTACCATCAAGTTGGAACACCAAAATCTGGTTGGCAGGACATGGCACCTATAGAGCTCATTTTTTGTCCCCTTGACCCTTGGTGGCACCTGCCAGGAGGTTCTGTGCCTCTGAGATGCCATCCACAATGGCACGTGTCAGCCAGCTCACCCCCACACGAGCCCTGTGCTCATTGGTTGGCAACCGGTACAGGTACGCTAGCTTGCGTGCTGGAGCACAGGGGTCAGTGCACACACAGGGGGCGGGCATCGCAAGGGCAGAAGGAACCAATGGGCTCTGAGTGGACAGGTAAACAGATGCAAATGCACGAAACCGACGCAGCGAAACACCGTGCAGGCACTGATGGAAGAGATGCAGGTGCTCAGACATGCACTCAAAGTCGCAGGCAGAAATGCCACTGAGTGCTCACCTGTGTGTGCCGCTCACCTGTGTGCGCTGCTCGCCCCTCGATGAGGAAGTCATCAATGAAGCCCACCGACGCTGCTGCATCCTTGGACCCCAGCAGCACCAACTCGCCCAAATGCTGGTACCTGGGGGGAGGGAGAGGTGCAGGCAGCGAGTTGGTACGGTGGTACAAGCGATAGAAAACTGAATCATCGTGAAATCCGGAAAGGATGCTATCACAATGGTTCTTCGGTTGGAATCGTTGTGAACAGTTAGCAAGCTTGACACAGGCATAGCTGGAGAAGCCAAGCGCATGGATATTAACAAGGGAAGCGTTCTCACCTGAAGGGCAGCAGGGGGCGGTTGTTGATGGCCGCCCAGATGTTCCACCCCACATAGTCCGCCTGCTGGAATGCCACCTGCCATGCGCCATGCACCATGCACCATGCACCACGCACAGTGCCCGAGATTACTTTTGAGGCCGGAAATGAGAGTGAGAGCATTGACGTTAATTTGGTTGTGACTGACCCATGTACTCTGCCCGACACGGGTAGCCTGGGGGAAGGGCACCTGAAGTGACAGGACAAAGTACCGACATAATGAAGCGAAAGCAGATGCTGAACCGTGAACGCTAGCTTCTGGTCACACGGCACATATGGAAATGCACCTAATCCTGCGTCTTCAGATACAATCGCCTGAAAAAAACTGAGCTTAACCTGGAGATTCACCTGACGGGCATCACCAGCAAGCTCTCACCTGAGCTGTCGCCGGCAGTGGCCGCCCATTGCTGTCCCGCACGCAAGCGACATCCCCGAGGGCGAACACCCTGGTGAGCCCCTGTACTCTCAGACTCTCCTCCTCCTCATGAGTAGCACAAGAGAGCTCTCACCTGAGCTGTGGCGGGCAGTGGGCGCCCATTGCCATCCGGCACGCACGCAGCATCCCCGAGGGCGAACACCCTCGTGAGCCCCTTCACTCTCAGGCTCTCCTCCACGTCCGCCTGCCCCCTCGCTGTCCTCCTCAACCATTGCACCGCCCCCTCCCCCCCCACTCCTCCCACTCCTCCCACTCCTCCTGATGTTTGTGATACAGCTTCTTCCGAGGCGGAGGCTGGGAGCACAGGCGAGCTGCCAACGGTCCAGAGGACAATGTCCGCCTCCATGTCACTCTCCCTCTCAGCGCCGCCAGGTAATGGGTCTGATGACACAAGGTGGAGGCAGGCTGCTGGCAAGGCGAAGGGAGATGGGTGTGATGGCGTTGAGGAGGAGGGAGGCGGAGAGGGAGATGGGGCATCAGCCATGCGTGTGACCTTGTTGCCCAGGCGCACGTGCACTCCCCTTTCCTTGAGCGCCTGTGCACAGTCGAACCGCAGGGGAGGGGAGGGACGGCAGAGGAGGGGTTTCTTCAGTGGCAGGGTGGAGAGACTTTTGAGGCGCCTCAAAAGGGAAAGAGATGGCCCAGGAGGAAGGAAGCGGAAACCCAGGAAAGGGAATTCCAAGGCCTCCGCGCGCTGCATGCACACTCTGAGAACAAAGAAAGAATCTGTGAAGAAAAGTTACCCTCCCTAAGGACGAAACATACCCGCTCTGCAGCGCGTCTGTTGCCAGGAGCAGCAGCGGGGCACACAGCAGGGGCAGGGTCGATGATCTCAATGCGCCCCTTGCTGCCCAGACGCTCCCCCACCGTGCAGGCGAGCTCCACCCCCGCATAGCCCGCCCCCACCACCACCACTCGGATTGGCGGTGGGTCCTCCCCGGCTTCTTTGGCTGCCTGCCACCGCTTCTCCAGCAGCAGCAGCCGCCGGTCCACTGCCTGTGGTGGGGAAGCGGAGAGGGGGTGGGTCAATGGGGAGGTGTGGGATTGACAAGGTGTGGGGATGAGGAGGTTGACGTTTGTGGGGATCAGGGCAGAGCAGACAGCACAATATCACATGAACGCACCTGTAGCATATCGCAGGAAGCATCGCTGAAAGCATGCCCATACCGCTCTGCACCACACCATATCGTGTCATACTGCACCACACAGCACCATATCATACAGCGCGTACCCCGCCATACCACAATATACCACACAATACAGCGACGCAAAGCATCAGACCACACCGTACCGCACTCCACCGCAGCATACCAGAGCATCGTCGAGAGTGCTGAAGGGTAGAGCTCGCCCCTTGGCGCCTGGCGCGAAGGCCATGTTGGTCTGCGCTCCCAACGCCAACACCAGCCTGGCAGCGCAGCGGGGCAGGTGGGGAAGGGGGGGAAGGGCAGGGAGGGGCGCGGGTAGGGGAGGGCAGGAGAGGAAAGAGGGATAGATATAGGGCATCAGTTTTTGAGAATTCTCAAAAACCAAAAGGAGGGCAGGAGAGGAAAGAGGGATAGATATAGGGCATGTTGGTTTTTGAGAATTCTTAAAAACCAAAAGGAGGGCAGGAGAGGAAAGAGGGATAGATATAGGGCATGTTGGTTTTTGAGAATTCTAAAAAACCAAAAGGAGGGTAGGAGAGGAAAGACCATGTTCGTCTGCGCCCCCAACGCCAACACCAGCCTGCCAACGCAGCGGGGCAGGGGGGGAAGTGGGGGAGGGAAGAAGAAGGTAAGGGAGACGGGAGGAGGGGGAGAGAGGGGCGTCTACAGCGAAGGCCATGTTGGTATGCGCCCCCAACGCCAACACGAGCCTGACAGAGGGGGGATGGGAGGGTTGGGCGTGGAAGGCGAGAGAAAGAGACAGCGAGAGGTTGACGAGTAGGGGTGGCGATGGGAGGGGAGACATGCAGGAGCCACGACTGTAAAAGTGATGGTGCAAGGTGTGAGAGCGTGAATGCAGGTGAGGTGAAGAAGATGACAGGCGGGACAGGTGGGACAGGTGGGACAGGTGGGAATTCCAAGGTGTAAACCTACCAATCGTATTCCACCTCCACTCCAGAAGCCAATCGCACGCGTCCACCTGTATCTCCTGCCACGTCAGCAGCAGAGGCAGCCCCGCCGTTGGTCACGTGCACTGCCTGCACGCCATCCTGCAGGAAGGCAACTTGGGTGCTCCTCAGCACATCCGTGAACTTGGGCGCTATCTCCCACACCGTCACGTCTGATGGGGGGAGGCGAGAAAGAGAGGGAAAACAAGGATCTTTGGGACGACTCAAGAGGTGCTCCTCAGCTGGTCCGTGAACTTGGGTGCTGTCTCCCACACCGTCACGTCTGATGGGGGGAGGCGAGAAAGAGAGAGAGAGGGAGAGAGTGAGTGAGTTCACCTTTTGGATGTGGCATAATGCGAGGCATGATGACCGGATAGGTTGGGAGCAGACGGGGCCAAGCCGACCACGAGCATTAGCATGAGCATGAGCATGAGCATGAGCATGAGCATGAGCATGAGCATGAGAATGAGAAGGTGTAGGAGAAGGTGCATGAGCACGAGCATGAGCATGAGAAGGAGCACGAGAAGGAGAATGAGAAGGTGTAGGAGAAGGAGTAGGAGCATGATGAGCATCAGCAGGTCATGGGGGAAGTGCCCACCTTGCGAGAGCAGCTCGTAGAGCAGCGGTTTGAAGACGAAGCGCTCTGATTGGTCCACCAGCAGCACCTGCGGGCGGCGCTCGTCGCTCCACAGCAGCGAGTCCAGCCGCAACGCCGCGTACAGCCCGCCGAAGCCACCCCCTAGCACGCACACACGCGGCCGCTGGAGGAGGGGGAACAAGGGGGAGAGGGGGCGGGGAAAGGGGGGTGAGATGCGGGAGCCATGTAGGGCCGGTCACAGAAAGTGGGGAGAGAATCCACCTCAACAGAGAAACGGGACGAGGGGGAAGCGGCGAGAGCGGCCGAATGGTGGCCGCGCGAGTGACAGCATCCCCTTCACTTGCGCCCGTCAGATACTCCCGCCCCCCCTCCCCGTCGCTTCCTACTGACCGTCGGATCAGGCCACGTGTACATGGCGCCCCCTCCCTCGCATCTCGTCACGCCCACTCCCCTCCCGCCAGCTGCGGGCGGAACCGTCCCCACGTAGCGTCTCCCCCCCGCGCCTGCTCCCCCCGGCCCTCCCGCTCCCCTCGCTGCGGGGAACAGCCTGCGCGCGCCGGTGACGGCGGAATGCGCCAGCCACGGCTGGTACCACCACGCCTTGGCGCCACGTGGCGGCGGGTAATTGGCCGTCGGGCGACAGCTACGGAGCGCCGCGGCGGCGGGGGATGAGCGACTGTACGCGGAGACGGCGGCGGTGGGGGATGAGCGATTATGCGCGGAGACGGCGGCGGCGGGGGATGAGCGATTATGCGCGGAGGGGCTGGTCGTGCTGGTTGCGGTGGAGAGGTGTGATTGGAGAGCGTGAGTTGCGGCGGGGAAGGCGGCGGATTTGGCGGCGGAGAGGTGGAGGAGACACATCGGCCGCAGAGGCGATGCGCCATGGCTGTCAGCGAGCTGAACGCCTGTAACGCGCTCAAATCAGTGACTGTGACCCTTGTGTTTCCTGTGACGCCTGCGCGGCGCGACGTGGTATGCGCACGCTGCGATGAATCAGACTGCGAGCAATTCGAGCACGAGCGATGCGACTCGGCCTCACGGTCCTCGAGGCGGCAGAACCACTCCTCCCACAGCCGCACGGCGCGGGCGGCGGGCGGAAAGCAGACCGCGTCGGACAGCAGCACGAGGAAGAGGAGAGCGACAGCACGCGCGCAACGGAAGAGGAGCGAGAGGATTTCGCGGAGGTGCGCGAGCATGCCAGTCGCCTCCAGGCGCGGAGGACGTGAGAGGAACGGACGACGTTAGCGGACGGACAGGATCGTCAAAGCTAGCGCGCGACGCAAGGAACGACGCAACGCTACTGCGCGAGAGTTGGCTAGAATCGATGTGACGAGCTGAATCAACTCCCTCCCAACTCGATTTCTCTGCTTCCTCTTCTGATGAGGGGAGCATATCTGGTGCACTGCACTATAACGAAGATACGAATGTGCGGTGTGGAGGAAAGGGAAGGGAAAGGGTCGATGTGCACCAAGAACTGGGGAAGGGCCGCCACGTCACCCTCTAGGTCGGGTGTCACACTCGATATACTGGCAGTGTAGTAAGCTGGTGCTACATGTAAAATGCTGGCCTTTCAATGTAGTCTGATGAGCAGTCATAATAAAATGCCATAAATATAAAGATGAAGCACAAGCACAAGAATTATAAGCAACAGTATTGAGACGTTTCCCATCCATCAAATGTTACAGCAGCACTCCCAATGAATAATTATGTACACGAACAACCTACTGCATGGTCTTGCTACTCCTAGGGAGATGGTACGCCTCATACCCCTTCATGCTATCATGCCTCTCCAGTGCTCCTCTCAGTGCCTTCACTATGGTGCCCTCTCCTGGCAAAGCTTTGTTGTCTATGGCTCCCTTTCTCCTCACCGCCACCACCCACTCCCCCTCCCCACCACCACCGCCATTACCGCCATCACCATCATCACCAGCATTTTCACCACCAGCATCAGCATCCAACGGCTCCACAGTGATGACAAACGATCCGACGGATGTGAGTAGATCACCGCGCATGGTGATCAGCGTCAGCTCGGTGCCATCCGATTGGTTGTCGACACGGACAGGCAGAGGAAGGGGCAGCTCGGAGGAAAAAGACCAGAGCGTAGCCCACTGCTGGATGAATGCTACGAGCTGAACGATAGGGAGGGGGGGTGGGAGCAAGGAAAGTCAGGGAGGAGTTGGAGAGAGGGAGGAGGAAAAATAGAAGCTTATTTTCCTCTCATGCCATAAGGTGGAAAATGACAAAGGACAATCTGCATGCTGGAAAGCAGCAGGAAGGAATGCTGAAGCACAAGCACACCACCACCACCACCACCACACGCCCCCACCTCCTCTTTGTTGCCCTCCGGCCGGCTGTCTGAGAATCTCCGACGATACTGCTGTGCCCAGCATTGCATGCCACCTATCGAGTCGACTCAAAACTCGACTTACCACCACCACACCTGCCCCCCTCTCACCTCCTCTTTGTTGCCCTCCCCGGCCGGCTGCCTGAGAATCTCCGATGATGCTGCCGTGCCCAGCATTGCATGCCACGGGAACCACCCCCCCTTCTTCCCTTCCTTTCCTCCTCCACCTCCACCACCCCCTCCTCCCTTCCCTCCTTCCTCGCCCTTTCCCCCCCTTCCCTGCCTTCTACCCTCACTGCTACCCTCACTGCTACCCTCACTGCTACCCTCACTGCTACCCTCACTGCTACCCTCACTGCTACCCTCTCTGCTGTTCTCATTGCTGCCAGCAGTGCTTTTAGCTGCATTCGCCCTGGCCCACTGAGAATTCCCCTCCCTCCCATCCGCGCCTGCCTCCCCCCCAGGGCCTCCCCACGCCCCCCATGCCTGCGCCCACTTCTGCCAAAACCCGCCGCCCAACCCGTTCATCCTTGCGTCTGCCTCCTGACGGGCGGCACGCTGAGCTGGCGTCTCCTGCTCTGCTGCTGACGTGGCTGCGCGAGAGCAGGGAGGAGAGGATAGAGAGATAAGTGTTGGAAAGGGACATCAGTGAAGGAGAGAGGAGAGGAAGGGAGCATGAAACAGAACAGCGATCCGTTGCATGTGGCAAGCTGTGTAACACATTATCATGTAACTGAATCTAACATGACATAGCCCGAAGAAACATAAAGACTCGCAAATAACTCGACACACACTCAGCCCGCTTCCTCCCCTGCCCCCACCAACCTGCCCGCCGGCGCTCCGCCCCCTCCTGCTGGCTCTCTAGCTTGCGCTTGAACTCGCGGGCAGCGGCAAAAATATTGATTGGGTGCCCAGGCTCCCAGCCGCCCCCAAAGATGCCCTTGCTCTCCCTCTCCCGCGGCTGCTCAGGCAATGAGAGATGCGGGCGAGTGGGGCGCGTGGGATGGGGGACACGCGGTGTGGGAGAGTATAAGTGGGACTAAACGGGAGCCGAAGGCGCGTGAAAGGGAATGAAAATGAAGGGGAAAGGGGAGAAGTGCGGTTGAATGGATTCAGATGAGACCTGCACGAGGAATTCGAGGATGGGCAGGTCGCCACGTGGCACCGTGTGGATGCAGCTGACGGGGCAGCTGTCGATGGCTGATTGGACGGCGGGCAGCGCGTCGCCCCACTGTGTGTGCACGCGCGCCACGGCTGCCTCGGCGTCAAAGTGGAACGTGCGACTGGCGGCGAACACGCACTCGCGACAGCCTGGTGTGGTCAGGGGTGGAAGAAGGGGAAGAATGGGATGGGCAGTGAGCGAGTTGAGCGCATGCCACAGCGTGTGCACGTGTGCCACGGCCGCCTCGCCAGCGTGTGCGTCAAACAGGAACGTGCGACTCGCGGCGAACACACACTCGCGGCAGCCTGGCGAGAGTAGGGGCGGGTGCGGGGTGGTGGTGGTGGTGGTGGTGAGTGACGAAGAGGGAGGGGAGAAGAAAGGAGGGGCGATGGGTGAAGCGAAAAAGATCGTGAGTGAAGCCAGCACGTCATTTATTCGCCATACAAGCACGACCGAACACGGGGACATCACCTACAGTCACACCCACCCACCCACCCACCCACCCACCCACCCACCCACCCACCCACCCACCCACCTACGCACGCACGCACCCACCCACCCACCCACCAATGCAAGCTGCCTCGTCGACGAAGATCGCCTGCTGCTGCCCCTCCGGCGCCGCCCACGCGCTGCGCGGCTGCCCCGTGAACCCCGCGTACCCCGCCACGGCCGCGTCGCGCCACTCCTTCTCGTACGACGCGCGGCGCGTGTCGTCCATGAGCGTGTCGTACGCCTCGTTCAACTTCAACGCCAGCTCGTGCGCCTGGCAGGAGATTACGGTGGGCGGAGAATGGTGGGGCAGAAGACGGGTGGGCAGCAGAGGCGGTGGGCGGGAGGGTTGGGCACGTGAGAGGCGGAACGCGAGGAGCGGAGATTGCCCTCACGTGTTGAGACAAACAAATGGCGCCGCTTGAGGGCTTCGAAGCTGGGCATTCGGTGAATTCCATGACGAGCCTTCACTTGCGTGTGGGGATGTGCGACATGCGCGTCAATTCCACGCGCGCACAACCGCGCACAATTGCTGAGCGCGCACCTGAGCGCCCGCGATGTCGGGGTGGTACTTCTTCTGCAGCGCGCGGTACGCGCGGCGGATGTCGGCGGGGGGCGCACCGACGGGCACGCCGAGGATCTGATAGTAGTCCAACCCCACGAACGCGAACGGCGACGGCACCGATGACGACGACGACCCGTTGCGGTTGTCGCTCCCGCTGCCGCTGTTGCCACCGCTGCTGCCGCTACGGCTGCGGTGCGTGTCACTCGCGCTGCTAGCGGTGCTCCCGGCGGCACCGGCGCCCCGGCTGGCCCCTGCCGCGGCACCTCGCGCAGATCCTCCGGCGGAACATGACGTAGCGGGGGGCCGCGAATGGCGCTTCAGAGGAAGAAGCGTCGGAGGGCGAAGTGCGGCGGGGGCAGAGCTATAGGGGAAACGGGAGGGAGCCGAAGCGGGAAAAGGCAATTCGCGCGAATTGGCACCAGCAACAGGCGATCATGGTAGTATCAGATGGCGTGACTCTATCGGAAAGATAGCTTTTGGCAGGAAACCTCGGAGGTTGTTTACCTAGACACAGATTGAATTTCGTGACGGTTTAACCCAATTGCCGGGGCAACGTAGTAACTTGTTAGCCTGAAGGGGACAAACGGGGCCTTCCCTCCAAAAACGGAGTCACCAACGCACTTAGGAGGAAGTGCAATCGGGGCTGCAAGGCTGACGGCAAGAGAACCCAGAGGTGCCATGACAAATCACGAGATGGCGGTTCACAAGAGGTCCGTCTAGGTGGTGTCACAAGGGAGGAGCCGTCGGGAGCGATTGTAAATTGGGAATCACTCTTGACTCCCAAAATGTCAGATCATGGAGGACAAGGGCGCTGAGAGTGGTGCAACTGGGAACAAGGAAGAAAGGATGGTCTGGGAAAACTATTCAGAACGGATTCAGAACGAGGGAGCCCGAGATACCGAAACGTTGTAGATAGAAAAGGGAAAGCGATGAGCTGACAGGGGCTGGACTTGGTGGGTGCACGAAACTGGCGAAGAAATTTGTCGAACCTGATCAGAAAACGTACTGTACCGTACGGATAATCTAGGGAACCGAGCTGGGCTGTGCTAAATGAAGCGGATCTAGAATGCAACATAAAACCTGGGCAAGGGAGGGGTGGCGCCGCGAATCAAAATCTCCATGTCCCGCGAGTGTTGCGCGCGTTGAGAAGGCATTGGGGGAGAGCGTTCCTCGTGTGCTGAATGGAGGGAAAAGATGACGTGATGACCTGGATTGCAGTCTTCCGCCAATCGGTGAGGCTATGTACACCGTGGCAGAAGACGATTCCACGCTACAAATCCAGGCTGAAGGGCCTCCTTTCTGCCAACCTTGATTCTATCCTCGCTCATGCCAAACCCGTTTCACGTACATGCGGGTGTTACCCTTATGGTTTTCTGTTGCCACTGTAAATAACAAAACACGTGCTTAGTTACAGTAATAGGCGTGCCTGTTCCGAAGTCGGAAATCCCAAACCTAACACGTGGACAACGAAATCCGTCGAGGGCCACGTCACCTCACCCAGACATTCCCAGCATTGCGCTTCGGCTTTCCATATGCTCCTTCAGCACTTCCTCCCTTCACTTCCCTGCAGTAATAAGGGCGCGTAACTTTTTCCATTTCTGTCAAAGTCCGGACGGAGCCCCTAAAACGTACGGACGGAGCTCCGTCCGGACGTTGGGGGATGTGGTTCGGACGACTGGGCGTCCGTACCACAGTTGTGACACTTTTTTGCAGTTTCGAAATTTGAAAATTGCGCGAAACAGTAACGTTCAAAACCGACCTCGCGAGCACATCGTCCAGTTCGCGACCACGCATCAGCGGCTCAGTAATGTGCATGGTTTTGGAAACTTCGATCCCCTGCTCGCGCTACTCTAGGTACAACACTCGAACAAATTGAAAATCTGTGTTTGAATGTTCCCCCTGCTTCGCGCACCAGTGACGTTGCAGGAGTTCCAGACGGTCCGAAATGCTGTTCGGACGGTGACAGCAGCGTAGAACGGACGAAGATTTGACAAAAAAGTGTCATTCTTGGAACGGACGATGGCGACGTCGCAAGGGGTCTTGCGAAGAAGCAGACGAAAACTGACGAAGTAACCCACAAAAGTCCGGACGGGGCCTCCGTCCGGACGATGAAAAGTGAAAAAGTTACGCGCCCTAATCACCTTCTTCCTGTCAAGGCACTGCTGACTGGTTCCATCTTGTCTCTTTCCAAGAGCTTCAGTCCTAAAGACAGATTTCGACGGTCAAACTAGTCTGGCCATTTCGTCGTGTCAGCCATTCGGTTCACTCTGTCTGGCATTAGACGGCCCACCCTTCCTCTTCCTTGTCGCGACGGCCTGACTTCCCGGAATAAGACCTTTCTGTAGAAGTTCCGGAACAATGGCTGCCACCTCGGGATTGTCGACTGCGGTTTCTGTTCCCGCCAAGCTCAGCCACGTGGCGTCCTCCAGCAACGGCATCTCCGGCACCGAGACCTCCGTCGCTTTCCCCTCCGCGAGGCAAGCGACTCGTGCGGGATCGAACGTGGGGGAGGGGCGCGGGAAATGCCGATGCTCGACGGCGGAAATTCTCCACGACGGCGCGCGGGATCCGCTGCTGCTGCGCGTGGCGCGCGGAGAAGGTAATTCCGTCGCACGATGCATGTAAAGCCCAAGTTCGTTGGGAATTCAGCTTCACGTACGATATAAGACTATAAGCAAGGCTGCGTGTCTGAGCCTTGTAAGTTCCAGCGAGCTCATGCTCTTCGCAACAGATTTCTGCTTGTCAGCTAAGCAGTCAAGCAGCTCGTCGTGGTCGCGAAAACTGGCATCCAATGTATTGTAGCACGAATTTGCTGTAACCCGTCGCTGTCGCACGAATCCGCAGCCAGTCAGCTCGTCATGGTGGTGTGTGGTGATGAACGGTGCTGTGCGATGTGGGGGCTATGGGAAAAGGAATTGGATGGGTGTCGGTGCGTGTGGGTGCATGTGGGTGTATGTGAGTGCGCGTGAGCGCGTGTGAGTGAGCGTGCGTTCATGTGACGACATGTGTGCGTGCGCGCGTGCTTGTTGCGCCCCCCGTGGTGCGTGGCAGACGCGGAGAGGACGCCCGTGTGGCTCATGCGCCAGGCGGGGCGCTACATGAAGGACTTCCGCAAGTACGTGCTTCCGCCCCCTCCCCTCCCCGCCCTCTCCGCGAGTACGTGCTTCCACCCGCCCCCCACCGCCCCCCTCCTCCCCCCGTCTCCGCAAGTATGTACTACCGCCCCCCTCCCTCTGCGCACACCTTCTTCGAAACTCAGTAGTGCCGTCGCAACGCAACAAACCTCCTCCCTTGCCAACCCTTCCTCCCCCAACCCTGTTACGTGTCCCGCCGTGTTCCACGGCTGAGTTGTCGTTCTAGTAACTCTAGCGGTTTCGGTTCCGCACCCCTGAAGCAATAAACACACACCCCTCCCCCCATGCCCCCCCCCCCCTTGCGCGCAGGTTCTCGGACAAGTACCCGTTCCGGATGCGGTCGGAGACGGCGGAGATCGCGATCGAGCTGACGCTGCAGCCGTGGAAGGCGTTCGGCACGGACGGCGTCATCATGTTCTCCGACATCCTCACCATCCTGCCCGCCATCGGGGTCGAGTTCGACATGGTCAAGGGCAAGGGGCCCGTCATTGCGGACCCTCTCCGCACAAAGGACGACCTGCGCGACCTCAAGTGAGTGAGGGGAACAGCAAGGGGCGAGCATTAGGCGTTCGGCACGGACGGCGTGAGCAAGGGAAGGGGAAGATGGGGAGCCTCGTGGTGAAGCTGTATGGAAAGACGAAGGCTATGTTTGGGGCGCCTCGGAAATCAGGTTTGATTAACTGGAATGGGGGGTTAACGGAGGGAGAATAATGGGAGAACGGAGAAGCTGGCAAGAAGCAGTAAGGGCGGACAAGCAGGAGGGCTGGCAGGGTGGGTAGATGGGTGGGTGGATGGGTGGGTGGATGGGTGGGTGGATGGGTGGGTGGATGGGTGGGTGGGTGGGTGGGTGAGGTGTGTGGGTGGATGGGTGGGTGAGTGGATGGGTGGGTGAGTGGATGGGTGGGTGAGTGGATGGGTGGGTGAGTGGATGGGTGGGTGAGTGGATGGGTGGGTGAGTGGATGGGTGGGTGGGTGGATGGGTGGGTGGGTGGATGGGTGGGTGAGTGGATGGGTGGGTGAGTGGATGGGTGGGTGGGTGGATGGGTGGGTGGGTGGATGGGTGGGTGAGTGGATGGGTGGGTGGGTGGATGGGTGGGTGGGTGGGTGAGGTGTGTGGGTGGATGGGTGGGTGGGTGGATGAGGGCTAGAGGGAGGCACTAAGAGACAAGCAGAAGACATGGAGGAAACGGGACAGAAGGGGGAAAGGGAATGTGTAAAGAAGTCGTTGATAAACAAGGCACGGACAAGGGGGTTGCTTGCAGGGGATGCACAGAGCACGGTGTAATACTGTGCTCACATGTGCTGAGACCATGTGATCATGCACAAGCGTACGAGCTTACACATGACTTCACTTGAGCAACTGGCCTCGTTGAGGCACCTCGCCTCAGCAACCACCCCCACCCGGACGTGAAGCTGCCGTTCACCCGCGAGATCTCTCGAGGTGCCTCATAAGCTAGTTACGAGTCCACTCAAAACTCTCTCGAGGCGCCGCATAACTGATCTGCTCTTCCCCCCCTTGCCCTCCTCGCCCCCACCGCCTCTCCCAACGCACAGGCCCCTGGAGGACCCGGACGCTAAGCTGCCGTTCATCCGCGAGATCCTCACATCGCTGCGCAGGGAGCTGGCAGGCAGCGAGGCGACGCTGCTGGGGTTTGTGGGCACGCCGTGGACGCTGGCAGCGTACGCCATTGAGGGACAGGGCAGCAAGAACCTGCTCGCCACCAAACGCATGATGCTGCACGGTGCGTGCGTCTGGCGCTCAGTTGGCTGGCACGCCCAGTGGCTGGCTGGATGGGCTTCTTCCGTATATGTCATGCTGGGGTGAACAAGCAAGGTAGAGATCTTAACAGCCAGCGCCGCGCGGCAACCTCCCTTGTACATTCCTCCATTCCGCCATGCCGCCATGTCACCATGCCTCCCTCCCCCCACCCCCATCCCACCGCCTGTCAGAGCCGGAGTTGCTGCACGGCATTCTGGCGGCCCTAGAAGACGCCCTAGTGGTGTATGTGAGCCACCAGATCAGCTGTGGGGCGCACATCGTGCAGCTCTTTGACTCATGGGCGCACCACCTCACGCCCGCGCAGTTCGCCGAGTTCAGCCTGCCGTACGCCGAGCGGATCGTGCAGCGTGTGAAGCAGCTGCACCCGCACACGCCGCTCATCTTCCATGCCAATGGGGGGACTGGCAAGCTGCACCTGGTGCAGCAGGGGTGCAGTGCGGACGTGGTGGGGCTCGACTGGGGCACTGATATGGCTGAGGCTCGGCGTGTGTTTGGCAGCGATGCTGTGCTACAGGTGAGGGGGTGGTCGTGTGTTGATGTCATTAGCAGAGGGCTATATTGACCCCCTTTTTCTGTTGTGTGTTTCTTAGTGGAGTTGATGTCATTAGCGCGTATCTTGTCTGCAATGCTGCGCCTCTTGTGTACCGCCCTCCCTTCCCGTACTCTTGTTTCGTGGTCTTCAGGGGAACGTGGACCCGATGGTTCTGTTTGGGCCGGAGGCGTCCATCAGAGCAGCCGTGGCTGATTGCTTGAGCAAGGCGGGAGGCCGGAGACACATTCTCAACGTGGGCCATGGGGTGGTGCAGGGGACTCCTGAAGAATCTGTGGCTCTCTTCTGTAAGCTTGCTCAGGAGAGTGGGCGGGCAGGGCAAGGTGCCGAGATAGCTGCAGCTTTGCATTCAGCTGCATGAAAGGAGTGTTGGGCCAACGCCATGATGCCAAATCAGTATTTCTTTATTTTGAAGACGAATATATTTTGATCCCCAATTCATTTTTGTAGCCCCACTATTGTAGGATGATTTGAAGCAATGGAGTGTTTATGGTACTGGTATGTCTTCTATATCTGTTTACTCCATTAAGAAATGTGGTTGAAAGAATACGGTAATATTTCCATCTACACGTTACTTAATTGCAAAATTGAAAATATCGTTTGAGTGACGAAAGAACCCCGCGATACCGGGTGCATCTCGCACAGCTAGGATGACCCTTCATTGGTCTTCGGCTATCCTTAGACCTTTTGGTCCCGTTCGATTGGCTCACAGGAATTGGCGGCATGGGTTCTGCGAGGTCAGGTCCATCACTGATTGGCCAGCCAAGATAGGCCTGGAATGTTGCTTTCCAAGCGTCATCCACAACGGCTCCCAGGCAAACGGGATCAGCAGCGCTTAGATTGAGGGGGTGTCCTGGGATTCCCACTGAGCCTGCGCATTTGTTATCAGGAGCTTCTCATTTCCCACCTGTCATCTGCAAACCCTTGTTGTACAGGCAGCACTTGACCTCCACTCTCCGCCGAACTCCTCCCAGCCACGCCTGACCAGCAAAAATCACAGCAATGGCCGCCGTCGCCTCTTCCTCTGCTGTCCGCGTGGCTGCCGTGTTCGGCGCCAAGAACCAGAAGCTCAATGCCAAGAGCTTCGCCGGCGCTTCCCTCGCCGTGAAGGCCGCTCCCGCGCGCCTGACCATGGCCGCGGAGGCTCCCGCCGGTTTCTCCCCCCCGGAGCTGAAGTCCGACACGCCGTCGCCCATCTTCGGCGGCAGCACCGGCGGCCTTCTCCGCAAGGCTCAGGTCGAGGAGTTCTACGTGATCACGTGGGAGGCCAAGAAGGAGCAGATCTTCGAGATGCCCACCGGCGGTGCTGCCATCATGCGCGCGGGCCCCAACCTGCTGAAGCTCGCCAGGAAGGAGCAGTGCCTCGCGCTCGGCACCCAGCTGAGGACAAAGTTCAAGATTAACTACCAGTTCTACCGCGTGTTCCCCAGCGGCGAGGTTCAGTACCTCCACCCTAAGGACGGCGTGTACCCCGAGAAGGTGAATGCTGGCCGTGCCAACACCAACGTGAACCTGCGCTCCATCGGCAAGAACGTTGATCCCGCTGTTGTGAAGTTCACCTCGAAGAGGGCTATCGACTTGTAGATGCTCTACATTGTAAATAGCCTTCCAATCAGTCGATGATACACAGTTTTGTTCCTTGCAGTATCTCAGTATTAACTTAGTTTCCCCCATTTATATTTTTCGAAACGTACCTTGGCAATATGGTTGAACATCCGAACAACCTTATGAAGCTTTGCAGCATATTATTCGCTTTGCATGAACTTCTGTCCAGCAGAAACTGCTCCTAAAAGGGTCAAGTGGATGTTTGGCAGCATTGAAATATTGTGATAACCTTTGCCAAATGGTGACGCGTCCAACAAATGATAATCTCAACAAATGAAAGCTGATTGTACTTTGAACAGGGAAGCCGCAATGCGCGTCCAAGTGGCCATGCACTCAAATCAAGTAAAGCTCTAATCGACAACGCACACCACAGCATGAATGGCTCGCGGTAGCAGCTCCGTGCCGTTCTGGCAGCAGTTACAAGGTGGGTGTCTGTCATCGCGTCACGGAACGAGACCACAATGCGCATGAAAGATTAGTAGGCAGTCCCTAGCGTCTAGTTGTCGCATCCCGTAGCACGTCCAAATACCACGTGGCTCCGCGGATAAGCGTTTCTGTCAGCAGCCCGAGGCAACAAGTCACCTTTTGAGTCAGCCTGAGGCACCCTGTCCTGATCACCATGTCTGTCGTTGCTGTCTCGCGCAGTACCCAATGGCCTCGTGCCACGTGTCGGCCACAGCGCGACGCTCGTCGGCAGCTGCATGTACGTCATGGGCGGGCGACTGGCCAATCGCACGCACGCCAACGACGTCTGGCTGTGCGACCTTTCCGGCTGCGAAGACGTCGCAGGAACTGCTTGCGACGGCAGCGAGACGGGTTGTAAAGCGGGCGAGGAGCGACGTGGGGTAGGAGGAGGCAAGGGAGGAGGACGAGGAGTCAGATGGGAGTTAATTAACGAGCACGCGCCGTTCTCCCCGCGAGCCTATCACAGCGCGACACTTGTCGGCGAGTGTGAGATCTGGGTGGTGGGCGGCAGCGACGAGCGCGCCGTGAAGCATGACGTGTTCGCTTTCAACACGCGCACCAGAGAGGTGCGCGCGCGGAGGGGCGGGGGGGGGGAGGGGGAGGGGAAGGGGGAAACGTAGGGGGAAGGTGGGGAGGTTGCGCACACACGGGAAGGAGGTTGGCGCGAGGAGATATCCACTGCATTCCTACTCCTCTCCCCATCCACTGCATTCCTACTCCTCTCCCCCCTTCCCCCCCATGTCGGCTCGTTTGCAGTGGAGGCAGGTTCAGACACGTGGCAGGTATGCAGAGTACCCACGTGTCACACATGCTGCCATGGTGCATCCACAGCATGCCACGTGGCTGCTCATCCACGGGGGCTACGGCGGCAACGGACCCACGCTTGAGTTCCTCGACGATCTCTGTGTACTCGATACAGGTATACTTGCTACCATGCTTTGTGCTGTGATATACGAAGCTCCAGAAGCTTGCAGTACTAAACTTCCCTTTCCCCTCCCCTCGCTCTCTCTGCTCCGACATCTCCCTTCCCCTCGTCTTTCGCATCCCCCCCCCCCCCCCCCCCCCCCCCCCCCCCCCCCCAATCCTCCTCCCACCGCGCTGCTGCCCTGTTGCTGCATCAGAGTCGCTGACCTGGCATGACCTGCGCCCCTCAGGCTCGCCGCCCTCTGCCCGTGGCTACCACTCCATGACAAACCTTGCCGGCTGCGCCGTGGTCTTTGGGGGAAGACGAAGCAGCGGGCCGACAAGGAGCAGCACGGCCTCTGGTGAGCCCCTGATGCGCTTCTTCCAGGTGATTTTCACGTCTACCTTGGGTGTTCTTCAGGAGATTTTTCAGGTGCTCTTCCACCTCTTCCACCTCACCCTCCCTCTTGCCCCATACCCAATGCCCAATGCCCGCCAGTCCTCCCTGCACCTACCCGCTCCCCCAATCCCTAGGGCGTACGACCCTTTGTCCAACGCGTGGGAGCAGCCCACGGTGGCGCCAGGGAGCCCACAGGCGCAGCCGCGGTCCAATCACGCGGCGACAGGTGTCGGGGGCGGGATGGCGGTGGTGCACGGGGGGCGTGTGAAGAAGGAGCGGCTGGACGACCTCTGGCTGCTGCAGGTGCGGTTTTTTGTGCTGCCCTGCCATGCAGTGCAATACCATGTGTCTTGGTATGAGAGTGCAGAGGATGGCACTGGCAAGTGACCCACCAATGCTCCCTGCTGGCAGGCAGGCAGGCAGGCAGGCAGGCAGGCAGGCAGGCAGGCAGGCAGGCAGGCAGGCAGGCAGGCAGGCAGGCAGGCAGGCAGGCAGGCAGGCAGGCAGGCAGGCAGGCAGGCAGGCAGGCAGGCAGGCAGGCAGGCAGGCGTTCTGCATCTCAAAGCCACTCTACTGAGCCTCTTCTTCCTCTCGTCGCCCTACCCCACTTCTCTTGCACAGGCCGTGGCCCCGCCACACAACACACCACCGCCATCGCCCCCATCCGCCCATCTCTCTCCACCCATCTCCCTCGCCTGGCACCGCATCGCCACTCTCCCCTCCTCTGCGCCCATGCCTGCCGTGCCTGCACATGTGGGCGAGACGGGGAATGACAGAGGCGGGTGCAGGGGGAGGGGGGCGGCAGGGCCAGCAGGGAGGGCAGCGCACTCCGTGGTGCAGTGGGGGCGGTCGCTCTTCCTCTTTGGCGGCTATGGCGGCAACGGTGGGTGTCAGTGACAGACGTGGGAGGATGGGTGGGTGCATGGAGAGGGTGGGTGCATGGAGAGGGTTCGTGCACAGTCGTTGGGTTGGATCTCTCCATTTCGCTCTGTCTCCTCACCTCCATCCATCCACACGCTTCACACCCAACCCATGCCCATTCTCGCATTCAATCATCCTCAATTCACTCCCTCCGAATCAACAAACCTGTACACCCCCCTCCTTTTCCAGCCACCTCGCCCTCCTTCGCCCCTTTTCCAATCCCCCTCCTCCGCCCCTTTTCCAATCCCCCTCCTCCACCCCTTTTCCAATCCCCCTCCTCCGCCCCCTCCCCCCTCCTCTCCCCAACACACGTCTGCATGACCTACAGACCACTCATACGCCGACCTCTTTGTCCTCCGGAACCTTCCTGCTGCCTTCCCAACAACCGCCAGCCAATCACCTGCTGCCACGTCTGCAGGCGAGCATGGGGGAGGAGAGGCCCCAGGCAGCCTGGCAGCTGCCCCCAGACTGCTGCGAGCCAATCGTGGAGCGACACGTGTCACTGCAGGGATTGCTGCTGACACACGTGGGGCAGCAGGGGTTGGCGAGTGTGATCGGCCCGTGGCTGTGGGAGGAGGAAGAGGAGGAGGGGGAGGAGGAGGAGGAGGAGGAGGAGGAGGAGGAGGAGGAGGAGGAGGAGGAGGAGGAGGAGGAGAGGAGGAGGAGGAGGGGCAGGAGGAGGAGGAGTGGCAGAAGCAGGGATTGTGGCTAAGGAGGGAACAACACCAGCAGAAGTGGCAGTAACATCACCTCTAGTAGCAGCAGCAGCAGCAGCAGCAGCAGCAGGGGGAAAAGGTGCAGGTGCAGCAGGTGCAGCAGTAACGGTGGGTGTGAAGAGGAGAGGGGAAAGAGGGGAGGATAGAGGCGGCGCCAAGGCTGCACGTGCCACACGTGCTCTTGCTCCTGCTGCTGCTGCTGCTGCTGCTAGTGGCGCCGCTGCTGGTGCTGCAGCTGCAGCTGCAGCTGCAGCAGCCGGAGGTGCGAAATCGCCTCCTGCTGCTGCAGCGGCAGGGAAAGCGGCAGAAGCAATGGCAGCAGCAGCTGCTGCACCGGCAGCAACACCAGTGGCAGCAGCAGCAGCAGCAGCAGCAGCAGCAGCAGCAGCAGCAGGCAGGGAGGTGCCACATTGTACAGCTCGGAAGGCCACCACAGGGTTGGGGCCGTGGCGTGTGGGTGGGGGGGGCAATGCAGAGGGCGATGTTGCTGGTGGTGGTGTGGTGGGGTGCGCGCATGGGCATGAGACACGGGTGCTGGGGAAGCAGCAGCAGCAGCAGCAACAGCAGAAGCAGCAGCAGCAGCAGCAGAAGCAGAAGCAGAAGCAACATGAGCAGCAGGTGCAGCAGCAGAGGGAGCAGAGAGAGTGGAAGGCGGTGCAGCGGCAGCAGCTGGATCTGGTGGGCGGCGACGTTCGGCGTCTAGTGAGGCAGAGCCCGTTTGCAGGCAGGGAGAGGGGCAGCAAGCGGGGGGAGGAGGGGTCTGGGGAGGTGAGAGAGGGGGGGTTAGCAGGGATGGAGGGGTCTGGGGAGGTGAGAGAGGGCGGGGCAGCGGGGATGGAGGGAGAGGAGGGCAACGGGGCGAGGGTAGGGGATGTGAGGGGGATGGGATTGAGGGGAGGGGTGGAGGGAGCAGCAGCGGCAGGGGTTAGGACAGGGAAGGGGGGTGGAGTTGTGCACATTGGTAGGGTGGGTTTGGGTGTGGATAGAGAAGGAGGCTCGGATTCCGAGGCGTCAGGTTCGGAAACAGGTCCAGTGGGTGGGGATGAGAGGGAGAGTGTGGCGAAGAGGAGACGGATGGATCAAGATCAAGCTGTTGCTGCTGGGGAGAGAAGAGATGGGGAGGGGCATTTGAGGGGAGGGGGGAGAGGGGCCGAAGGGGGGAAACAGGGGGGAGGGGGGTTAGGGGGGGAAGGGGGCAGAGGCGCAGAGATGGCGAGAGGGGGGCCAGCTGTGGTTGCAAGGGGAGATGGGGGAGGAGGCGGGGAGGTGGGACGAGGGGGGATGACCTGGTGGGGAGCGTTGGGGGGAACGTTGGGGGGAACGCTGGGGGAAGTGGTGGGGGACGCGGTGGAGGGTGTGCTTAACAGGGAGAAGAGAGTGGGATGTGGGGAAGTGCGGGGTTGTGAGGGGGAGAGGCTAGTAGACAGTGGCGCAGAGTTAAGGGGAGGCGGGGAAGACGGGAGAGAGGGCGAATGGGGATGCATGGACATGCATGAGGGGCGGCATGGGGTAGAGCACATGGCAAGTGAGAGGGCGGGAGGTCGTGAGCAGGGGGGGGAACAAGGGGGGAAAGACAGGGGTGAGCATGGGGAGGAGAGATTAGGCAGAGTGGGGGGGAGTTGTAGGGGTGGTGCTACGATGAGAGCAGGGGATGGGGTGATCGGAGGGAGAGGAGTAGCAGGTGGGGCGGTGGGGGCAGAAGATAGGGGCAACTGGCGCACAGGCTGGGTGGGGGCGGTTGGGGTGGAGAGGTGTGGTGGAAGCAAGGGGAAGGAAAGAGAGGAGGGGAGAGAGCTGATGTGGGAGCGAGAGGGGGAGAGGGAGCGAGTGGGGGAAGCACAAGGGATAGAGATGGATGGAGTGGGAGAAGTGGGAGGAGCGAAGGAGGTGCAGGGCGTGCGGGCGAAGGAGGTGGTGGGGATGGAGATGGAGGAGCGGCTTGCATCGCTGGAGCGAGATGCGGTGCTGCGAGTAAGTTACATGCATGGCATGGCATGGCATGGTACGACATGGCGTCGCATGGTCTGGCCAAGCAGGCGAACACTGAATTTTGGAGGGACGCAATGCAGCACTGTGTGTCATCTGGGCGTGAACTCACTTCTTGTCGGCCCTCCCTCGTGTGTGCGTGCTGTGTCTGCCCACCCCCAGGCAGCCATTGAGCAGCAGATACGGGCGCTTTCACACGAGCTCGCAGCCGCAAGGGCAGAATGGGCAGCAGCGAGGTCGGAGGGCGAGGCAGCGAGGAGGAGGCTGGAAGGTTCTGAAAAGGAGCTTGCAGCAGCGAGGGCAGAAGGGACAGCAGCGAGAGCGCGGGAGATGGCAGTGAGGGCAAGGCTGGAGCGGATTCAGGACGAGCTGAGCTGGTGCCAGGCAGAGGTGAGGGCGAGGCGGCAAGAGCGTTAGTGCAGCGATGCGACGGTGAGGTGGCAGCCGCGCGGGCGGAAGGGGAGACGGCGAGGGCTGCAGCGAGGGTGGAGGCGGTGCAGAGGGCAGCGACAGAGAGGGAGCTGCGCCAAGCTGTGGAGTCTACGGGAGCTGAGCTTGCTCGTGCCAAGGCACAGGTGAGGGGCGGTAGGGGGGGTGGTTGGGGCAGTGGAGACGTGAGCAATGCGAGTCCGACGCCACTAAGAGCCACGTTTCTGGAAGATTTAGGTGGGCAGGGGCGTTCATTCATGCAGGCAGGCATAGGTGTGTTGACGCTCTGACAGGGAATATGCTGGCTGTTGTCCGATGCACCAACATTGAATTCCCTGATATTCTACCCTGTATGATTAGATCAACCGATATAAGATTCACCATCACACACTCTTGCACTACTGGGTGCAGGGTGAGGAGGAGCGGCGGCAGAGGGAGTCGGAGAGGCGGAAGACGGAGGAGCAGCAGCAGCGGGCGTGTGAGCTGGAGAGGCGCGTGGGGGAGGGCGAGGCGAGGATAAAGCAGCTGGAGGCGCAGCTAGCTCAGGCCGATGCTGAGGCTCGGGAAGCAACGAGGTAAGTAGGTCACTTCGTGGGTGCTAGGCAAGGGGGTGCTGCTGGGCAGGGCAGGGTGACCCGTAGCTTGCCTAAGTGACCCGCTGTGTAGCTGCTGGATCCCCACCGTCCCACTGTCCCTCCGTGCCACCCAACAGGCGTCATGCTCGTGTGTCCCTGCCTTGTGCGTTGCAGGAGGGCGAGCAGGCAGCAGCAGGAGGCTGAGACGCTC